TTTAAATATAAATAAGAATATTTATTTATTGAATAGATATATAAATATAGATGAATTTTAAATGTATGTTGTATAAAATGTTACTCCCACGTTCTTATATAATTTGTTCATATTTTTTATTTTCGTTCGTCCCACATAACTTGACTTTTTTTTTGGAAATATAATTATACACTTTAATTATATTTTAAACTTTATATTTTATAATTTTTTAATCTAAATTAAAGTATTTAGTTATCTTAATCTTAATATATAATTATTTTTACTATACCATAATTATTTTTACTAATACACTTCTTAATTACTTACTTATCATATTTTACCTAAATTCTCGTGTCTACAGCCCAAATTATTTATTAGAAAGTTAGTTAATTTATTTATATTTATTAAAAATAAAAATGTATAAATTGATACTTCCCTCTGTCCCTTAACAGTATATCCATTTTTTCATTTTGGTCCGTCCCTTAACAAAGTATTAATTTCTTTTTTTAGTAATTGTATATCTACCTAAATTACAAATACCCTTCCAATTTACAATATATTACACAAATGTTATTACATTTATATCATATAATACTAATAAAATTAATTTAATTTTTTTACTTTTATTTCTAATTTATTTTAATATAATATTAATATTTTTAAAATTTTATGTAAAAACAAATATATATATATATATATATATATGAGACTAAGGAAGTAGAAGATAAATGAAAATGAAAAACCAAGTCATAGTTAGGGTTGAGGATAAGGACAGGTAAATGACGCGCAGACAGCACCACAATGCATGCATGCATATTTATTTAATTTGAGTGCTATTTTTATTTATTTATTTATTTTTATAAAAAATAAAAATAAATATTGTATAATTAAAAAAATTGAAATTAAACTGGGAAAGAATATGTCTAATTGTGGATATCATGATCATATAATGTGTTTAGTGATTATAATTAATAATAATGTGTTATTGATCGTTATGGGTTTATTGGAAGCACTACACTTGGAACACATTAAATTAAAAATAAATAAATAAATCATAATTTATTATCTTTGTGTCACGCCCCATTACACTAATTTTACAGCTTGACACACGTATCCATTTTAAATTACACTACTTTATTTAATTAAATAAATGTTTACCTTAGACTTTAGAAAATATATACTTATAATTATAATTGACCTTACAAATATATATATATATATACTTAGCACTACATAAATCAGTTTGTTCACCTAGCATTTTTCTAATGAAATAATTTATTATAAATATTATTTAAAAAAATATAAATATACACACATGTTAATATAGTATATATATATATAATTCAATCATAAAAAGTCAATTATTCAATACAAAATATTTTTTTTATATTACCAATACAGTTCTCCATGCCACACATATATTACAATTGATTTCAATATAAAATGTATAATAAATTATATACTAACATAGTATAAATATTAGCTTTGTTCATTCAATTAAATTTTTTTAATATTTTATTCTCTAACAAAAATTAACAATTCAATTCAAAATATTATTTTTTAAAATTATCAAAATAATTCTCTTATACCTCACGTAAATAAAAATTAAAATTAAAATTAAAATTAAAAGACCTCTCAAATTAAAATATTTAACAATCTAATCCATAATATGAACAGAAAAATATATAGATCTAACTAATATATATAATATTGTAACGTATTATATAATTATTATCATATAAATGAATAAATTAATTTATTCAAATATATAAAAACAACATATTAGAAATTTGTAAACAAACATATTCCTTCTATCCCAACTTAATATCTTTTTTATCGTTTTTATTTTTTATTATATTAAAATAATCGCACACTAATACTAATTTTTTTTTTTAATATTTTGATAAAAATTACAAACATACTCTTACATATACAAATCTATATTTCGGTAAAAGTATGTAAAATAAGTGCATCGATAATCAATATATTATATACTATAATAACATATTTTATATTACTCCCTCCGTGTCCCATGTAATATGGGTCTATTAATGTAGACACGAGAATTTAGGTAAAGTATAATTAATAAGCAATTAAGAAATATATTAGTAAAAATAATTATAGATTAAGATTGATATAACTAAATAGTTTAATTAAGATTAAAAAAATTTAAATTTTAAATTTTAAAATATGATTAAAGTGTATAATTAATTTTCCAAAAAAGAAAAAGACAAATTATGTGGTAAGGACAAATATAAAAAATAAGGACAAACTATGTGGGACGAAGAAACTATAATTTAACATATGATATCTTATAATACAATATACCAGATTTGATTGGTTTAGCGCCAATTCACGTCCCAACATATTATATATATATATATATATATCCAATCCATTAATAATAGTAATAAATAAATAAATAAATAAATATAATGGAAATTAAAATATAAGTAGAAATATTATCCAATTAGCAATGGGCAATGACTCTCGCGTGGATCCCAAAACCTCTATTAATAAAATCGTGTCCTAACATCAATCTTTTTGTTTATTCATCCAACTCAATTATATATATATATATATATTTAAAAACTATTCCTAATTAATATCATAATAATACAATAAATATTCACATACAATTTATATATAACACTAACATATTTTTTCTAAAATTTAATTAAAAACTACAAACGAAATTTTACATTTTCCTATCATTAAAAAAAAAAAAACTATATCCAAGAATATATATTTGATTTTTAGGTTTGAATTTTTTTTTTAATAATAAGAATTTGAATAATTATTAATATTTTGAATGTAAAATTAATTTTTAATATAATATAAAAACATATAAAAACAATTATTTAATTTAATATTTTCTTAGAAAATAAAATTAAATGGAATAACAAAACCAAAGTGAAACTTCTTTATTTATTTATTTATTTATTTATATATATATATATATATCCAAATTCAACAAACCTCCAAAACAAATTAAAATTAAAGCCAATCATCACGTCACCTATTTGTTAGACGAAATTCCAAAACTACAACCCAAAAATAAATAAATAAACTCTCAAATACACACACAATATATATAAATATTAAAAATAAAAAGCCATTAATTTAATTTAATTTAATTTAATTTATTCAATCCACACTTCAATTCTCAGCCACAAATAAAAATCACCAATAATCATACACCACTACTTTCAAACTTTTAGATTTGTTTTACTTTCGACAAAAATATTTAGTACCGATTTTTATAAAAATGTATATTCCCGGTCACATTTTAATTGTCTCTATTTAATTTTCTTTTTTCGTAAAATTTACTAAATATAAACATATTTAATAAATATAAATCATTTTAATTAATTTTATAAATTATATAACATCACACATCATGTAGGATCACTCAAAATTCTTTTATTTATACATCTCTCCTCAGTAAACAAATATTTTTTATGTACATTTAAAACTCTACCAGTTTTATAAAATCAATATATCTTAATTATAAACAAACAAATAAATTTATTTATTTATATTAATTAAAATTTTATTCTCTACAACATGATATACATATTGCATATATTTTATTAAAATATAATATTTAAACACATATTTCAAATTTATTTTAATTATGTATATTAATTCTTATTTTAAAATGACTAACAATACCACTCAGATAAAAATATAATAAAATAATATTATAATTTACTGTTATTAACTAATTAAATCACACTATCTTAAAAAAAAAAAAAAAACGTGTCCTAAATAAAATGAATCATTTCAAATGGGTCGGAGGGAGTATTATTTTTATTTACTCCAATGTTTGACATAAAGTATTTATTTTATCGAATACACAAGAATTTTTTTAAAAATTATAACTAATAAAAAATTTAAAAATATATTAGTAAAAATAATTATATATTATTATAATTAGATAATATAATTAAGATTATAAAATTTAAATATTATTAAAGTGTATAATTATTTTCTTTTAAAAATAAATGAACAAATTACATAGGATATGCTTAAAAAAAACCACTTTATATTTTAAAAATATTGTTATTTGTTTAAAAGAAAAAAGAATAAAATATATTTTTTGTCTCTTTTATTTAGCGATGTGTCAATTTTAATTCCTCTATTTTTAAAATGACAATTTTGATCATTAATTCTATTTTATTATTTAACCATTGTTTTAATAAAAATTAATAAATATAATTATTAATACCTTTGTTGCGTTAAAAATATAAAAAATCATTAGTCTAAAACAAAATAGTTTTTCGCTAGTTGTTTGTATCAATTAAATTGTTGGCATAAAAAATAAAATATTTATATATATATATATATTGTTTATATAAGCATGATATTAAATATAGCGACATATACATCTTTGTTAAAGATATTATAAAAAAAAAATAATTTTTGTAAGCTTTTTTTTAAGGATAATCTATTTGTATAAAAATGTATATGACTAGTATATCTATTAATTTTTTGCAAAAAAATAAAAAATCAATAAGGGATCAAAATTATTATTTTAAAAATCAAAGAATTAAAATTGATCCAAATATAAATAAAAAGGATCAAAAATTTATTTTTACTTTTTAAAAACAAAAATACAAAAACTTCCTCACCAACAAAGTGATACTAATATTTCAAAATATATACATTGATACCATTAAAAAAGAGTCTAAATTTCAAAATATTTAATATATATTATATTATAATTTAATTTACAATCAAATCGAAACTTCGAGTTTGTTTATTTAGTGTTTTGATTTGAAAAATAATTTTTTATGTAAGATATAGATAATTATTTTAATAATTAAAAAAAACAATATTTTACATTAACTATTATATTTTTTTGTAGAAAAGAATCATTGAAATATTTTAAATATTTAGTAGATTTATATTTAGATTTGATCTGAATTAGATTTCTTATATTTAGATTTAGATTTAGATTTGATAAAATTACTTATATATAGACACTTTTATTTTGAGGGATGAATAAACAAACCCTTCACCCTAGGAACTAACCAAACCAAAGTCGTGTTCCAGTGGTTCTCTCCAATTTCCCTTTTGGGAACAATTAGTTAATTCGCGGGAAACCACAAGCACGCTTTTTCAAATATATATATATATATATAAATCCATTGAGTCACTGCACAGAACTGCAGGGTAGTCACAGTAGAGAGATGAAAGCCATTAAGGAGCTCCGGCCATATTTGGCCGTAATTCTTCTGCAGTTAGGCTCCGCCGGCTCCGCCATCATCGCCAAGGCGGCGCTCAACCACGGCATGAGTCATTACACCTTTTCCGTCTACAGAAACATCGTCGCCGCCGTCGTCGTCGCGCCTCTCGCATTTTTTCTCGAGAGGTTATCTAAATTTAATTAATTTAGTCGATAATTGATTTTAAAATAATAATAATAATAATTGTAGTTGAAGAGGTTCTTTCTCTATTTTCTATTTTTTTCTTATGTAGTATTTACGTTCGGTTCCAATGTCTCATCAATTTTTGTACGTTGGTATTTGAATATTAATTGTTATACGAAAACGTAGTACAAATTAAAAAAAATTGTAAAAATACTTTAATTAATGTCTTATAATACTAATATAAAGATATTTGTACAAAAAATTATATAAATATAAAAATATTTTTAATATTAAGTACAATCAATCAATGTGCCCTATAAAAACCAACAAAGAAAGTATTTTTTTAAAAAAATTAATACACTATACATATTTATTATTTTTATATCATCTACTATGTACTTAAAAAAAATTTATGTTATGTGCAACAATGGCAGGAAAATCCGGCCGAGGATGACGTGGTCGGTGGCGTGCAAGATAGTGCTGCTCGCCTTGCTTGAGTAAAAATACGCCTATCCCTTCTTATTTTCTTGCCGGCTCCCGGGACTTCCTTTCCATTGCTGATTGGTCCTGCCGTTGATGGCATGGATCGTCCTGGAGTGGAAGTCCAGGGAGCTAACAGAGTTTTTTTATACGTTAAACTGTATTTTAGTTTCCTATATAATTTCTTTTATTAGGACTTTGTTTTTTTTAAAATAATATCATAAATAAAAAATTTTCGTTAATATGTCATCGTCAGATAGATGCCACGTCAGCGATATGTAGATTTTTTTTTCTTTCATAAAATATTTTGATAAACTATTTTTCAGTTTTGTATATAACATCTTTTATAATCCTATAAATAAAAATTTTTGCTAAATAGTCCCCCAACGATGTGATATCTAAGTGGCGATGACATGTCAGCAACGGCGGACCAGTGTGACGAATTCGGCACTAGAGGACCATTTTAGCTAAAAAATTTTATTTACGAAACTCTTTTCAGACATAATCTATTTAAATTTATTGCGTGAAACTCTCTTATCTTAAATTTTTTGATAAAATAATTGTAACAATAAATATATATATGTATGTATATGTATAGGCCGGTGATAGATCAAAATCTGTACTACGGTGGGATGAGTTACACGACGGCGACGTTCGCGGCGGCGATGTGCAACATGATTCCGGCGTTGACATTCTTGCTGGCGTGGATGGCCAGGATGGAGGCAGTAGATGTAAGAAAGAGGCACAGCCAGGCTAAGATTGTGGGGACCATCTTCGCATTTGCTGGGGCTATGATCATGACACTTGTCAAAGGCCCAGCCGTCCGATTGCCCTGGACCCACAAAGCCCTGCACGTGATCTCACGTGATCACGATCACTCGCAGCTCAAGGGCGCTTTCATGGTCGCCGCTGGCTGTTTATGTTGCTCTTCCTTTTACATTCTTCAGGTATATCTCTGTCATTCAATTGTGTTTTTATTTGATCGTAAAATATGTTACAATTGATCTATCTCTGTTGCATAAAATCAGCATTATTTATTTTTTGCATGTATATTTTTATGAATATTAATATTACTCTCTCCGTTTCATAATTATATATTTGTTTGCTTTTTACACGAAGTTTTAGAAATATTAGTATTATATTACTATGTAGTAGAAATAAAATAAAAATGACTAAAATAACTTTATTATTATTGTGTGATATAAAGATACGACATTTGTGTAATATATTGTAAGTTGTAAGAGTATTTATAATGTTAAGTAGATAGTACAATTACTAAAAAAAAATGAATACTTTTGTTATGAGACATACTAAAATGAAAAAATTGATAGTTTGTTATGGGACAGAGGGAGTAAGTAATGACATTTATGATAGGTAAGTAGTACAATTACTAAATTAGAAAATTATACTCTTATTACGTGAGATGACAAAAATAGAAATGACAAAAATAGAAAATAATATCACTCTTACGAGACTAATGAAGTATTATGATTATTAATTTATTTAAAATTTGGTGTGTTTGATAATATGTATTTTAAAATGAAATTATTTATTGTGCAAATATGTTTGACATCTTAATCAGGCGATCACATTGAAGTCATACCCCGCGGCCTTGTCTCTAACGGGCTTAATATGCGCCGCGGGATCATTGCTAGGGGCGGCGGTGACTCTTGTGGTTGAGAGGCGCAACTTATCAGTATGGTCGATCCAATGGGATAATAAGCTTCTCGCCTATCTTTATAGTGTAAGAAAAATATATTATACATATTCTATTACAAATTTATCGTCGAATATACTGGTTTATATTAAGTATTGAAATATAATTTAGTGTATATAGAAAATTAAATAATTATATTGCGACTATATAATTTTATTAAATGTCATATATATATATATATGATCTATTGATGGATCATTTGTTTGGTAATGTAGGGATTGGTTCAGATAATTTTATTAAATGTCATATATATATATATATATATATGATCTATTGATGGATCATTTGTTTGGTAATTTAGGGATTGGTTCAGTCCGGGGTGGCTTACTATGTTGCTGGGATGGTAATAAAGGGAAAAGGGCCCGTCTTCGTCACTTCTTTTAATCCGCTAAGTATGGTTATTGTCGCAATCTTGAGCTCTTTCGCTTTTGCCGAGGAAATGAATATTGGAAAGTAAGTGAGCATTGTAGATTATTTTTTCAGTATTTGTTTCTTTTTTTTTTGTGTGTGTTTCTTTACTATAATTTATTTGCTTCTTTTTATATTATTTTAAATACTAAACCTTTTTATTATTATACAAGTTTGTAAAACTCCAATTAAAAAAAACCCTAAATTTGATAGACATATCCATTTTTTATATTATGCATATCCAAAATCTTTATAAATAGTAAATATTTATAAACTAGATGCCTTCTATATAAATGTCAAAAATAATAAAGAAGTCCGACTCTCTAACCCTCTCTCTCTCTATATATGTATATGTATATGTACGAGGGTTGACAAAATATGTAATGTGTGAATTGCAGGTTGACAGGAGCAATGGTGATAGTGGTAGGGTTGTATTTAGTGATATGGGGCAAAGCCAAAGATGAGCATATTACAAACAGGAACAATAATAAGGATATCATTATTAATAATAATAATAATAATAATAATAATAATAGTGATGATAAAGAAGATGGCGATTCAGTACAACAGCCTAAATCTGGTGAAGAGATGATGATGACGATGGTGGTCATCACTACCAATCAAGAACAAGATCAAGATCAACAACACACAGACAAACAAGAACACCACCACCATTCAGACAACAAAACATTCCCACCTGTCTAATGGTGGATATATATGGCACACATGGATATGCACTTAATTGGGATGGATGGGCTGGATTTATCTTGTCTCTATACAGTTTTTTTACTACTTCAATTCTAAATTTTCAATTAAAGTAGAATAAAATAATTTTTTTTCTTTTTCTTTCATAAAATATCGTATTAAACCCCATGGGATTCTCTGTCCGAAAAATAAACTCTATCCCCACACACATGGGATAGGGTGTGTTAATGAGATAGATGATCGGATCTGCACATTAAACATATGTCCAAATTTACAAACTCAATCCAAACTGAAATGAAATTGCACCTACAATGCTAGGTACAATTTTATACTTCTATTTTCTCTACTCCACAAGATAATATATTTATTATATTCTTATAAAAAAAATATTTATGTGATTAATGACATCTATAATTTTATTTGTTCATAGATAACTTTTTTTTTTTTCTTTTTTCATATGCAACTCTGGCAAATATCTTATCCCAGAACATCACACGTTCAAGTGCTATTTAGACTAAAAACCAAAACACAAAAATTGTTCGATAGTTCCAGAAATATATACATTTTCAAGTCACTCCTAGCACTATTCATCTACAAGAACTTCTTTGTAAAAAAAAAAATGACATCAAATAACTATTTTCTTCCACAAGAAATCACATCAAATATTAAAAGTTTTGAGCATGGATCCTATGCTGATCCGATCCAGTCACATTAGCATGGTGCTGATTTAACCAACAACATAATTATAATACTAACATATGTTATACGATAACAGAACATATGATATATTATCACACAATATATATTGTCGTACTATGTACAAATATATATTGTTTACCTTTATGGCATATGTTGATTCGGTCATAATCAGCCGGATCAACATAGGATCTGCGCCCAAAATTTCACGATTCTCCCAAAAAATCCAAAACATCCTCCAATATATGTATATGTAAATAAATGAATACAAACCAGTGATGTTGTATGAGAACAGAGTTGTAAGATCAGCACAGTTACAATCAACAAGTATGTTCAAATCAGACAGAGATCATAAAACTATAGGCAAGCTATGTTCATAAGATAACAACAATGTACAAAATTCTAAGCAAGTAAACATAATCAGTAAAAGCAATCGGTTCGGTCTGCATTTTAAGGAGGTAAAAACAATGCACTGAAAATATAAACTTCATTCAACTTAGCAATAGTATGAATCTGATTCCAAAATAAAAATTTCCATTACTGATCAAAATAGCCACTTTTTTTCCTTCGGTAACAAAATATGTTAGAAGAAGATAAACCAGAAATGCTTAAGCAACCTTCCTAAGCATTGCAAAAAGATAACTAATTTAGTTCACAAACAAAACAGACACCAATCATCTTACCCACCTTAGATAATAGGGGATCGAGAGCATACCTTTCAAGACGGCACAACCACATCATCTTTGCCATAAATGCGCTGGAGTTCACGGGTCGCAGCTCTATACGATGCTGAGAATGGAAAATGAATGAGATATATTGTTTGACAAGTAAAATATGAGAAATCGAAGACACCCTCCTTAATTAAAGAAATAAAAAAACACCTTTCCAAGCAGTGAAATTGTTTTCATTGACTGTAGATCCTGTCACATGTTGAATTACGTCGAAAAGCTTGTCCTGTGGGGTGTTTTTCAGTTCTTGGACGACTGCATAAATTGTCTTCCCATTCTCAAAGTAAATATGGTTATTCGGGTGTTTGGTCTTGCAACCGGCATGACGCTCAAACTCATAAGCATTGATAACCTGTGCACAATAATTCGAACAATAGCTTGTTTGACACTACGGAAATTAAATAATATGTTCATATTTTAAAACATTGTTGACCTTGGAAAGTTTGCAGTCATGGCAGCCGCACAAGTACCCTGTCCCTTTTACAATTCCTCGAAGATTTTTCTGTTACCAAAAGTATTTGTTAGTCGATATACAACACTGCAACAAGAACGGGAAACATAAGAACAGCTTCAGCCCACCTCTCTTGACCAAGAAGCATACTTCACGGGAACACCATCAAATATACCAGTGGATAATAAACTCTTCACATTTGTCGGAAAGTTGCTGGACGATCCTTTCTTTGATTTAAGCTCCTTGTTCTTCTGTGCGTTATCTGTTCTTCCAGTGGCTATAACAGCAACATTTGAGCTTACCTCGACTGGATTGTGCGCTCCTAAAACTCCAGGAGATTCAACAGAGGAATTAGCTAGCAGAGCCCCGTAACTTCCTATGATCTGATCATAGTGATTCCTCTCCTCGAACTTATCCTGAAAGCCTCCGAAAGATATGGTGGTTTGATCACCTTTTCTAACATTTTCAACCATTGATGAGATGCTAGAATTCTCATCGTTGTAATGAGCTTGTAATGATCCAACAGAAGCATCTTGCTGATTACGAATCACTACATTTCTCTGTCCTTCACTATAAGTAGAACATGCTGGAACAACCGACTCATTTACTTTTCTACTGTAAGGATCAACAGAAAAGAAATTCTGATAGCTCCCACTGTAAGTAGGACCACCAATAGACGTGAAACTGCTGTTTTCCTTCTCATTTTGTTCTCCTATATTACTGAAATTGTAATTCCCACGACTGAAGGCTTGACCAACGGATAGCGCATTGTTATCCATGCCATTGTAGATCTGATTCGTTAGCATGAAACTCCCGTCTCTCTTGCCTGTCTGTCCAACTGAAATAAAATTCTTATCCATCGTACTTATGGCAGGATTCACTGACATAGTATTTCCGTCTGCAATATTATAAGTAGGCAGAGGAATCATACTGTCAGAAGGCATCAGGCTGTGATATCCCATGTTCACCGTTTTATCCTTCTCTCCATTGCAGGAATTCTCGACAAGCTCATGCAAGTAACTGTCCAACATCCTAACCTCACTAACCTCTACCCTCCGAAGTCCGGAGCTGAGACATAACGGATCTGCCATTGCGTGAGATACGGTCAAACAAACTGAAGAATCATTTTCTGACTGATTAAGAAAACCATTGTTTGGTGTATCCACTGCAGCAGAAACACTGGAATGAGTAGCACCATTCTCGTTAAGAAAAACTGAATTCTGAACAGGCTTGATGTTGAACAGTGGATCATCAGGACAATCTGACTGAGAAATGGACCCATCAATCCATAAAGAGCTGTCCATAACCGCACGTCCAGAAGCGTCTTTAAGAGGTTCTATTGCTTGCCTCTTGTTGAAATACAGACCCTCCTCAAAAGCATCTAGAAACCACTGGTGACCGCGTTTGTTGTCTCTTGTTGAAGTGCCGTAGCACACCTCTCCATTAACCAACGGAATGGAGCTATTGGGCAGCCAAGCACTGCTGTTCTGGAAAGCCTGCCGAACCATGTAAGCATTACAATCAGAATCTTGTAAAGAAAAAAGTAATAAAGCAAACAAAAAAGATAAGAGACCTTTGTGCGTCACAATTCAAAGTTAAAATTCATTTTAAAGGAATAAGTATATGTCAAATATATCGTGAACTGCAGGTCCTCAACCAAAGTACTCCAATTGCTAGATCAAACTACTGATGTAGGAAATGTCAGAAGGTAAAACCTCGTCAAAGTATACTAGGAAAAAGGTTAAAGCACAAAAATCTAATAACACTAACAAACTTCACTGAAGGATCCCAAAATCCAACAATATAAACACGTGCACATATAGTTTCATATTACATCCTCAAACAAAGTACTCCAATTGCTAAATCAAACTTCGAATGTACGAAATGTCGTAAGGCAAAACTTCCTTATACTATACTGATGCAAAAGGTAAAGTGGGAAATCTAAATACTTCATTCAATCATGCCAAAAATACACTTTAACACACTGTGTATCGTCAAACTAAATTACTCCAATTGCTAGACAAACTACCGATTTCAGAAACTACTTAGATGTAAAATTTCATCAAAGTACAGTAGAATAAAAACAGTTGAAGTAAGATATCCAATTACAGCAACACACATCATTCAATCATGCCACATTCTACCAAAGAGACACACATGGAAAACTCCGACAGATGACAATCTATACTCATTATATAAGCAAACCCAATTTTAGTCCAGCAAAAAAGCTCCAGGGTACATTTAAAAATTTGCACAGTTTCAATCAGTGACTATTGAAGGATAATATAACACCATAGTTCATTCCATAAATGGATTACACAACCAATACATCATTTAAGAAATACACAGCAGAGCATCAAATTTTACCATTTTATTTCTTCTGAAGATTCAAATGGAGAAATCTCAATTCAGATATGAACTCCCCATTCACCTCCTGTGGCCGAACATGCAATAGCCAAAGAGAAAATGTCAGGCATCCAAACATCCAAAACTACAAAACCATAATCAACACACAACGAAATGATATCACAACCAAAACAAAATATGCTTCACCCTACAAATTCAATCTCACCAATACAACTTCCAAACCCTCCAAATTTCATTTAAAAAAATGAAAAATGCCAAACGCAAGCCGCACGCAAACATCAAAATCATCAACATGCAATGGATCAACAATGAAGCAGAGGTTCAAACAGATTCAATCAAAGCAGACTTCAGTCGGAACCCTAAGAAAACGAAGCAGCAACCAAACGAAGTAAAGCAAAAACAAAAATCAAAAATCAAAACGATTCGACAAATTGCAGTTCGCGCTTTAACTCTAGAACAAAATTCTTTACCTTCCCCGAGCACCAACCCACCGCCGATCGTCCACGCGTTTTCCGGCGACGCCGCACCGGCGAAGAATACGATACGTCCCCTAGAGGTTTTTCTTTTTAAATAATATTTTAATTATCATTTTTTTTTTCCGTGAAAGTTCTCAAAAGACTACAATGTGTTCTGCTAAAGTGAGCGCGGTTTTAAACAGAGACGACAGATCCTGTGCGACGCGGTGCACGTGAACCACACGCTATCTGTGACACGTGTCGGGAACAGAATGAACGGTGAGGATTATTTGCGGATTTCGAAGCTAAATCTGGAGCGTCGGAAATGGATGTGGTGTAATGCACCTGATGCAGAGAATCGGCGCCGCCGTAATTACATTTGAATTAAAATAGAGAAGAGAGATTAGAGTTAATGACGACAGATAAGAATGAGTTGAAAGTAACGTTGAAATTTTGTCATAAGATTCCGTTGTAATAACTCAGACTTTATTAGTATTTACCGAAAATTTCATGATGAGTCACACGCTTTAAATAAATAAAATAATAGATAATAATTATATAAATTTTTATTTATTTACATACATATTTTTTTGGACATTTTAGTAGTATTTATTTTTTTTAGGAAAAAATAAATAAATGACGTACCTTCTTAACAAAATATTATATTAAATATTTCGAATATATTTCTTTTATCTTTTTCCTTATATATTCTTTTTTCAAAACAATAATTCACTATACATATTTATTATTTTTTATATATTTATTACACAATTCTTTCTTTATCTCACTTTAAAAAAATATTATTTCTAATTATTTTACAAAACAAACATACCTTTCACTTTTAAAACTTTTCTAGGAAAAAATAAAAAATAAGATAAAAATATTTGTTTGATTAAGTTCGAAATTGATATATATATATTAATTTGAAATTTTGTTTAAATAATATTATAATTTAATATTTTATCAAATAAAATAATTTATATTTATTAAAACTCAAATTGAATGGAAGGATTTTTATTTAAAATAAAAACAAGTACACGTGTTTTTATTTTATTTGTCAATTATTCTACATTGAAATATATATATGTTCTTAATTATCATATACATTTATTCAAATGTTTCTAATTTTCAAAATATATTTTATTCTGTATAAAATCTCCTTAAATTCTTGAATAAAAATAAATAATATAAAATGTTTAATAAATTTTAAATTTATAAAAAAAAATAATATTGATAACTTATTTCTCAATCATATTGAAAGAATTATATGAAATTTTGAAGTATGATGAAAATGTTTTTTTTGTATTTTAAAATAAATTAATTATTTCAATAATAGAAATAAGTATTTTAAACATTAATTTTAACTACAATAAGTATAGAACAAACATATCATACGATGTTTTATAGAAAAATATATATATTTCATTTTCGTTCGACCCAAAATAAGGTTACCGTTTTTTACTTTAGTAATTGTACTACCTACTTAACATAATAAATACATTTTCAACTTACAATATATTACACAAATGTCATTACTTTTTAATATTACGCCATACTAATAGGGATATTTTTTTTATCTTTTTACTACAATTCAATATAATACTAATATTAAAAATTCTATGTGCAAAAAACAAACGGCACACTTCAAACTGAACGGAGGCAGTATATTATAAATAAATAGTAAAACAATTCCCTCAATGTTTAACAGATTAAAAAGTATTGCATAAATGTACAACAAAATAAAACCTATAGTAGTACTCCCTCCGTCCCATACACCGTGTCTACTACATTGTAGATACGGTATTTTAAGAATTGTGTAATTACTAAATAATTAAGAATATATTAGTGAAAATAATTATCCTATAATATAAATAATTATAAATTAAGATTAAAATAACTAATTAATTTAATTAAAATTAAAAAAAATAAATTAAAAAGTTTAAAATGAAACTAAAGGGTGTAATCATTTTTCAAAAAAGAAAAGTAATATGGAATGTGAAACAAACAGAGACGGCAACGTAAACATGGTATATGGAACAGAAGTATAATTTTTCAATAAAATATACTATAAAAACATATGATACAATAGTATATTTTCTAAGAAAAATAATATATATTCCCTTCCTCCAATAAATTTAGTCTACTTTTTTATAAAAATAAATAAATAAATTTGCCGGAGCAAAGTATAATTTATTTTCAATTAAAATTTTTCCCTATTTTCAAAATAAAAACTTAAATTAGCGATAATAAAAACAGCTGAGGTGTGACCCATCAAGAGACAAGATAACATTAATACATTGAATTTCTTCAATGGCAATCAATCTAACAAACTGAAAAACACCATACCATACCATACCTAACCAACATAAAAATTGACACAACCACACCCCTAGTAACCATGGTTAGTCAACCCAACCCTATTAACTAACCATAGTTAATTAGTTAGTTAGACCGTAACCACACATGCTACACAAGCTACCATCGATCATACTAAACAAACCTTACCTGAGTTAGAAATTCACCGGCGGCTCGGAATTTTCGCCATCGCCGAGAAACTGCTGAGCGACGCCCGTTTCGAAGCTGAAAAAAAAAATTCATGAAAACGAGTAACGATTCGGCGCCGGAGTCGAAACAAAATCAAGAAAATTCGCGAAAGAATTCTTACTCGGAACTTTCGTCGAACTTTTGTGCAACGACAGTCGAGGGAGCGGCGTTTGGCCTTGCTTTACCTGTGGCCGCGGGAGCTCGGCACGTGCATTGCGCCTGCGATCGAATAAAACAAATTTTAGCGACGGAATTTGAACATTCGACAAAAGAAGAAAGATCCTTACTTTTCGGTCGACGGTCGAGCGATCTCGGAGAATCGCCCGGGCCTTGCGATGCTGTTCGTCGGTCCTTCGGATTCGATTCCCGTCGAGAGACTGTCGGATGTCTCGCTGAGTTTCTCGAAATCAGCATCTCCGAGGAAGTTTTCGGCGCCGTCTGCACAAGCTGTTCCCGTTTGCTGAAACAAGTCTTGTCGGAGCTTGAAATCGTCGGCATCCGAATGCTTATCGTTGTCCGGGTCACAAGAGTTTTCGACGCCCGAATATATGTTCGGACCGATCGTCGAATAGCTTATCGGAGACGCTGAATCGATCTTTTCGAGCCATTTTATCCTCCGCATTTCTTCGTCCTTCTTCGCAACGGCATCCTTCAGACTAGCTACCTAAAATATCGATTAAAATTTTGAGATACGATAACCCGATTTTTCAACGGATCTCCCGAAACGAACACGACGTTCACCTGTTCCATAAGCTCTCGAACATCCCGCCCCTCTTTATTACTCCGCGCGGCGCCCAGCTCGACGCCGGAAACCCTCTCGGCGAACTTAAGGGTGCTTATAGTCTCGAAATACGATTCGACGTCCGGGTTGAGTTGAACAAACATGAGCGTTTTCGCTTGGCCACCTGCGACGAAAAAAGTCGAAAATTGCGACTGTTTAAGAAAACCCGTTAAAAATTAAGATTTGGGTGCGTTTTAGATTACGACTTACCGAGGGAGCTTTGAAGCACTTGTGTTAATTTGCTGTTTCGGTAAGGGACGTGGGGATTCTTCTGCGCCAGCGCAAAAATCACGTCTCCGAGTGCCGATAAAGACCTGTTTATGTGCTGCGCTTCGCGCAATCTGTCGCCAGTAGCCTCGGAGCGGTCGACGCGTTCACTTCCGGCGAGATCAACCAAATGAAGGCAGCCACGCAACACAGCATTCGTCTCCAAATCCAATCCGCGGACGTGAACGGTGAGGATGCTTTTGCAAACGACATGAAATCGATATTAGATTCTCGCAAAATTCTAAATACCCGGAAAGTATCGAAAAAAAAAAAGCGTTCATTCCAACCTGTGAGACCGGCTGCTTCTCTCGTTCAAGGCAGTAGCGCCGACGGCGCGATTCATTAACCCGACATTCATCAGCTCTAAAACGTCGGCGGTTGATTTAACGGGATGCATGCTGGCGTCGGGGACAGCTAAACCGTTTGGTTGGGAAGTACTCCAAATCCCAAGCGTAAGCGAGTCAAAGAAACCAATAATACGACACGGTAGAGATTCGAAATCCGAAAAAGTGTAACGAAATAAAGAAAAGGATATCGCTTTTGAAAATTGTCGTTGCAGAGCAAATCGCGGACTTGTTCGTTGTATATTTCGACCATTTGGACGCCGACTTCGTACTCGATAGAGCCACTTCTTGTTTGGGAGATATTGAAGAGATCATCGAGAGCTCGATAGTTGACCCCCCAATCGACGACCGATGAAACACTCGGTCCACTCTGGAAGCATTTCGGAATACGATTAGAATAACAAAGAGAAACAGCGACGAATCGTTTATAGATTTTACGAGCATGAAAATGAATACCATGGTGTAAGTTTTCCCCGAACCGGTTTGGCCGTAAGCGAATATGCAGACATTATACCCGTCAAGAACGGAGCGAATCAATGGCTGAGTGTCTCGAAACACCTCCTCTGCGAACAAGAACGATTTAAGGATGACGAATAAAAAAACCTCAATGCAAGAAGTGTAAATTGAAATACGGTACGACAGGAACCTTGAGTGGCGGCAGGACCGAAGACTTTGTTGAACTTGAAAAGACGATGGCTATCTTTTCCGGGTTTCGACGGGTTTACGACGACTAATTCGCCATTCTCGCCCATATACTGTATGGTTGTTTGTTTTCGACTTTGTCCCGGAAGGAATGGCCGTATTCGACAATAAACTCGTATGTTTCCTGGAAAACATGAACGGGATTATGAAAAAACTTACTAGGACTTAATAATCGGCCCATCCGAACATACGAACCTTTTAAATCTTGAACCTCATTATAGAGTTTTCGATTTTCTTCAAGCACAGTGTGGTAATCTTGAGCAGCATCGATCAATCCTTTTAGATTCAAACCTAATAATAGTAAATGAAACAAAATAAAAAAATTATCGCAAGCGAGTCGCAATTCAAGAAGTATATGTGTACAAAGATAATCCAATATATTCATACCAAAACGATGAAATTCTTCGGCATACTTGTACTTAATATTTGAAACCTCTTGCTTTATGGACTCAGTCGACAATCTCAGGCTCTGATCAATCTCCGAACACACATTAGTCACTGAAGGCAGGCTAATTATAGAAATGAAGATTAAATTTAAATGAGGCGAGCACCTGTAAAGATCCGGTTTGAGAATCAATGAAATGCTTGTATACATGCTCCTTTCTTTTCCACAGCATAAATTTCGATTCGGAAAATTCCTCGAGTTCTTTCACTTTGTTCCTTGAATCAGACAGAAGGTACTCAAGCTCAAGTATTTTCTTCTGTAGTTTATTTTCAGTTTCTTCGGCCCTGACTTCCAATCGAGAGCAATTCTCCTCGTAGGCCTTTTTCGCTAATTTTACCTCTTCCTCGAGTGATGAAATTACACTTTCACAGTGGTCCTTTTCTTGCTTCAATGTAATTAAACCCTGTTCTATGAGCTCCTTCTCCTCCTTGGATTTACTCTCCTGAAACTGTAGGAGACGAATAATTGTTAGTAATCGAAGAAAATTGAAACAATCTTTTAAGAAGAAAAGGATTGCTTAAAAGTTGATGTCCCAAATGATACTCAAAAACTAATGGAATAAGAAAGTATTTCATCAAACAGAAGGTTAAAAAGCACCAACCATGTGTGAACATTAATTATAAAGCTGATATAGGCATATAAAACGACAGATACTATAATTTCTAAACAAAAATGTCGAAAAACAAAGAATTGTGTTGTAAAAAATAAAAACACATATTAGTATTCACCACTTCCATTGAATATATATGTAGACTGAGAGAACACGAGCAATATAAAAGCCAAAAAATCTCGACGGTTTTTAAGTTTCAGTTTGTGAAAAAAGCAGAATGTAATAAATCGATTTAAACAAATTTATTTGCTCGATTAAGACAAGAACCTTTGATTGCTGGAGCTGGTTCAAGACAACCTGCAGAATTCGAAATTTCATAAGTTGAAAGAGATACAAGTGATGATTCAAGACCAGCATGCATATAGATTGCAACTTCTATAATCGCACCTCATTTTCTTCGGTGGTTCCACTCACAAGGGTTTCTAAAACTCTAATCTTTTCCAGGCACCTCTCTTCACGAAACGTGTACAGAGCGCTTTGCTGCAATAGCACCATAATGCAGAGTTACAAATTATATTTTACGACAGAAAAAGACAATAAGATTGCTGACAATAGGCTACCTTCTTCATCTTTTGGGATTGTTTCGAAACCTGCTGCTGAAGCTCCAAAATAAGTAATTTCAAAATGGATGCAACACCCTGCAAAAAAAAAAAATACAGTTTATAAGTAATCAGCAAGCATCGACAGAAACAGGATGAACTTTCTTTACATGCAAACTCATGGTGATACGATACCTTAGGGATGTCGTCATTCTTCTGTTCAATGCAATTATCAATCATCCTATTTATGATACTGAATGTTGCCGGGATAGAGGCGGTCTGCGAGATTTAAGTGCATTAAAGCATAAATATGTTCCATAACAATAGTGTGTGATCCAAGGAGGTTTCATTTTCACACTACCTTGAAACTCCCGTAGTTAATCAGCTCTGAAATCTTAGAAATCGGGATTTCCACATAATTTCCACCCTTTGTTTGGACAAGATCAGAATTATGGCCCCCTACATGAAACAAACACAGGAAGAATGGTAAATTTATATGAAATAGCTGAAGGATGGCTACATATACGCAACCATAAATTTACCAAGATGAACCAAATGACAACAATGTCTAAACCTCATGATATTGTTGATTCAAATCAGTACGTCGAATCAAATTAATCAATTGATAGAACACAAAAATTATTATTATCTAAACATAAACACAAAATAGATTCAGTATAATAACCTAAATCCTAGACTCACTGGTTTTTTAAGGTTTGGTTTTGATCTCACACTATTCGTTAAATTTCACCTCTCCCTCCACCAAAACCATCAAATCAATAACCAATCGTTCATTTTATATATTACACAAAAAGTAACTTTTTACTCACAAAATCACATCAAACATCTATTTATATCAAATCAAATACTATTTAAATTCAAAATTCTACTATTACTAAAGTAACTAAACCTCAAACCCAATTAAACAACAGCCGAACATCCTAGGAATGCAAGATATAATAAACATTACAAAGACGTATAAATCAAGCGGACTCCACATTGAAAACAAGATAGGATAGACCCGGAGCAGTGGCCAGGCCAGATCCTCTGGCACCAGCACAATCTGCTATGGAGTTCTCTTCAGCATCAATTCATTCCTCCTTTATTCTCTACGATATTTTATAAAACTACTCCAAGGTTAGGTAAGATTATTCATTGAGAAAAGAAAATTTAATGAAATCCTATAGATAGATAGTGTTTGTAGTATTGTCAACAGAAACTTGTCTTGCAGCTATAACCGTAAATCCGGAATCATGTAAAAGATGTCCTAAATTAAGACTACATGCTCATGTAAGCAGACTTGAAGTTGAACACTCTCAATTCCCGACTAGATCACAATTAACAGCTGTACCTTCAGCCAAACCATTTAAAGTTTCCGTTGTTTCAGAAGCAAGGCCATTACAAACTTCATGTAAGCTACCAATCTCCCCGTATTTTGATGCATTGACACCCGGAAGTTGCTCCATCATAAGCTTGGCAAATGCTTCCAAAGGCCACTACTGGATTTTGATGCTGAAAGGTGAGAAAACAATACAGGAAGATTTATCTCTATAATTATCAAAAGTACAATCGATAATAAAATTAGGAAATGGAACCATTTGTCAAGTTTGCACAAATGTATATTGAAGCAACCAAAAGTCCGAATTTATCATAAACCTAACCAATCCCGAGAACCATAATACTAAGAAATGCAACTTGAATACTCTGATAGCAACTTTCCACTTTCTTAGCCTACATTAATTTCATCCCTATATTCTCCGGCTTCTAGCTCTGCCGAATCGAATAAATCCGAGCCAAGATCAGACTCAACCAAACCTAAGCTCACTGAGCAAAACAGATGTTCTCAAAATCGATTCAACTCAACTGAACTCCAAGTGATTACCAAGAGCACAAATTTCGATAATGAAATTCGAAAAATGAGTTAGTTCAAAATAATTTATATCAAAGCAACAAAAGATACCAAATTTATCCTGAACCTAAACAATCCCAAGAACTATAATACTACGAACTGCAAAATGAATCTCTAATAGCAACTTTGCCACTTTCTTTGTCTACATTGATTTGATCCCCTTATTCTCAGCCCTCTAGCTCAGCCGAATCGAATAGATCGGGGCCAAGTTCAGACTCAACCAAACCTAAGAAGCTCACTTAGCAAAACAGATTTCTCGAATTTCCCAAATCGATTCAGCTCAACTGGACTCCAAGAATGTTACTAAAAAGCTAAGGCTGAAGCCCTAAACTCAACTGCTGTAAATCAAATCTGTCATGGAAGCCAAAATGCACGAAGGGATTCGATCATTTAGCACCTTCAAATCCAACAAGAATCTACATCCGAGTTCATTCATTTTAAAAGTAAATGAGGTGCAAATGTCATTCTTTACCAAACCCTAAATTAAACCCAGCATCTAACGACTTCTTCATCTACATCGGAATATAAAGATTTACAAAGTGAAACGAAAGAACATCTGAAGAACGCTTCACAAAACCCTAATTACATTCGATTAAAACGCACATACCTAAAAGTGCAGCAGAAATCCCACCCAATCGATCAAGCAAATCTAAAGTTCCCAAATTCTACAGCCCACTCTTCACCTCCATCCTTCCATATCACGCTGTAACATTACCCCTCAACTTTTTTCCTTAATTTTTCGGCGGAAATGGCGACACGGAAAAGGACGAGCAGATGAACTACCAGAAGATTCTTGTCTGCCCCTTCTCGGACGTACTGTAAAGCCAATTCCAAAATTTCTCCGTTTAGTAGAAATGGACCAAATTTCCGTTGGTGTAAGGGGGAAATTGAACAGAAAGCGAGAGCAATGTGGAATCCAAATTAGGGATTTTTGAATTGTGTTGTGATAAAGGGAGTGTAGAATGAAATTTGAAAAGGGGCGTGGGCCACCATGGCAGTATATTTCGGAATGCGATTCCCGCCTTGTCTTGGCTTTCACTCGTCGTTTCCGTCTTCGACTGGCCTGCTTTTATCTGTACCACATTTCTTTTATTACGTGAACTTACCGGGTCGAAAAAGTAATTATAAAAAAATTTGAGGGCGTGGTATTTTGTATTTGGAGTATTACTATGTCCTATTATATTTGGGTGTGTTTTTTTATTGTAAAATTTTAACACATTTTTTATTAATATTACAAAAAAAACATATATTTTATTCATTAAAAAAAACAAATAATTCAGCTTCGAAATAGATTCGGCATTTCTGAGTTTTTTAAATTAAAACATTATTTTATTTAAAATATCTTGAGAATTTTATAAATTCATATTACTTACAAGTGTACGAATTGAACTTGGCGTCACCTTCTATCTATTCATTTACTTTTTTTTACATATTAATTTTTTAATATTAATTATTATATCAAAATATAGTACAAATTTTAAAAAAATGACAAAAATATTTTTATTGGTATCTTATAATACTAATGAGATTTATTTAAAAAAAAAAATATACAAATATAATGATATTTTTAATATTAAAAATAATGACTGACAAATACAAATGGAGGTAGTACTTCTTTCATCTTATTTTATTAAAAATTAATAATATTTTATTCGTCAGTAGAAATATGTAATATTTTTTATCTTATTTTCTTTAAAATACAAAATAAAATTAATATTCCCTCCGTCCCATAAGTAAATATTCATTTGTTTTTTGCACGTAATTTTAGAAACATTAGTATTATATTGGAATATAGGAGAAATAAAGTATAAATGACTAAAATAACCTTATTAATATGTGTAATATAAAGGTAATGACATTTGTGTAATATATTGTAAGTTGTAAGGGTATTTATAATGTTAAGTAGATAGTACCGTTACTAAAAAAGAAAATGGATACTGTGTTATGGAACGGACTAAAATTGAAAAATTGATACTTTGTTATGGGATGGATATAGTATATTTTATAAAAATTAAAAATATTTGGATATTTATAGTACTCCCTTTATTCAAAAACAATAAGGACAATTGAAATGGATACAAGAATTAAATAATAATAATAGTATTATATTCATTGTTGGTGTAAAAGTATATAATTGTTGTGAAAAAAAGTTAGAGAAGTAGTTACAAAAATAAAAATTGGAGTATTGTTTTATGACGGACGAAAATGACAAAATAGGACTATTGTTTTATAACGAACTAAAATGATAAAATAAGACTATTATTTTAAGACGAATGAAGATTTTTTAGTGGACGGACGAAAATAATAATAAAAAAATACATTGTATTGAGAAAAAAAAGTACTCATTCCGTTTCAATATAGTCTTATTACCATTTTTGTCCGTCCCAAAATAATATTCTTTTTTTCATAAATAACTATATCACCATAAACTACCTCTACTTTTTTATTTTTATTACACAATTGTCACTACTTCCCGCTGAGCCATTTTTTATTAACACAATGACACCGGGCCCTTATTGTAGCTCGTGCTACTGAATCAGTTGTTACACTAATACACTTACAAGAACAAAACAGTTTTTTATTCATATTTTCTACCAACTACCAAGATGATATCAATATTTCTTAAGTCTCGTGTCCAACTCAATTAAGACTATATTTATGGAACGGATGGACTATTATATAGTAAAAACTTATATTTATATTAATATAAAATATTAATTTTTATATTATGATATACTTTTTTCATGTATAAATTAGGGAAAAAAAACTACCTCAAATTACAAACAGAAACAAACATACCCTTTATTTACATATTGGAATTTTCTCTTAAGGTGTGTTTGTTTTCGAGTTTGGATTTTGATTTGGGATTTGAATAGTAAAAATTTTGAGTTTGAATAGTTGTATGATGTGATATAAATGTGTGTTGATGTGATGTTTTGAATGTAAAATTGATTTTTAGTATAATATAAAAAATAGAAAAATAAGTGTTTGATTTGATATTTTTGGGAGAAAAATTATGATGAATAGAATTAAGACCATCTCCAACCCATAACTCCATTTTTGCAGGGTCTACAATACATTTCTCCATTTTCGCAGGGTTACAGTAACCCATCTCCAACCATACCCTCTATTTTTGCAGGTCTCTTCTCCAACCATACCCTCCGTTATTTTTGCAGGGTTAAAAAATATTCTCTTTATATTTTATTTTACACAATTTTTTAAATTACAAATAAAATTTAATATTTTATTATTTTTATACATTTAAGTTATAATAATATTTTTAATTAATATTTTAAATATTATACCGAAAAATTATATTTATTAATATTGTAGGCATAATTTTATATTGTATTCTTAAGTTTATCTTTTATTTAATGTTATGATATTTTTTTATAATTAATGTTATTTTTTATTTATAAATCTTATAATATTTTAAATTTAATATATATAATTTATAATTATTTACCATTATCAATTAATTATAAATTTTAATAAATATTAAATAAATAAATAATTTACTATAAATATTAATTACAAAATTATAATAAAAAATAATAAAATTAAAAGTAACAAAAATAAAATATATAAAATATAAACTTAAAACAAAATAAATAAAAGAATAAAATAAATAAAATATAAAAATATAAACAAAATAAAAAATTGATACAATTTTTTATTTTGTTGATGATATTTAAAAAATTAATAACTACATAAATAAATAGATAATTATATAAATAAATAGATAATTATATTAAAATAAAAAAGAAAATTGCACCCAGCTGAAATCAGTGGGTGCTACAGATTTTGATTTTGAATAATAAAATTTTAATTTGAAATAGTTATTTGATGTTATATAATAATATATACTAATGTGATGTTTTAAATGTACAACTATATTTTAGTGTAATAAAATAAATAAAAATTAGGTATTTGTTTTGGAGGGGAAAAAAATTAAAATAGTAAAATTAGAGATAAAATTCTACAAGTAAATAGAGTCTCTGTTTAGATAAAAAAATATATATATATAGGATAATTATATACGAAATTTGGAATAAAAAATAATGTTTGATGAATATTTTGTGAAATAAAAATATTTACATTTGATAAAACTGTATATTAATAAACAATACTTTATCTGTCCCAATAATAATAGTTCTGTTTATCATTTTTTGTCCGCCCAAAATAATAGTTTTGTTTCCATGAATAATCATATCACTATAAAATTATCTATACTTTTTCATTTTTATTACACAATTGTCACTACTTTTTACACTAATACACTCACAACAACAAAAAAGTATTTTTGCTATATTTTTTACCAACTATCAATATAATATCATTACTCCTTAAATCTCTGTGTCAAATCCAATTAAAACTATATTTATGGGACGGACGGAGTATTAAAATATTAATGTACATAAATAAAATTTAATTACTTAAATGGTGTGTTCGTTGGGGGTTTGGATTTTGAGTTAGGATTTGAATAGTAAATATTTTGAATTTGAATAGTTGTATGATGTGATATAAATAGGTGTTGATGTGATATTTTGAATGTAAAATTGATTTTTAGTATAATATAAAAAATTAAAATAGGTATTTGATTTGATGTTTTTGGAAGAAAAAAAAAATTGGATTAATAGTATAAATCCAATCCAATCCCCTGAAACAAACACACCCTAGTAGAAAAAATAAAATCTCAAAGATGATGCTCCCTTAAAAATACTTCCAAAAACATATGTATAATCTTGAAAAAATAAAAACGTTTCTGAATAAAGCAAGAATATTAATAAAATTTACCTAAGAAATTCAGAGAAATTCAACAAATGGAAATAATATCCTCGTCTTTAAAAGTGTGAGGAATCAAATATCAATTTTTATTTATTTATTTTTAAATATAAAATTTATTTATTTATCTCAATGCAGCAGCTCATACCTCGTACAACTTCGAAAATTTCAATACTATACGAAGTTCTCTCTGATTATTCAAGATCTGAGGTTTTTATTTTTTTATTTTTATTTTTATTTTCTAGAAATTGGTTTGCAATTTCGATTCATCCAAGTTCCCATTAGGGTTTTCTGATTTGGGGATTTTTAATTTTAAAGATTCTCATCAAAATCATCGAGTGTTTGTATTCTTAGAATCTTTCAAGATCCTAAAATTCGAAGAAAACGATGAACAGTGACGAAAGATTCGATCAGAGATGGGAATTCAGAAGGAAAGAAAACGTATGGGATTCCTCATCCTCGGATTCCTCGAAATCATCGGATAAGAAGAAAAGCCTTGTCTTATTCTCGCCGGAAAATATCACCGGAGATTCTCCGGCGCCGGAATCCGGCATCCAAAACAATGTCTTAAACCCCACCAAAGCCCCTAAAAGGAAAGCCAAGAAAAAGACTCCGGCCGCCGGTCCCGCCGCCGCTGCCGCCGGCAGACCCGGTAATAAATCGAAGAAGTGTCCGGCGGCGGCGACGACGGAGAGTGGTCGAAAGAGGCGGCGGCGGAGCAAACCCGAAGATCCTAAAAATCCGGAAATGATTTTCGAGGATCTTAAGAAATTTTCCGATTCGTTGATTAGGGAAATCAGCACTGTCCGGGAAGGATTATCCCGACAGTTAAGGGAAGTATCCTCGCCGTGTTGTAATAATAAGAAAAAAAGTATAAGGAAAAAATCGCAACCTCAAAAAGAAAAATCACTGAAAACACCCAAAAATTGTATTGTGGCTATTCCTGCCATAACGGTAAAAGGGGGTCGAAAACAGGGGAAAGTGGCGGCCGAGCCTAAGACAAAAGATCGAAAGATAGTTAAGGACGATGATGTAATAAAAATTCAAAATTGTGCGATGCCGCCGGTGGATTCTAACACGGCGGGATTGGTGATGCCGAAATCCTTAGAAATTCCGAGCTCGGGAAACCAAGTTCGGACAAATGGTTTAAACTCGGACACGGAACTTTTTAAGGCAATGGATGTCGAGACGGGAGTTTTAGGATTTAAACGTGAAGGCGAACAATATGGAAATTTTATGTGCTTTGGGAATCAAACTTGTCCTCGTTTGAAGATTCGGAGCTGCCCACAGACAGCGCCGCCGGCGACTGTCGAAACAGGATTTCCGGTGGCGGCGCTGTCGAAAAAGATGAGTTCTAACACGTCGGAGGAAAGAAATCAGTAATGGTGAGTGAAGATTATGAATTTTATTATTATTATTATTTGAAGGTTTTGAATTTTTAAAATCATCTACAACATTTGGAGATCTCAATTGTCTCACCATAAAAAATAAAAAAATAATTAAATAATAAAAAGATAGAAAATATTAATATAATGTAATGTGTAGAGGATACATAATAACAATAATAATAATAATAATAATAATAGCTCAAACAACCTATCTCATTGGATTCGAGATAAATATATTTGTTTTTATTTTATTTGATCTTTGGCAAATGCATCAATTTTTATATTTTATTTTATGTGGTATAGGTTACGTCTATTGAAAATATAAAAAATAATATTTTATGGTGAATTTTTTTTATTTTTTTATTTTTTTTATAAATGAATAACATTTATATTATATTAATGTATACATAAAATAATATTTTATGTTTAAATTATTTATTTTTTTTATAAATAAATAATATTTATATTATATTAATATTTATGTATATTTGTATATTTTTAATGATATTTATGAAAAACTATTCTATTGAAAATTATTGCCGAAGGAATATTTTATCAATTCAACATTTTTATAATAATTCATAATGCTACTAAATAGATCTTTGAGTAAAATTAAATCATAAACACATTTTTGGGTGTGTTTGGTTTGTAAAATGATTGAAAATTATTTCTTAATTTACTCCAAAGGACTATTTGATTTGGGACGAATGATGTATTATTAACTAATTAAATATTATTATCTTAGATATGGACTTCAAATAAAAAGTATTACATATTTTTTGTTCTAAGAGTCTCATTTATTTTTTTGTATTTTGATATTTGAATATTAATTAATATATCAAAACGTAGTACAAATTTTTTAAAAAATTCTAAAAATACTTCTATATACTAATAAAAGGATATTTGTAAAATATATATATACAAATATAAAAATATTTTTAATATTAATACAATGATACAAAAAGTAAATATCAGTTAGATTTGGAGGCGGATGGCGAATATCAATTAAAATGAGACTGGAAAAAATATACCATTTTTTAAAAAATTATTATTAATAAATAATAATTAAACCTTGAAAGTATAAATTATATATATATATATATATAATTTTGGAAAAGAATACAAGGGAAGGGATGCCCATCACATGTGAGAAGGAAACCGAATGGGCCATTGCACTATTTATTACATACACGATTGTAAGATAGTGTTTACCCAGGGTGTGTTTGTTTGGGAGTTTGGATTTTGAGATGGGATTTGAATAGTAAAAAAATTGAATTTAAATAATTGTATGATATGATATAAAATAGGTGTTGATGTGATGTTTTGAATGTAAAATTGATTTTTAGTATAATATAAAAAATAAAAAATATGTGTTTGATTTGATATTTTTGGGGAGAAAAAAATGGGATGAATAGTGGATTAGAAATCCAATCCCCAAACAAACACACCCTTATAAGATTATAATAATAATAATTATTTTTAATAAAAAAAATTAATTTGAAATAGTTATTTGATGAAATATAAATATACGTTGATGTGATATTTTAACACTAAAATTAGATTTTAGTGTAATCAAATTAATGATAAATTATATAACACCCTCTTGTTTTAGTAAAAATGCTCAAAATATCGTATGTTTTATTTAATGTGTGAAACCCTCTTGTGTTAATGTAAAGTTTGCACGAAACACCCTTATTGTTAAAAAAATGATATTTGGTTCTAAATAAAAACCTAAATTACGCAAGTTTTATACAAATAAAAAAAGTAAACTATATGCTCCCACATCATAAAAAAAACGTAAACTATCTTAAATAACTTTTTTGGAATAAAATAAATAAATAAATAATTGATTAATCATTTGTTTTATTGTCTTTTTAGACAAAATTTTATCTGATTTTTATGAAAACTATACAAATAAATGATTGATAAATTATTTATTTATTTATTTTATTCAAAAAAAATATTTAAGATATTTTTTATTTTTTATTTGTATAAAACTTGTCTAATTTATAACCAGACATCAGTTTTGGACAATGAAGGTGTTTCGTGCAAGATTTATATTAATATAAGAGAGTTTCACGCAATAAATAAATAAAATGACAAGGTGTTTTGCGCATTTTTACTAAAAGCACAAAGAAATTGTTATATAATTTACCTTAAAATAAATAAAAAATAGATGTTTGATTTTATATTTTTAAAAATAATAAAAAATAAAAATAATAAAATTATGATAAATCCCACGACTAAACAGAAGCTCGAATTTGAACGTTAACAATGAGCAATTATTTGGAATTTATTTGATAGTAGTTTCAAATTGATTTAAAATTAAATAATAATTCTATTTCTTTTTAATATAATATTTTATAAGATAAAATTTATATTTTTATTAAAAATATTCAAGATAAATAGTCTTAATTTCAATTTAAAATTATAAAAAAATAAACTATATATATTTTTCAAAAGAATATCCGATCAAAAAACATATTTGTGTTTGTTTAGATGATTGGATTTTAAATACATTATTCATCCTATTTTTTTTTCTAAAAAAGATCAAATCAAACACTTATATTTCATTTTTTATATTATACTAAAAATCAATTTTACATTCAAAATATCACGTCAACACCTGTTTATATCACATGATACAACTATTTAAATTCAAAATTTTTACTATTCAAATCCCAATTCAAAATCCAAACCACCAAACAAACAGACTAAATTACAAGATTCATTATTTCATAGTGTAATTAGAAATTTATATTACTACTAATTTTATACCCATTATTTGTCTATATACATCCACAACATTTATTGACCCATGTAGTGTAATTCAAAATTTATATTACTAAAATTTTAATTATACTCTTAAAAAAATACACAAATAATATTAAATTATATATATATATTTAAATATGTGTCCAAAAGTTTTGAGCATTATTTTATAAATTCAATAGACAAATTCTTGTAAATCAAGTGATGAGATATTCACTGCTTAAATTAGACTTGGATTTAATTTCGGATTAATGCAATAATATTTAAATTATTAAGACATCATAGCTAATTTATTATTATTTTATTATTATCATATCACATTTTTATCACTCTTTAATAAATTTATCCTAATATTTTACTTATTTTTTACATACTTTATTTTTGAATTAAAATATTATTTACGATAAAATTAATCCGAACTGAAAAATTATATTTTTACATGAATAATATACATGTTTGTATTTAAAATTTTTTAAATCAAAATAACACGTTTATCCTGTACATTTTAAATAAAACACACAATTTCATCTCGTAAAATATTATACTAATATATTATTTAAAAAAAAATCAAATTTAATACTCGTTTCGTCCCGAAACAATAGTCTCATTTTATTATTTAGCATGGTTCACAATAGTTGTTTCATTCCTATTTTTGTAACTAGCTCCCACATTATTATAAAATTATAGCTATTTATTCACAATAATTACATAAAATATGAGTATTTTGGTCTTCTAAAATTATTTTTACCTCACTATCAATATAATACTATTATTTTAATATCTAAAATGTCCATACGATCTTGAAACGAAAAATATTTAATTTCAAATCAATTTGAAACCTCGACAAAATAAATAGTTCATCCATCCCATAACTAGATATCAATTTATTTTTTGCACGTAGTTTTAAAATATTAGTATTATATTAAAATATAGTAGGAATAAAATAAAAATGACTAAAATTACTTTATTAGTACATGTGATAAAAAAATAATGATATTTATGTAATATATTATAAGCTGTAAAAATATTTGTAAAATTAAATAGATAATATAGTTACTTTGGAAATAGATATTTTTGTCGACTAAAATAAAAAAATTGAATACTTACGAATTCTCCAAAATTCCAAATCTGCCCCAGAACTAGAGAAACTCAAACCATTGTCATTTTTAACAGCTTTGTTTTCTTTCTCTTTCTTGTCAGTTTCTTTTCAGCGTCAAAAGCATGGGCGAAAAATTTTGCCCTTCGAAAACAGAGCTAACAGACAGTCAATAAGATGAAGAAGAAAGCACAGTAACAAACTCCAGATTTTATTATTATTATTATTATTTTTATTTATTTAAAATTAATTTATTTCTCGCCATTCTTTTATTGCAGATCGATCATATACAATACTGCCCCTTTCTCGCTCTAGAAATCGATTGAAGGCAGCTGTGGCGATGCTGTGACGAAAACAACCATCACAGACCACAATTAATCAATCTCCATGGCCTTCCGGAGACTTCTCTGCTCACTTACTCTGTGCGCTGTTTTGTTGATTTTTTCAGAATCTCCGGCTAAAGTTACCGCCGGTGACATAGTCCATGACGACGATCTGGCCCCGAAGAAGCCTGGATGTGAGAATGACTTCGTTCTGGTGAGAATTTTACCATTTTTTTTTATGTTTATTATTTTGGTAAAATCCTTTTTTTAGTTTTAGGATTTGAATTTGGTAGTTAGATAGATTGAATCTTGACTTATATTTCTTTGTGTGGTGCTGAATTAGTGGAATTTGTAGCTGGGATTTTGCTCTTAGATGATGGGCTTTCTTGCAGCTGATTTTTGTTATGGATTTCATTAATGTTGTTCTGTGTTGATGATGTCTTTGTTTTTTGGTGTTTGATTTGTTTTTGATTTCGTTAATATTTCTTGTTTTTTGAGGGTTTTTATTTTTATTTTTTTTTATGTTTGGATTTGAGTTTTGAATTTCATAATACTAGTAAAAGTTTGAACTAAAATATTTTATATTACCCATCTGTAAAAATAGCCCATTTGAGTATATTTGAAATTTTACTTAGTAATTAAGGATGAATAAGAGAGAATTATAGTAAATAAGTATTAGCTTAGAATGTTGAAAATTTGACTGTTAAAATTTATAATTGACTAAATTTAACGAGAGGGACAGAGGGAGTGTTATTAATATGCTACTCTCTATTCCGGTAGAAAGTGTAGATAAAAGATTCTTTATTGAAATGACACTATTTTTTGGATAATTGTAAAGTGATATGATTATTTATTGAAATGAGACTATTTTTTGGACGAGCAGAAATGGTAAAACATGTGGGAAAGTCAACATGGGATATGATGATGTAAAATTTTGTTTTAGATAATTGAATATATAAATATGACACCCTGACCCCAAGCCACGCAAAGTTGGCCATGTCGGGACTGGCCCCACATGGTTACCCAGTCTCAAATAACCTTAGATCAAACACACTTAAATTAAGAGTTCTTTCAATAGGGCTTCCGAAAAGAATGTGCACATTGTTGATATGAGTAGTCTATTTAGGGGGTGTTTGTTTGGGGGTTCGAATTTTGAGTTGGAATTTGCATAGTAAAAATTCTGAATTGAAATAGTTGTATGATGTGATATAAATAGGCGTTGACGTGATATTTTGAATGCAAAATTAATTTTTAGTATAATATAAAAAATATAAAAAAAAATGTTTGATTTGATGTTTTTTGGGAAAAAAATTGGGTGAATAATTAAAATCTTTACAAATCCTCCAAACAAACACACCATTAATTCATTTAATCTTTATTCTACTCGGGGTATCACATCCTCCCCAACTCATATTACTATTCAACTCCGGGGGTATTACAATAAATGCTTGGGATAAAATAAATGTGTGGGAGTGTTTAAGAGATTTTGAGACATAAAATAGGGTATTGTAGGAAAGTAACAAGCCATATGATAATGTAAGATTTTTTATTTTAGATAAATTGAATGCATAAATGTGTGGGAGTGTTTAAGAGATTTTTCTTGTTGTAATATTTTTTTTAGACAAACCAAAAAGGAAAACATGCATACATTTAGCATATACTAGATATTATTAAATAAAAAATAGATGTTTCATTTGATGATATTAGGAAAAAAATTTGATAAATACATATTGTGGTGGTTGAGTGGTTTCAATTGCATTGTTGGTCGATGCATTTGAGTCGAATACCTTGAATTTGGGTAATATGCAATTATCTAGTGAGTTGGGCATTATTTGCTTCGATTTCTTTTTCTTTCAGTTTCTTTCATATGTAATTCTCACAATTCTCGTCATTTTTCTCTCACAAAACATTACGTTTAATCTACTATTTAGACCAAAACAAGAATCCCAAAATCACCAAGTAAGTGCACCCTCTATTTGTGTAATGACTTGCTTTTTATCCATTTTTGCTTACAATGAGGACTGCCTTCGTATTGTTTTTATGGCGATGCTTTTCTATTGTACTTTGTCGCGAGAATGAATCAATAGCTATAGTGAAATAAGTATTTGTTAGTGAAATTTCACTTTTAATGCCGGGTGTAAAAGTTGGCATCTCTTGACGAACAATGGTGACCAATATTTTTTAGTTCAATTGATTTCTTGCATAATATGCTTTAGAGATGGTTTGAGGAAATATTTATGTGGTATGTTAGGCGTGTTCATATGGGGTTTGAAATTGATTTAAAATTATGTATTGATTTTAATTTTTATTTAAATAATATTTCAATATGATATTTTGTGAGGAAATAATTATTTTTATTGGAAATTGTGTCGGGTATATATCGTTGATTTAAATTTGAATGATAAAAAGGAACAAACGCTTGGTATGTTTAATTTGAGGTGTTCTTTTATAGTAGGAATGTGGAAGTCTATCAGAGATATAAAAGTTAGATATTTTATATTGCATTAGTGACATTTGTGATTTTCAGTAATGTTAACCAAAGTACAAGGTTTGTTTGGTTGAGATTTCTATTTAAATCACCATTATTCATTAGCATGGTTTTCAATAAAAATTTACTACTTTTTTTTTACAAAACATCGCATTAAAGGTCGTGGGTCTCGTTAAGTATTTAACACTATTCGACTCGAGTTACTAAAAATCAGCCTATGAAGCTTCTTTGTTATTCATCTTATGATTATACTTTATGGTTTACATCTACGGCGACTTTTACTTCGGTGTCAGGTAAAAGTTCAGACATGGATTGACGGCATGGAAGACGAGGAATTCGTCGGGGTTGGAGCTAGATTTGGCAAGATAGTATCGAAGGAAAAAAATGCAAACCAAACTCACCTCGTCCTCTCCGACCCCCGCGACTGCTGCAGCCCGCTAAAAAGAAAGGTTTTATTTTTTATTGCATTCGTAATCAGCATTAGCCGTTTTTTCAATGCTAATTACAGCTCTGATCTTGTTATATTTTTAGTTTTCCGGAGACATTCTAATGGTGGATCGTGGTAAGTGCAAATTCACTGTTAAGGCAAATTTTGCTGAAGCAGCAGGTGCGTCGGCTGTCCTCATAGTAAACAACGAGCGAGGTAATGACTCACTGTGGATTTCTCTAGCCTTTCTTGTATGTCGAAATGTGTTTTTATAGACGAACAATGGTTCGAACCTGAGAACTGTGCTTCATTTTCGCTAAATTGCAGAACTTTACAAGATGGTTTGCGATCCCGACGAAACTGATCTTGATATTCAAATTCCAGCTGTCATGCTCCCGCAAGATGCCGGTAATACGTTGGAGAAAATGCTATCGAACGGCTCGTCAGGTGGGGATTTTATTTCCTTATCGAAATGAAATACTCCGTCCGTTCCAATTCAATGGGGTCTTTTGGGATTTTGTAGCAAATTAAAAAATAATACTCCATCCGTCCGGCTCTAATCGTCTCATTTACCTTTTGCATTGTACTTAATATTAAAAATATTCTTATATTTGTATAATTTTCTTCAGAAATGTTGTTATGATTGTATTATAAGACATTAATAGAAATATTTTTGTCATTTTTTATTGATTTGTACTATGTTTTCGTATAATGATTAATATTCAAAGATCGATACGCAAAAAGTAAATAAGACCCTTAGAGAGCCGGACGGAGATAGTAGTATTTTATTAGTTAGTGAAAGTGTGTAACAGTTTTTTATAATTTTGTTTTTTAGTAATTTTATACGTAATGATATAGTAATTTAAGAAAAAGTTAAAGTATTTTCATACTAGTGTTGATTATTTTTTCTAAAATAGGAAAGAGAAATACTTTGAAGTGGGACGTACGAAAATGGTAAAAAAAATACTTTAAATTGGGACGGAGGAAGTACCAACTTATCATTCATTTAAAATCTTTTAACATTAAAGCTCGATTCTATGTATAGTGTCCGTGCAGCTTTATTCTCCGAAGAGACCCGAGGTCGACATAGCCGAAGTATTTCTTTGGTTGATGGCAGTCGGGACTATCTTGTGCGCTTCTTATTGGTCTGCATGGAGTGCTCGGGAAGCAGCCATAGAGCAAGATAAATTGTTGAAGGTACAAGCGATTTGAATTTTATTTCTCGATTCCCGCAATTTTTTATTGTTAAATTATGGAAGTAATATCGAAACATGTATTAGGATGCTACCGACGATTTTTCGAACATTACTAAAAGCACGGAGAGAAGCAGCGTGGTGGATATCAACACTATATCCGCCGTTCTGTTTGTAGTCGTCGCTTCGTGCTTCTTGATTCTAATATACAAGCTAATGTCGATTTGGTTCATTGAACTCTTGGTGGTTCTCTTTTGCATTGGTGGCGTAGAGGTACGAATCTTTTGCACGTGTTGTATTGAGAATCGAGACATACAAAATCTTTTTGTTATTAGGAAATCGGAATATCCGTTCAAAGAGCTTCGACTTGTCGAATTTATGGTGTTTTCATTTTGCAGGGGTTGCAAACTTGCTTAGTTGCATTACTCTCAAGGTATATGATTTTTCGGTATATACCTCGATTAGAGAGTAGAATATTTCTCGGTTGATTTCTACTTAATATGTGGCTATAGAAATTCTCGATGCTCGGGTTATAGAAAATGACTTAAGGCTCTGTTTGGTTTGATGTATTTGTATTTGACGGTCGATTTTAAATGAATGAATTTGAATTACTTTGAATTTGAAATGCTTTTGGAATTTAGATCTGCTGTTTGGTATTATGAAGTATTGAAGGCTGTGTTTGTTCGGAGGTTTGGATTTTGGGTTGGGATTTGAATAATACAAATTTTGAATTAGAATATTTGTATGATGTGATATAAATAATTATTGACGTGATGTTTTGAATGTAAAATTTATTTTTAATATAATATAAAAAAATAAAAAAGAGGTGTTTGATTTAATATTTTTGGAAAGAAACTTTTGTATGAACAGTGGAAGTCTTCCAAAATCCTTGAAACAAATATTTGAAATCGCTTTCTCTCAAATCACCCAAACCAACCAGTGCCTAACGACTAACGGAATTGTGCTTTTGTGTAAATTCTCTTAGGTGGTTCAGTCGAGCGGGGGAATCATTTGTTAAAGTTCCTGTCTTGGGGGCTGTCTCGTATCTTACTTTAGCCGTTTCTCCATTTTGCATCGCATTTGCTGTGGTTTGGGCAGTTTATAGAGACGCCTCGTTTGCGTGGATCGGGCAGGACATCCTCGTAAGTATGATATATAGCTGACGATTCTATCGAAACAGGTTTAACTTTTTTTGTGTTTGGACAGGGAATTGCGCTTATAATTACCGTTCTTCAGATTGTCCGGATTCCTAATCTCAAGGTAATAACTCAACTGATCGAATATGTTGTATGGCTCTTTTTCGGAGTACAATATAATTCGTGCATGCAATTTGGATCGAACCCGTAAGGTGATAGTCATTTTGCAATGACTAAGTCGCGATTTAGAGAGGGTCTTCTGACTCTTTTCCCGTTCGTAATTATTACATGCAATGGCGATGGTTTGGATTTATATTTATATTTTTTTTCAGGTTGGTACAGTTCTTTTAGGCTGCGCTTTCATCTACGACATCTTTTGGGTGTTTATCTCGAAGAAATTGTTCAAAGAAAGCGTGATGATTGTGGTCTGTATTTATACATATATATATATTGATCCTTAGTTTCTTCAAAGCTTGTAAGATCGAGACAATGCGAGAAGGAGCGACTAAGTATTTTTGGACATGTCTCGTCGATGATGTCTTGATAGGTAGCGCGCGGCGATAGAAGTGGCGAGGACGGGATCCCTATGCTTTTAAAGATCCCACGCTTGTTCGATCCATGGGGTGGCTATAGTATAATCGGCTTCGGAGACATCCTCTTGCCCGGATTGGTTGTTGCGTTTTCCCTTAGGTTTGATTGTTTAGCCTTTTATTATTTGTATCGATTTTTTCTTGATATTTTTGTGTTTGAAGTTAAAAGTTAAGAAGTTATTTTCCATATTTAAAAAGATCGAAACTTTTTAGTTACTTAGAACGTTTTGCGCACTGTAGGTACGATTGGCTGGCGAATAAAAGGCTACGAACCGGATACTTCTTGTGGGCGATGGTCGCATATGGATTAGGTACGCATTGATTTATCTTTCTACCAACAATAGTTTTACGGTTCCTCAAGAAGGTAGAAAATAATAGGTTGTGATTTTTTGTGGGTTTTACGACAGATTTTTACTATTCTAAGATTTTTTTTTTCCCGTAAAAATTATCACATCAAAGAATTCTTTCTTTTTTATGTTATACTGCAAATTTATTTTATATTCAAAATACCACATTAACATATATTTATATCTCATCAAACAATTGTTCATATTCAGCTTTTTACTATTGTTCATTTAAGTTGATCGTATTTGAAAATTGTTTTGTATCTCATTCATCGTCGCTCTAATGGTTTTAAATATTTTTGCGTGACGCCCATTTATATCACTTTTTGTAAGGGCGGGCGCGTCGATGTCAATTGCATAATTATGACTATTGAAGCAACGATGATTTACACCGTCATTTTCAAACATGATCCACTCAAAGAATAGTGTGTTTGATTTGTGTCTGTATTTGAATTTTGATTGGATGTGATGTTTTGTAAAAAAAGGCTTAACATTATACAGTAAAGAATCGTGATGACTAAGTTTTGTGGTTGCATTTGTATTTGGCTGATGTGATGTTTTATTAGGAAAAAATTAGTATGTTTTTTTACGGAGAATTGTGGAATTATATAGTAAGAAATTAGAAAAAAGAAAAACTAAAAAATAATAGAGCAAAAATGATAAAGAGTATCATTTACAAGACCAGATTGTATTTCTATTTTTTTTTTTTTTTTCTTCCCATATGTTGTAATAACTTTTGGAGCCGTTGTATGGTAGGTCTTCTTATTACATATGTCGCGCTAAACTTGATGGACGGCCACGGGCAACCGGCATTGCTCTACATTGTCCCGTTCACACTCGGTAAGTCCATTTCTTCCTCATCATGTGAAATATTTTGAGAAGTCTCGATTTATTTATTTATTTATTATTATTATTTTTGGTTCGTTTAGGGACTTTCTTGGCGTTGGGGAGAAAGAGAGGCGACTTGAGGATTTTATGGGAGAGAGGGGAACCCGAGAGGTTGTGCCCACATGTTCGACTTGAATCCGTGATGCAAGAATAGCTTAGAAAAATCGTATTTCGACACACTATAAGCAATAGTGTTGTATAAGAGTCGAGTACGTATTTTATACACATATGTTAAGTCTTAAGATTCGTGACGAACTTAGATATTTCTCGCTTGAGTGTTAGGTCTGAGTTCGATCCCGAGTCGGTGTGTGGGTAAAAAAAAAATATTTGGGAGGAACTTAGTAAAAAGAAAAAAAATCCCTTAGGTGATCGATGTATGTATTATGTAACAAGTTGAATTTGGATCGAGATCTGATTTAGAAGTCTAACATATTTTGTAAATGTATTATATTCAATACTTATTTTTAATTTATTTTTTTTATGTAAAATGTTATATTGAAATTTCATTTTATTTAAGAAGATGTGTATAAGATCTTGATCATTATGAAATGAAGTAGTATGATTAGATTTTTAGGATTGTAATGTTTATATTTTATTATGGATTTGCCTTTAATTGAAGGAATGAGTAATGAGGTCCGAGTCAGATATTTGAGTATATTTGTACTCATTGTCATCTCTATGTTCATATAAGGTAGGAAGCTGCTGCTGCTTCTTCTTCTTCTGTTTTTTTTTTTTTTTTTTTTTTTTTTTTTTTTTTTTAATTTAAAATAAGTATTTAATATGATATTTATATGAGATAGAAAATTATTTGGGTGTGTTTGTTTGGGGGATTGGATTTTTAAATACACTATTCATTCTATTTTTTCTCTCCAAAAATATCAAATCAAACACCTATTTTTTATTTGATTATGAATTTATATTATATCCAACATATATATATATTTAAATTTTTATTTATTTATATTATAGAAAATTTTTATTTTCTACAAAATGACATATATATTGTATATATTTTTCATTTAATTATAATAAATATTAAATAAAATTTTAATTTTTTTTTTTAAAAAAAAAGTGGGGTTTAAAAAAAAAAAAAAAAGTGGGGTTTGGACTATATTTAAAATGGGGCCAAAACCCCCCTTGGAGAAACATAGCCATATGGTTTATATTTGGTTTGGATTAGAATAATAACAATAATAATAATAATCCATAGTGCATGGTCTATTCAAAAGATATTTTATTATTCTTCAAATACAAAAGAATTGTTTTTTTGTGAGCATTTGTCTCCCGAGATTAAAAAAATAAATATTTTATTTAAAAAATGATAAAAATAAAAAGGTAGTTGATGTATTTTTTAAAATTTTAGTTAGAATTAGAGAAAATAAAGAGAGAAAATGTAATAAAGACAATAACATTAATTGTAAATAAGCTTTAAATGAAGAATAATAGTTAAATGTTGATTTTTTTACTTTGTCAAAATTAGTGGACAAACTAAAAATAAAAAAATGAGAGTAAATTGGTGGACGGAGAGAGTATTAATTTATATCTCAAAGTCAAAATTTTTGGGACTGGGCTAACTCAATACAAATATGATATTGTCCGCTTTAGGCTGAATCCACACATATTTGTTTTTGGACATGCTCCGAAAGACTTCATATTAGTGGAGTTTGTGCGGAATTTATAAGGTGATAAATTTTCTTCTAATTTTTCTATGTAAGACTTGAATTTGCACCTCAACAAAAGTAGTTTTTATACTTCATCCGTCCCATAACAAAGTATTCATTTTTCCATTTTAGTCCGTCCCATAACAAAGTATTCATTTTTCCATTTTAGTCCGTCCCATAACAAAGTATTCATTTTTTTTTTCAGTAACTGTACTATCTACCTAACATTACAAATATCCTTACAACTTACAATATATTACACAAATGCCATTACTTTTATATCACACCATATTAATAAAGTTATTTTAGTCATTTCGACTTTATTCTTACTGCATCCCAATATAATACTAATATTTCTAAAACTATATGAAAAAAACAAATGAATACCTAGTTATGAGACGAGGAAAATATATAAAAAAATAATATCACAAACTATTGTTAAAATATAATATTCATTATATATCATATTAGGTTCGACTAAGATTTAGTTAAAGCGCACGCACCGAAGATAGTAATTACGGATTCGACGAATAAAAAAAAAAAAATATTAATGACGAGCAATACAACTGTATTTTAAACTTAAGTGCCTAGAATTTTATTAGTTGTGTTATATATATATATATATATATATATATATTAATGCATTTTAAAAGTTATTTGTTTTATTTTTTTTCAAAAAAAATGTACCGGTCCAACTGAACCGGTTTGGTTTGTAGAAGCTTCGGGCCGGGCACAACTTTTACATGCCCGGCCCGATACCGAGTACCTACGGCTCTATTTATTATTATTATACAGCCGGCAAAATGGAGAGAATTTTTAGTTGAGATTTTGTTGTATTCAATTGACGTGCCATAATGTGAGCATATCAGTTTTGGATGGTTTGTTTTGTTTTTCATTATTTACAAATTCTTTTCTCTTATAAATATTAAATTAAATATATATATTTTTTAAAAATAATTTTATATTTAAAATATCAAATTAATTTTTATTTATATGATATAAAATAATTATTTAATTCAAAATTTTATTATTTAAATCAAGATTCCGAAGCAAACACACCCTAATTGAAATTTTAAAGATGTTTGGGGGTTCAATTGTAGTATTTATAATTTTAAATGTTTGTATAATTAAATATCAATAATTATGATGATGTCATCGATTTCAAATTATAATAAAATAAATTTTTACTCTCCCGTCTCACACGCATCATGCCACAATTTTGTTTATGTCCCATCCACATTTTATGTCATATTTTAAAATTTCAATTTATATATTTTTTAAAATTTTAATTAATTATTTGAATTTAAATTTATAATTCTTTTTTATTAATATATTTTTAATTATTTACTAATTATATTTTTTTTAAATTCTTTGTATTGCAGTAATTAATATTCATATTCAAACAAAATTGTATAAACAACCAAATAGGAAAAAATTATTAGATACTCAAATTTGTACTCCCTCCGTCCCAAACATCCTGCAACATTTCTTTTTTGGTACGTCTCAAACACCCTACAACATTTTCAAAATAGGAAATAATTAATTATACTTAATCTCTACCCCACACTTTATCCTCTCACATCATTCAAATAAAAAAAATAAAAAATATATTTCTCTTTTCATCACATCATCTAATTTCTAAATTATCCTACTTAATACTACTCACTTAAAAACTCGTGCCAAAAGTAAATATTGCACTTTGTTTGGGACGGAGGGAGTACTATTTTTTAAAATTTGTAAAACCATAAAACTCAAAAAGAAACTTCTATCTAAAGGGTCCATTACATTTCTTAATGCACATTATTTAAAAAGATGTCTTATTTTGACTATGAAGACTAAAAGTCTAAATCCACGTTAATGTGTATGTTTGAATAATAATAATAATAATAAAAATAATAATATGAATGACTTTTTCATATTATTTGTTGTGTGTTTGTTTGGAGGATTTGATTGGATTTTAATTTTTGTGAGACAAGATAAAAATATATATATTAATTATGTAAAAAAAATTAGTCAAACAAATCGGTAGTGTACCTTTTGCTTTTACAGTAAAAAAAATAGAATAGTAATATGAATTTTTACTTAGAAAAAAAAGATATTTTTTATAATATAAAAAAAAATCAATTTAAACAAATATTATTTTGAAATAATAATAGAAATTCAAACATGCAAAATAAAATTAAAAATAAACAAAGACCATCTGGGTTCACAACTCATTTTAATATCAACGAGACAGCAAAGCAGCCTCCGCCGGGGGCGGATTCATGTTTATTTGAGCGGTAAGTTATTTTATTTATAAAATAAAATAAAATAAAATAAAATAATGATTTAATTATTATACTTAGGGATGACATACCTTTACTGAAAATATCGGTCGATACAGATACCATAGGGAATTTTTCGGTATGATTAAAATACATATCAATACCGTATCGAAAGTTTCAATATACCGAATTTTGGTATACTGAAAATTTTTTGTACGGTACGGGCATATACCGTTTGTACCGAAAATTTCAATTTCGGTACGATATTGGTATATACCGCTTATACCGAAATTTCGGTAGATACGGGTATATACGAATTATACCGAAAATATAATTTTAAATTTTAAAATAATTAAAAAATTAATAAATATCATTGTTTTCCACCACAAAAATATTATGAAAAAATCAATAAATTTTCAATAGTTTACATTTTTTTTGTTATGATTTAAAAAAATATTAATAATTAAATTATTTAATAAAAATAATATCGGTGCGGTATCGTACCAAAATACTGAACTTTCTGAAAATTCATACCGATACCGTACTGAAGTTTTCGGTACGATATCCATACCGTACCGAAATTTTCAGTATTTTCAACATGATACGGTACGATAAATCGATATTTCGATATGTTCGGTAAATTTCTCCATCCGTAATTATACTATCTTTAGAAAAATGATAGTGATTCCATTTAAATTTTGTAGTTTTGTGTAAATATATTCAATGATATAATTGTAATTATTATATATATATATTTATTTTTTAATGGATAGTATTGTTACTAAATGGAAAAAATAATAATTTTATTTTGAGATGGACAAAAATTAAAAATAACAAATTTTAATGAGACATGTAATAATATTATTGTTTACCTCCGGAAAATATCACTACAAAAGTAATTTAATTTATTTTCAAAATTTATTTATTTTAATTTAAAACACGAATTATATAAAATATAATTCATTTTTTATTTCTTAAAATTGATTTTATTTAAAAGTAATAATATAAAATTATAATACACTTTTACGCCAATACAATTATTATCTATCACATCAATACACATTAAAATTCAAAAAACTCAAACCAAACCTACAAAATTTAAATAACATAAAAATTCAAATTAATCTTAAAATTCAAATTTAATTTAATTTTTTTTAATTTCTTCAAAATAAACATACTCATAAATATAAAAATTTAATACTATTATTATATTATTTTTTAATATATTTTTTTTAATTATTAAATTTATATATTATCATATCATTGTTTTTTCTACTGTTGCTTGCCTCCGCCATCGATATGGTCGAATATTTTTGACCTGTCACTGTCAGTTTTTTATCACTATTTTGGACAAATTATTTTTAATTAATATAAAATAGTTATACGTAACTGAATGTATTTATTTATTTTACTATTATTATTATAATCATAAGCTTTATCTAATACATTTTTGGACTTAATTTTAATAATAATTCATTACTAATTTATTTTCTAAAAAAATCTAAAAATATTATATTTAATGAAGTATTTATTTATGTCATATCATGTGCGGTATTTATTTATTATTTTATATAATTGGGTCAGCCTTGGCACAACTTTCAACAATAATAAAAAATAAAATAATATTAATAAAGAAAAGGAATTGAAAAAGAGCGATGCCATCAAAGCTATGTATGAACTAGTACTAATTTTTAATTTAGGGTAAATTATACCTCCTTATTTTCATAACAAAGTATCTAATTTTTTTATTTTTTATTTTAATCCGTCTGTAATAAAGTATATATATATTTTTATTTTAATCCATTTCATAACAAAGTATTAATTTATCATTTTAGTAACGGTACTATCTACCTAACTTTACAAATATCTTTACAACTTACACTATATTACACAAATATCATTATCTTTATATCAGACCTACTAATAAGGTTATTTTTTACTTTATTCATACTACATCCTAATATAATACTAATATTTCTAAAATTACGTGCAAAAAGTAAATGAATATCTAATTATGAAACTGAGAGAGTATAACACATTAAATTCAACGTGTTAATATAAAATTTGCACGAAACACTGATGTTTGATTTTAAATAAATATTTAAATTACGACAAAGTTTTATACAAATGAAAGAAATAAAATATCTTAAATGATTTGTTTGAATAAAATAAATAAATAAATAAATAATTGATTAACCTGTTATAATTTTTAGACAAATTGTTATTTGAATTTTACAAAAATTATAAATATAAATGATCGGTCAATTATTCATTTTATTAAAAAAAATTAAAAAAATTTATTTATGTAAAATTTGTAAATTTTTATTTAGAATCAAACATCAAATAAAAAAATATTTAATGCAAATTATATTAACACAAAAAATTTTACACAGTAAATAAAATATAGTCTTAAAACCCAAAGAATATTATACTAATTTATCCTTTAATTAATTATGAAATATTTAATTTATACTACCTCCATTTAACATGCAATTTCTGCTAGACACTGTATTTAAGAGGATATTAAGAAAAATAATTATTTTATAATATAAATAATTATAAATTAAAATTAAAATAATTAATTAATTTAATTAAAATTTTAAAAAAAAATTAAAAAATTAAAAATAAAATTAAAGTATGTAATTATTTTCAAAAAATAAAGTGATATGAAATATAAACTAACAGAAACGGAAATGTGAACATCATATCACGGACGACCGAGGGAGTAATAATTAAAATTAAAAATGAAAGGATTTTCGTTTTTTCGCTTGTGCGTTACGCAGCGGTTTTTGAGACGTATAAATAGGTGGCGTATATTAGAGTGGAGTGCTCTTTCCATTTCCGTGCGCCGGCGAAGATGTGGATTTTCGGAAGGAAGGGAGCTTCGGGGTTCTCGGCGTCGTCCACGGCGGAGGAAGTTGCTCGAGGAATCGATGCCTCTGGCCTCACCGCCATTATTACAGGTATAGGTTGTGTTTTTTGTGCTCATAATCCTATAAGACAAAACCAATTTGGTTCGCTCTAGTGGTTGTCAGATCGGTTGGTTTCCATGTATTGCAAAATTTATTTATATATATTTATATTTTCATTTGTTGATGATTTATTTGATTGTGGATTGAATTGGATTTTTATCTTTGAGATATGAAAAATGTTTGTAGTTTGCTCATGGCTTCATTGGATGGAGTGTGTTAATAGGTGCTAGGTTGATTCGCCTCTCTTTCTATTCGTATGTATTAAGTGAAATTGAACGCGCACAGCGAAGACTGTTCGCCCTCTTGTTGGTTGACTGAGCATCCATTGTCCATTAATCCATTGAGTTCCAAGATTTTTTTGTAAGATGTGGCTGCTGAATGGCGAACTCTTTTTTCCTTCATTCCTTTCTGCCTATATTTCTATTTGTTTTGGTTCTAATGAGATGATGACGCCAGAAAATGTAGATGATCGAATACTTCTTCAAACATATCTATTCAAAGATTCACTTGTTGATATTCCAAACCTTCCCTGTGATTTGTAATGGGGCTATTGTTACAAGTGGATTTAAATCCACACGCAGATAAAAGAAGGATTTTTCGCTGTATAAATTGGTCTGATAAATTTTCGTTGGCTCATGTGGATGTGGATGCTGATATGACTATCAAGACAAGGTTTTAGTAATAGGCAGGCTGGTTATTGTTTGACCGTGCTGTTTTGTGGTCGGAAGTGAGGATAGGGTTTGGTTTGTTTGTGTTTGGGTGATTTTAGGAGCTGAGCCTTGTAGTCACATTGTTTTCGATTGTTTAATATAGAATATGCTTGTTTCTCTTTTGGCACATGGCTATAACTTGTTGTGTACTGTTCTTCGCGTATTTCATATTTTTTTCGAAGTTTATAAAAGTTTTTCCAATGAAAACTTAAGTTTCGGTCCAAATAAATCATTTCAAGATTTTGAGTGGATTGTAAACCACGTAGTTTAGATTCTTGATTTCTACTGCTATCTTTTGGAGGCGTAATGCATGAAATTATCTCTGCTTGTGTTTTGAGATGTTGAATTCAGTACATTACCAAAGTCCATTAAATAGGTTGCCACTTAAGCTGTATTTGACTCCATTAGTTTAAGATGGTTCTTGGATCAAAATATTACATGATTTATAGACTGAGCAAAATCCAGGAATTTAGGTTACTGGGAAGTGTTTGAATTATTTTACATGCCCCCTGAAATATCAGTAGATAGTAAATGAAGATCTATTATGTTGTTTGTAAGCGAGTAGGATGACGAAATGTGATATATCTATCGATATGGATTGATTGTACCGAAAGGATCCTCATCTGGTCAGGATAATGGTGAAGTATGTTACCTTAATCTTTCCTTTGTGTTTCAGGAGCATCAAGTGGTCTTGGAGTAGAAACCGCTCGAGTTCTTTCTTTGTGTGGTGCTCATGTAATTATGGCAGTGCGCAATGTGGAAGCTGGTAAAAAAGTTAGAGAAAGCATAATCCAAAAGGTGCCAAATGCTAAAATTGATGTGATGGAGCTTGACCTAAGCTCTCTTGCGTCTGTTAGGAAATTTGCATCGGAGTATAACTCCTCAAACCTTCCGCTAAACCTCCTCATGTGAGTAGTTTGCGATTTAAAATTTTAAACTTACAGCATATACTAGATTGTGCTTTGAGCGCACGCCTCATTAGTTTTATTTTTGCTTCTAATCAAGCTATATCAGAGATCCTTGTATCGATGTCTAAAACTGACATTCTTGTTCAATTGAAGTAACAATGCAGGGGTGATGGCTACTCCTTTCATGCTTTCACAGGACAACATAGAAATGCAATTTGCAACCAACCATGTCGGTATGTTAATTACATGTCATCCCACAGTTCTTTCTTTAAGTGCTTATCATACGAGCAACATTGCAGTAACGAATTCTTTGGATGAACAAGATCAAAGCGACAATTCTTTGACTAAAATTTTGTTCGTCTCTGATTTTTCTGCTTTAAGTGACTATTATCTGCTCAGAGCATGATCTTTTGTTCATTCTAATGTTTTTTTACTCTTTGTTTTATTTAAACCATGGACTGGGCATCTGCAAACTCCCATTTAACATTAGAAAGCTATATCAGTATCTAATTTTATTCAAGGTTAAAAAAATCTGCAAAATTTCTCACTTTTCGAATGTCAACCATACCGTGACACTTTTTTTCTAATGCAAGAATAATTCACAGTTCTAATGTTTCCTAAACCCAGGGTTATCTGTCTTTCACCTGGTTTTCACAGTTTTTAGCTTTGCTTATTAATATACAACTGGTATAAAACTAATACTACACCAGTCATCTAAAGTTATGCCTATTTTCTTTTTTGGTTGTCATAAAAAAAATATTTCCGTTTATCTTTTTTACTAAAAGAAGCAACACTTTTGTATTTTTTTACTGTAAAAGTAAAAAGTAACTATTATTGCCTACTTACCAAATGGGCATAATTTTCCAGTTTTCTGCTTAAGTGAGTTTGATTATTTTCTTTTGTGGACCACTGCAATGAAAGTTAATTATTTGTTGTTTGTAATATTTGTTTGAAGTATAATGCTATAATGCTCATATATGTGATATAGACATCCTCCTCTCTAAACAACGAGCTTATTCTTCAGCTTGTTCTTTTTTACTTTCTGCTATAGGGCATTTTCTTTTGACAAATCTTCTACTGGATAACATGAAGAAGACTGCCCAAGAGAGTCAGAAAGAAGGAAGAATTGTAAATGTTTCATCTGAGGGTCATCGGTTTGCATATAGTGAAGGCATTCGCTTTGATAAAATTAATGATAGTTCAAGGTAAGTTTTTGGTGCGATTTACCACACTGCTCTAAGAATCAGTCAGATATTTCCTCCAATAACTTCGTTGTTTGGTTTAGTTAGGTGAAGTTTGGGAGTGTTGAAAAGATAGAAATCTTACAGGTTTGATTGCCTTAGTGCATATGAACATCATATATTACATAAATTCCACTGTTCGATTGAAAGTTTAACCAAGTAAATATTACCAAATTACGAAACATAATTACGATCCTGTGTGAGGAATTCCTGCTTTGATCTAAGATCATAAACATTTAGGTGTGGTTGTTTGGGGTTTGGGGTTTGGATTTGGGATTTGAATAATAAAAAATTTGAATTTGAATAGTTGTATGATGTGATATAAATATGTGTTGATGTGATATTTTAAATGTAAAATTGATTTTTAGTATGATATGAAAAATGAGAAATAGATATTTGATAAATAGTAGAAATTTGGTAAAATTTGATAAAAGAACACACCTAATTGTTTTGGCTTTTTCTTTATATTATATTTCTTGAATCCACTAAACAAGCCTTGTTTCACATCGATGCTCACAGTTATACTAGCTTTTACGCTTATGGACAATCAAAACTAGCCAACATACTCCATGCTAACGAACTCGCGAGGCGCTTGAAGGTAATATCTACACTACTTACTAGTTACTACAATTTGTTCCCAAATTGATTAACAATTGGCACAGACCACTATATTTAAATTTTATGGTTTTTTGGAATTTGGTTTGGGATGGGGTGTGGGCGGCGTGAAAAATTTTATTAGTTGGCGAAGGATATCATTCCATCACCAAATATGTTGTATGAGTCCATTACACAGTAGCCACCTAATGATGTCCTCTTTCTTTTCTCTAACTCTTCTATATATTAAGCTCTATCCAACATTATGTATTTTGAGCTTGCTCTTCATCTGATATTCGAAAGTTAATTTTTGCATATCTTTTAACATTTGGTCTCAACTTGGACAGGAAGAAGGGGCTAATATAACTGCCAACTCACTCCATCCTGGAGCAATCCCCACCAACCTTTCGCGACACAATTCCGTGATTGACAGTTAATCTCTTATCCTTTTTGCTTATTTTTATTATTATTAATTTTTAAAAAAAAATCATAAAAATTTGCATCAAAATATTTTCCAAGTTCTTAGGTTGTGTTTAAATATGTTTTTTGGACTTTTTTATGTTAGATATGGAGAAACGTGTCAATATTATAAAAACTACTTCCTTTTTCGGGATGTTTAAATCACTTTTATTGAGTACGGAGATTTAAAAATAATAGTATTTCAATATAAAACTGGTATACATAAAAATTAAAACGAGGATATTATGATAAATTTATGTAAGAGTTAATAAAAGAATAATATGGTAAGTATAAAAAGTAGAGGTAAATTAGCTATTAGTATTTGTTAAAGTAGATGTAATAAAATTATAAGCATAAAGTTTTTTACTATAAATGAATTATGTATAAGTTTAGTGGATAAAAATGGATATAATTTATATCCCGAAATGAGGGAGTAACATTTTGTATTAATTGTTAATTTTTTGAGTTGATAGAATATATGTTTTATATTTTATGTGAGTATATGTATATTGTATTTTTATAATATTAATCGGGGATCGTGACGAAAATGGTTTGTTGGAAGAACACATCCTAGGAATTTAATGTGATTTTTATAAAAACATTCGACTAATGAGTAGTATTATCAGTTTATCTCAAAACAATGGTTGGATCAGCAATAGTCACGCCAAGGTCCTTGAAAAATTGTTGGCTTTTATTTTAAACATCAAGTCACGTACGCCTAATTATTACATCACTCTATGCAATGTGTTTTCAAAACCCTTATATCGAAATACAGCCGACTGTCTGATAATCGTTAAATCTTTGTCTTCACAGGTTTGAGCCACTGGTTTGGTAAATACGTACTTAAGAGTATTCCTCAGGTTTGTCACTCGTAAAATATTCACCGGCATTCCAAATAATTTTCAACTTAAGCAGACCGAAGTAATTTGTGTATTTGGCTCCAACCTTCCAGGGAGCTGCGACAACATGTTATGTAGCTTTGCATCCACAAGTTAAGGGAGTGAGCGGCGAGTATTTTGCAGACAGCAACATTAGTAAAACGAGTGTGTTAGGCACCGACGTGGAATTGGCCAAAAAGTTGTGGGATTTCACCGTGGATCTAACCAAAACCGTGTAAGTCTGTTCCATAACATTATTATCCTACTATGTTGTCGTTGCGATGTGTGTTTGTACGACTATGCAACAGCTTATGTTGTCTTGATTAGTTTGTGTGAAAGTTACGACTTAAGGAGTGCTAGTTTACGGCTTTGTGTTAACTAGCGATGGTCTTACATACGTCGCCGTGCTTTTTATTTGATGTTGTCTTAAGTGGGGGATTGTTTTTGTTTGAGTTTGTAAGAATGCTAAGGGTGTGTTTGTTTGGCGGTCGTAAAAAATTTGAATTTGAATAGTTGTATGACATAATATAAATATGTATTGATGTGATATTTGGAATATAAAATTAATATTTTAATATGATATAAAAAATTATAGATATTTGATTTGATGTTTTTGAAGGAAAAAATTTGTGTGAATAATATAAATCCACAAATCCTTCAAATCAAATAATAAAAAAAAATACTCAATCCTTGCAAGGCTGCCAGGTTTGAACCTATCATATTTTTAAAAAATTAAATAGTACTAAAGTTCTTAAAAAAAAAAAAAGAATTTATGTAAATACGAGTACTATAAATAATGCTCATTATCATTATCATTATGCATCATTTTTCGCATAGCATATTAATTATGATTTATTATAATTATCATATTAATTCCTATTCACAAATTGAAAACCCTAGCGCCGAATTTTCCCCAAAATTGGCCCCAAATCCCTAGCTTCCACATTCACCTTCAGCCCCTCCTTCATGAACAGCGTCAGCGACATCTTCTGCTTCACCCTGTGGCCTTCCGCCACCGCCAGCCGGTGCCGGAGCAGCACCGCCGCCGCTATCGATTTCATCTGCAGGTACGCCAGATCCTTCCCCAAGCATATCCTCGGCCCCGCGTTGAACGCCACGAACCTAAACTGATCCTTCGCCTCGAACCTCCGTCCATCCTCCGACAACCACCGCTCCGGCCGGAACTCCTGGCAGTCCTCCCCCCAGATAAACTTCATCCTCCCCGACGAGTAGATCGAGTACGTTATATTCGATCCCGCCGGAACAAACGTTCCGTCCGGCAACACATCGTCGGCGACGACGTGCTTCGAGTCCTCCGGCACGGAAGGATACAACCTGAGCGTCTCCGACAGCGCCGCCTTCAAATACACCAGCCGATCGACCTCCTCGAACTCTAATGGCGCCGCGAACCACCTCGCCGGAGCTACATCTCCGTCGCCGGCGCCGCCGCGAGTCTCCGTTAATACGGTACATATCTCTTCTAGAACCTTCTCCTCAATTCTAGGGTTTTGAATTAGGAGCCAAAAAAACCAGCTCAGCGCCACTGATGACGTGTCACGACCGGCTAGGATGAAATTCAGCGCCACCTCCTGGAGAAATCTATCGGTGTAGATTTCTTTCTTCTTCATAAACCTTGACAGCAAATCATCCTGATGGGCCCCACCTTCTTCCAGCTCATGCTTACGTGTCTCGATCACATTGGTCATGTATTTGTCCACGTGTTCCAAGCTCCGGCTCAAGCTTACTTCCATCCCGAGCCGGAGCCATTTCTTTAACTTCCACACGAACTCGGGCAGAATGAACCGGTTCAAGCTGGCTTCCGTGGCTCGGTCGAAAGCCGACGCGAAGCCGTTTTCGGGCAAGCCGTGGGAGAGTGTCTGAGGGTCTTTTCCGAAGGCCAAGCCGCAGATGTTGTCGAAGGTGAGCCGGAGCAGGAGGTCCTGAAGGTCGACCGGTTTGTTTCCGGTCTGAGCCGTTTGGAGAATCGGGCAGAGCCGGTTCTCAATGGCGCGGCTGACCCAGCGAGCCATGGCTTGTTTAAGCGTCCGGGTGGTGAATTCCAGTGCGGCGGTCTTACGCTGGAACAGCCACGTGTCGCCATCTGAGTTGAAGATGCCTTGACCGAGCAAATCGTGGAACACGGCTTGCCACGTCGGACCCTTGGGGTAATTCTCGAACCTAATTTTCAAAATATGCTCTAAATTCTTTGGATCGCACGTGACAGTCACGAGCCCCTGCCGCCGGGCGAGGAACGGCACGGCGAAAATGCAGGTTTGGTATGTGCCGCCGCAGGCGCGGAGGTTGTCGGCGATCCAGTCGTGCATGCGGTGGCTGTTCTGGATTAGACCGGGGAGGCTTCCCAGGACCGGCCAGAGACGCGGACCGGTCATAGACCGGCAGATTGATCTGAACCACACGAAGTATGCTGCGATGAAGGCGGAAATGATCATGGCCGTTGATATCTCCATCAGGTACAGTATTTCAATTTAATGAAATAATAATATTAATTCTCCTTCTCCCTGATTTATGAAAAAGAAGGAAATAATAAAATATTAAAACTAAATAAAATGGACAAGAAAAAAATGCAGAAGCTCTTGAAGAAATGATGAATAGGGAAAGATCGAATTTTTGAGGAATTTAGAATAGAGAAAGAGGTTGAGTTCTGACAGAGTTGCAGAAATTTAAGTGATGATTTATAAAGAGATAACTGAGGCTTAGGCAATAAATATTTGGGGGGGTGAGGCTGCTGATATATCTTTACATACACACAAATATATACATATTTCTAGAGAGAGAGAGGGAGGGATTTAGGGAGGGAGAAATAGTGAGGAAAAAAGATAGCAATAAATGGCAGCAGAGGTGGTTAGTAGAAAGAGTCCACAAACAACACCATTAAAACCCCACCTCCAAATCTGATGATTTGCTAGATTACATGAATGTGCAGATTTTTCTGATTTTCATACTCTAAAAAGGGTGGGATGCAATTAATTAATCATGGAAAACTTAACCCTTGGTTGTTTTTAGGTGAAAAAATGATCATGTATGTTACCTTTTGCTTATTTGCAGAAAATAGAAATGCCAATGTGAAAGTGGATGATTGATTAATTAGTTGGAGAGAGAGAGAGAGAGAGAGAGAGAGAGACTCACCTAATTTTAGGAGGGAGAGGGAGCTTCATAAATTCCAGTATTGAATAGGATTAGTTGAGCAATCATGCATACATGTGGATTCATCAACATGCATTTGTGATTTCTGTGTGTTTGTGTAGAGAGAGAGAGAGAGAGAGAGAGAGAGAGAGAGGATTTATATGTGATATATATATATGTATGTATATGTGTGTGTTGAAATTAATTAAGGTGAAGTAAGGAGAAATTAAGTGGAAAATGGATGAGATTGAGTAGGGAAGAAAGGGTTGGGAAAATGATGGGAGGTTAGAATGGGGTTAAGTGTTTGGTTAGGTTTTGGGTGGCTGACCTGACCCACTCTTCTTCTCTTTCTATATATTTTACACTACCTATGTCGTCCGCCTGATTCCATTTATTTTGTGGTGTTATATTTGAATATTAATTATTTTATTAAAAAAAATTGCAAAAATATTTTTATTAGTATCTTGTAATACTAATAGAATGATATTTGTAAAAAAAAGTATATATAAATATAAAGATATTTTTAATATTAAATACAATTACGTAAAAAAAAATAAATATGATCTTTATAAGAGAGAGAGAGAGTATATTCTATATTTCCATTAGTACGTCTGTGTATTTCTTAAAATAAAACTTAACTTTAAAATACAGAAAATTTCAAAATTATAAAAAAATTAATTATTTGATCCTATACTGGTAATATTTATTTTAAAAAATTACTCTTAATAAATAGGATTCCATCCTACTTCAGTCGTCAAATTGTATTCTCATACTTCTCAGGACACGATTGATTATGACTGAAATTATTTGTTATTTTGTTTTGTTATAGTTAAAAAAGTATTCACTCCGTCAAGAAGTGAAGTCTTTCTTGAGAATTGACACGGGAATTTAAAAATAATATTTAATTAAAAATGAATATAAGGTAGAATGTAAAAGATTAAAATACTCTTACTTTTTGAAGAATTTTAAAAAGTAGGTTAGAGTAATAATTAGGGGTAGTTTGGAAAAATAAGAATAATTTTGTTATAAAGCAGTGACCATAATTACTAAATAAAAGAACAAGATAATTGTTTTGAAACCGACGAAAGTAAAAAAACCAAGACAATTTTTTAGGACAGAGGGAACATAAATAAAGAACCCTAATACTTACGTGTTTAAATAAATAATAGTGTTTCTTAAATAATTGGACAAGTATATTGTTATTTCATTTACCAAAGTTTCATATGGTTTGGAGTATAATATGTTTCTAACTTTTCAACTTGTGGTTTTAGTGTTTTTTTTTTTTTCGTGGATAAATATTCAATATATTTATATCCTGTTCAATAATTTTCTTACATGAGTTCAGCATATCATACATATATAGTGAATATTATGATATTAAATTTACAAGATTAAAATTTTTTGCATAAGAGTATTTTAAAAATATTGGAATGAATTCAAAATTTTAAGATTAAAAAAATTTGCCTTTGAGGTGTGTTTGTTTGTTGGATTGTGCAAAAAATATACTCTCTCTCTCCGGCTCTAAGGAGGGTCGCATTTACCTTTTGCATCATTGTATTTAACATTAAAAATATTTTTATATTTATATAATTTTTTGTACAAATATCTTTCACACTAATTATAGTATTTTTATAATTTTTTCTTAATTTGTACTCCCTCTGTCCCAAACACCGTGCAATATTTGTGTTTAGCACGGGAATTTAGGTGGCGAGTATTAAGTATGTAATTTTGAGATAATTTGGATATTAAGTGATGTGATTGGAGAGAAAAATAATTATTTATATTTTTATTTAAGTGGTATGATGGGATAAAATGGAGTATATATTAATATATGTATATAAATATTATTAATTATTTCTAAATTTGAAAATATTGCAGTGAGTTTGGGACAAACAAAAAAAGAAATATTGCAGGGGACGGAGGGAGTACTATATTTTGATATAATAATTAATATTAAAAATTCAATACGTAAAAAGTAAATGAGACCCTCAAAGTCGGACAGAAGTACTATTTATCAAATTTTTTTCTTCAAAAAAATATCAAAATCAAACACATTTTGAACTATGATGACAGATGAACTTAGAGACGTCAGAGGTTTAAATTCATTATTTTGCGAACGTATTTTATATTTGATAGATAGGATGGAAATGTGTAAATATTAAAATACCATTTAATTTAATTTTTTTATAATTTTAAATTTAGATAACCAATATTCTTAATAAAAAGATAAGTAGACTGATACATTAGTGACGGATAATCAAATAAAACAAAATGAATAATTTTTTTTTGGATTGAGAAAGCGTATAAATAAATAAATAAATAATACTTCTTTCATCCGCTCTAATGAATACATATTTTTTATATTACTATTATATCTTGGTAAGTGCAATTTATTTTTTTATACAAATAAATATTATCAACAACTATTTAAATATTAATATTTTAATTTCTATTTTTACCAAAAGTAAATATGTACATTAGATGTGAATGGGGATGTATTTATTCATAATTAATATAAATTAATTTATATAAAATAGATAATCTCAATCGCATATTCTTTAGGAGAAAGATGGAAGTAGTAAATTATAAGTGAATAGTACATTTTACAAAAGTTAGAAAATATAGTTAAGATAATATATATTACCTCCGTTCCACATTGGATGTCTTGGTCACTGTAAACACGAAAATTGTGGATAAATATAATTAGTAGATAATTAAAAATATATTAGTGAAAATAATTAATTTATAATATAAATTATTGTAGATTAAAATTAAGATAACTAATTAGTTTAATTAAAAATTTTAAAATAAGATTAAGATGGGTAATCATTTTCTAAAAAAAAAAAAAGTGACATGAAATATAGGACATACAGAAACGACAATATAGATATGGTAAGTGGGACAGATGCAGTAAGTAGATAAATGGTGACAATATAATATTTTATCATATAGAAATACGTGTTTATGCATATTATATATTGTTTTGCTTTGTATACATATGTTTATTATATGAAATTAATAATATATTGTGTATATAAAATTATACTTCCTCCGTCCGGATAGATAATTCTTTTTCCTTTTTTGTCCGTCTCATTAAAGATGACTCTTTTCTATTTTTAGTAAATTTATTCATCTTAAACATATTTAAAAAATATAAATTAATTTAATTAAATTTCTAAACTTTTACACACGGATCCCACTCAAAACTCTTTTATTTCTATCTCTCTCATCAGTAAATAAATAATTTTTATCTATATTTAAAACTTCTTATTTTTAATAAAATCAGTTTTAAGTTAATTATAAATAAATAAATTACTTTTTTTATTTATTTGTATTATATAAAATTTTATTCTCTGTAAAATGATATTCATATCGTATATATTTTATTGATATATAATGCTAAAAATATTTAAAATGCCAACAACATTAATCATACAAAAATAATAAAATAATATCATAACTCATTATTAATAAATTAATAATCTATGCTACCTAAAATACCGTGTATTTAACCAAATGGGTCGCATAAATATCATTACTTTTAATACTATACTAATAAAGTTAATTTAGTTTTTTTACTTTTATTTTTACTTTATTCTAATATAATATTAATATTTGTAAAATTTCGTGAAAAAAACAAATGAACATGAATATATGAGATATCAAAATCAAACATGTTACTTTCATTCTACCAACAATCAACTACACATTAATTCACTCTCAAGTCAACCATTCATTAATTCTTCTTATACTATAGACACATATACATTTATTTATTTATTTATTATTATTATTATTATTATTATATATAGATTGTGTTTAAATATAGCATGGTACTATATTGGAGTTTTTTTAGTGGTTTAAAAATTGAGTGAAAATTAAAGGTGACTTTGTTTAGTATTTATGTTTTTGAGTGTTTCTGTAATTACATATAAGAAATTGTGAATGTGTTACAAGAAATAAATATTTGTGAGTTTGAATTGTTGGCTTTAGTGTGTATGTATAATTGATTTTTATTGAAAGGTATTTATTTACTCTCTTTGTCTATATTTGAAATATATATATATATATTTTCAGTAGTAGATTAAAAAATAATAAGATTTTATTAGTTAGTAGAAGTGTGTAAGAAGATTTTAGTATTTTTTTCATGGAAAGTACAAAGAAAATGAATATTTTTGTAAATATTAAAAATATTTTGGTATTTATATATGGATTATTTTACTAAAATAGTAAATTAATACTTTTAAATGAGACAAATGAAAATCGTAAAAATAGTGCATTAAGTTGGGATTGAGGGAATATTATATACTCCTTTTCTCTTAGTGGAAAATATTTATTTGTCTTTTTTTGCAGTGGATTAAAAAATAATAATATTGATTAATGAAAGTGTGTAAGATGATTTTAACATTTTTTTTGTTTTGCAAGTACAAAGAAAAAAATATTTTTGTAAAAGTTATGAGTATTTTGATATTTGTATATTGATTACTATAATAGAAAATATATACTCCCTCCGTCCAGCTAGAAAATATATATATTTCTATTTTGGGACGTTCAATTATAAAGTAAGCATTTCATTAAATACCTCATTTTTCTCCACAAATATCCTTATTTTACATCACATTATTACTTTTACATAAAAAAACAAGGGCAAAAATGTTATTACACTACTTTTAATTACTCACCGTGCCAAAAGTAAATGTATACTTTGTGTGTGGACAGAGGGAGTATTTTTTAGTGAAACAAACGATTATATTAAAAATAATATATTGAATTGGGATTGAGGAACTATTATTTTTTAGAAATGATACTATTTGTTTTTTTTGCTTGGAATAACACAAGCTACGATATTTAATGTGATCTAAATAGATATAGATTTTATATAGTTTTATAATGTACTCTTTCTGTTCGGGATAATTATATCATATATTTAATATTTATCTCATAACAAATGACACTAATGACACGTTTTTATATTTAGTAAAATTTATATTAAAAATATATTTAACAAATATAAATTAATTTAATTAATACGTATAACATCGTGCACTGTGCACGGGTCAAAATCATTGTATTTATATCATTCTCAATAGATAAATATTCCATTGAGAAAAATTTATTTTTATATAAAATTAATTTATATCAATTATAAATAAATAAATATACTTTTTCCGTTTCTTAACAATCTATTCATTCATTCATTTTGGTATGTCTCGTAACAAAATATTTATTTCATTTTTTTTAGTAATTGTACTATCTACCTAACATTACAAATACCCTTTTAATTGACAATATATTACACAAATGTTATTACATTTGTATCATATAATACTAATAGGGTTAATTTAGTCTTTTTACTTTTATTTCTATTTTATTTCAATATAATATTAATATTTCTAAAAATTCGGTGCAAAAAGCAAATAGATATATAGTTATGGAATTAAGAGAGTATTTTTATTTATTGTATTATATAAATTTTATTTTTTATTATATTCATATTGTATATATTTTATTAAAATATAAAATAATTTATAAAATAATTAAATATATAATTTAATTTTATTAAATATATATTAAATTTTATTCTAAAACTACTAGTAATATTATATATATAAATAATAAAATAATATCATAATCCAATATTATAAATCAATTAGGTGTTTTTGTTTGAGGGATTTGTGAAGATTTGCACTGTTTTCATTTTTTCCCTCCAAAATCATCAAATTAAATACCTATTTTTTATTTTTTATATTATACTAAAAATTAATTTTATATTCAAAATATCACATCAATATCTATTTATATCACATCATACAACTATTTAAATTCAAAATTTTTACTATTCAAATCTTAACTCAAAATCCAATCCCCAAATAAACTCACCCTACGTGTCACTAAGTTAACATCTTTTAATTAAATCAAAATGATTATATATAACGAATGAAATTTTACAGTGTCAGACTTTTTAAATTATAATAATAATAATGGTAAAGTGTCATTGATTAGACGTGTGGCGAAGAGGTCAATAGGCAACAGTTGTCCCACATCGACTGTTCGTTAAATAATCTAACGATATAAATATATAGTCACTCTGTCTAAAAAATTACTCTCTATGTCCCACTTTTTATGTTTTGTCCATCTCACTTATTTTGTCACTTTCTTTTTTAAAAAAATAATTATACATTTTATTTTTATTTTTGAAAATTTAATTTTTAATTTTTTTAGTTTTAATTATACTAATCAATTATTTTAATTTTAATCTATAATTATTTTTATTATACGATAATTATTTTTACTAATATATTTTTAATTATTTATTAATTATAACCCTTGTAAATTACTGTGTCTACAGTAATGCGGTCAAATTATCCGGGACGGAGGAGGGAGTAGAATATTTGAATTTTATACAAAAATTAAGAAAAAAATATATTTTATTAAAAACTAATAATGTAAAAAAGTAGTTGAAAATATTTTTAAAAAATAAATTAAAAAATTTTAGAAAAAATAAAGAGAGAATATAATAAAGATAGTAATATTTATTGTAAATAAATATTGAATGAAAAATAAAAGAATAAATTTGACGGACAAAAAAAATGATCGAATCACGGTACGACCTTAGTGTTGGGCCGGGCCCAGAAAAGTCCCCGGGCTCATTTGCCGCAGAGATGCGGGCTCGGAAAACGAGTTTGACTCCGCCGTGAACGGAGGTTCTGCAGCGGCAGAGGGGCTGAGACACACGCGGAGCCTCATCCACGGTCGCTGGAGACGCCTTGGCCAATAAACAGTTATTTATCTAATGTGTGTTTGTTTGGGGAATTTTCTTTAAATTTTATTATTCATTCAATTTTTTGTTCCTAAAAAATATCAAATCCAAACATTTATTTTTTATTTTTTTATATTATACTAATAAATTAATTTTACATTCAAAATATCAAATCAAACACCTGTTTATATCATATTATACAATAATTCACATTCAAAATTTTTAATAAAATAAAATTAAAAACGATTATTTTGATTTTTGTCCTCCACAAGTTATCTATTTTTTATTATTATTGTTATTATTTATAGTACTTTGGGATTTTCCTAGCGTGTATATATATTACTATAATCGGATATTATAAGGGTTTGTTTTTGGATTGTAAATATTGATGATATAAAAATAAATTAAATTAAATTTTATAAATATATTGAAACAAATATAATTATTTTATATTTTTTGGTTTTAAATAAAAATAAAATTTTATATAATAGAAAAAATTAAAAATTAAACATATTATATCTATTATTATATATATTTATGTGATTATATATTAAATATATTTTCAAACTTCAAATTTCTATTTTTTAAATTTTACATTTCTTTTTTAAAAAAATAGTAATTTTTTTTTTTTAATCATAAAACATCATATCGTTTACTTTAATATAAAATTCAAATTAATTGTGCAAACCCTATAAAAAAAACACTTACTTACAAAGGCCCGAGTTTTAAATAAAAAAATTAATAATTTTTTTTTTACTTTATTCCAATTAGGAATACATTTTTATTATGTTTAACTTTTTCTTTTAGAAATAAAAGTAATTATCCACAATAATATCAAAATATTAATTAATTTTTATATAAATTACAAATATATCATGTATAATTAATTTATACATAAAATATCAATTAAAAAAAATTAATATGACATTTTTGAATGAACTTGGGTCGGAGATGGAGATAGTAATATTTAATAGTACTACTCCCTCCGTCCCATAAAGAAATATCTATTTGTTTTTTGCACGTAATTTTAAAAATATTATTATTATATTAGAATATAAGTATGAATAAAGTAGAAATAATTAAAATAATCTTATTAGTACGTGTGATATAAAGGTAATGATATTTGTGTAATATATTGTAAGTTATAAGGGTATTTGTAATGTTGGGTAGATAGTACAATTATTAAAATAGGAAATGGATACTTTATTATCGGACATACTAAAATGAAAAAATGAATACTTTATTATGGGACGAAAGGGAGTATTATATTTTATAAGAGAATAAATTTGTTTTAGTATGACACTTTTGAATAAATACTCCAGAGCCAAAAACTTTAGTAAGTGATAAAAGATTAGAAAAAGACAAACAAACAAAAGAAAAAGGATCCTAAAACGTGTGGGAGCCATCATACAAAAATCACAACTTTTTCCCTTTTTATTTTTTATTTTTATTTTTATTTCGAAATCTCTATTTTTGTTGGCAGATGCTTTTACTACACCAAATTTCCACAAGGCTTTTACATTCAGATGGCTTAAGATCAACCACAATGGTTTTCACTAAAAAAAAGCTTCCAAATATATCATAAATCTTATGTTGTCAAATTCTTTAAATTTAGTACTTCCTCTTCGTCTGTCCTATATCTATTTATCCATTTTAAATTTAGAAATATTAATATTATATTCAGTTAAAGTAGAAATAAAAATTAAAAAAAAAAATCTAGAATAGTAAATATTTTTATCGAAATATAGTTATATATATATATAAACCCTTTAAATTTCACTTCAAGAAAAGCTTTCCCTCTCGCCAAAATAAAATAATTTAAATAAAATATCATTACTAAATAATTAAGAAATTTATGAGTAAAAATCATTATTATATAATAAAATAAATTATGAATTAAAACCAATATAACTAAATAATATAATTAAAATTTAAAATAACGTATTAAAATGCATAATTATATATTTTTTTTTAAAAAAAAGAACAAATAAAATTGAGCATACAAAAATAAAAATAATAGACGAAAAAACATCAAGTCGAAGGGAGTAAAATTCATAGACTTGGTAATATCTTAAAATCCCATTCCACATTTCCGAACATGAGTTTACAAAACAGCAATAACAATAAAAATTTAAAATCCTTTTCTTGGTAAACCAAATGGAACTGAATGATTTACACACACAGTTGCAAAGGATCTTTTTTTTTTTTTTTTTTTTTTTTTTTTTACCTTTTTCACTTAGGGATCTGCCTTTCCCGCCACCTCTTCGTCGCTCGACGACGCCGCATATTCGTCTTCACTCACCTCCTCGTCGCTGGAATTTTCCTCCGGCGCCACCCCGGCATCTTCCGGCTTCGCATATCTTTTGCAGTGCTCTGCTTAAAAACACGTCGATAAGATAACACATTAATTGTGTCGAGAAAGAATTCATAAACTAAATCAAGCATTCCGCGATAGGCTCGAATTCATGAAATGTTTTTTTTTTCTCAATTTATTTTTTCAAACGTAACAGCAGACATACAGGGTACCAAACGAGTGAAGGTGTGTCGAGAATTCAAAAATAAAAAGGCAAAGCATATAATATTGAGGCTTGTAGGTGAACAAATTTCCGGAAGGCAGTTGTCACTATAATTTTTTGTTCGAGTATATCAAATATCAATAATATCAACTCGAGCAAACCAACTTTGAGATTTTCATAAAAATGGAATATGGTGAAAATAGGGCCGATCAGGGGCCTACAGCCTAGCCTGCATAAAGCCTGGCTCGGTCTGGCCTATTTATTTAAACAATTTGATATAGGCTTATTTTTTAAAGCTTATTTAATTAATTAGAATAGATTACAAAAAGCCTTTTAGGTCTATTTATATATATAATTTTGATTTAATATATAAAATTATTATATATTTATATTTTTTTACTAATATTGAATTTTAAAAAATACAAAATTTATTATTGTATTATATAGGTTTTAAATAGACTTGTAAGCTACACAGACCTAAAAATAAATCAGACTCAATGTATAATTTTTTTTATTACAGGCTAATAAGTTAGGCTCAGGTCTTAATTTTTCAAAATAATTTTTTTATTACAGGCTAATAAGTTAGGCTCAGGTCTTAATTTTTCAAAATAGGCCTAGTCTGTTTAGCCAAAGTCTAGCCTGATCTAGCCTATTTTCATCTCTACTTGTGAATGACTAATATTCGATTCTAGCAAAACTTAGTCTCGAGGAAAATGGCAGGGCAAGTTCATATCTTAGGTTCATAGGCAAAATACTAGAGAAATTTGTGAATAAGAAAAAAAAAATGCAATTTTAGTTGCGACCTATCTATGAATAGTAAGAGCTATTTAAAAAATCAAATTGTTCGTAAACTTGGCTCGATTCGATTCAATATAAATTCGTTCGTGAACGTAAACGAGCCAAGTCAAATAATATAAATAAATTCGTTTGGTTAATGAACGAGTTTGACTTTTTTTGCAAACGTTCGTTAAAAAAATAAACATATAAAATTATTAATTAATTAATAATTATATATATATGAATTAAAATATAAAATAAATATTATACCTATCCAAACAAACTCAAAGGACCTCAAACAAGTCCAAACAAGCATATTCGATCCGAGTACGAGTTCAAATAATAAAATTTCTTAAAAACTGAGCTTAAGCAATACGAACGAATACAAGCTTTGTTCGTGGACGTTAACAAACAAACTCAAACATTAGTTTCGGCTTGTTAACGGCTCTAGTTAGATCGGTTTGGTTGCAATCCCAACAAAGTTCATACTATGCTCCCAAATTTTTTCATACAAAATATTTTCCAAAATTTTCTAAAATGTGTAGTAGTTTTCTAATCTATTTCTCCTAAATAAACATATATATATACATTCAAAACTCCATAGGTTTTAAAGGCATATTTTAAATTTATTTTAACAAAAAAATTATATATTTCGTTATAAATCAAATAGTAACAAAACATCTCGTCCAACTCTACTTCCAACCACAACCAAAAACCAAACACCGGGTAACATCTCAGTCGTCGTCAGTCTAATGGTCCTAATTATATATGTGACACTCATGTATGCATACAAGTAAATATATTACGAGTCGCACACAAAATTAGAACGAGTAGAGCAACAATAAATAAGATCTATGATCGTTTCCCAACAAATCCATTTAAAGAACCAAATTGATAAGGCCACCACATATACAGATAATCATTCTCCCCATAGCTTTTTACATAATTTTCGATGGCAATTGACTCGTGAGCTTATATCCATTTAACTATTTCTACATAGTGTGAAAAATGATCGAACCTCTAGCTAAGTTACACGTACTAATATCATTAACACCATCCAAGAAAACTATAAAGTGTGTTCATTTGTACTTTCGTTTCCATTTTACACTATGAAACCTACGGCAAGAACATGTTTTCAGCTAGAAAATATCTCATTAAATGTCTATTTTATATTTAAAACATCAAATCTAATTCTTATTTTCTAGAAAATAATTGGTTTGTTCTTTCTACAATTTTTTTCCACACGTTTTTCCAAAAATATTAATATACTACATACATTCATTATTTTTATATTCCTGCACAATCCCCTATACCTCACATAAAAAAATTTCATTTTCAACAATCTCATTAAACAAACAGACACAAAAATTTTAAAAAAAATTCAAATCCATAACAAACCAAAACACAAGTAAACACACACTATTTGTTATCTAACGTCGTCTATAAGAATATGCATTCATATAAAATATTATCCGTATTTCAGAAGATGCTACATTTACAAAAAGATGAATTTAGAAATTGCACCACAACGTCTTCATCAAAACCCGAATCCTATTAGATAAACTCAAACAGACACCTCGTCGAGGCAGAAATTATGAAAGGGAGACCAACAATTACTAGGAAAAAGAAAAAAAATGCAGAAACATATGAATTGTGCCCGCTTACTTTTAATTCTTCAATTAAAGGAAACAATTTTTCATAGAAGATTTTTCAAATAACTTAGAAGAGATATGATCGTGAATGTACCTGTAACTTTTTTATCATAAGCATTGCGATCGCGCATCATCAAAGCTGCTGCCTCTCCATTTAGAGGATCTGATGGATTTGGGTACAAAAGCAGCTGTGGAAGGAAAACTTCGAACACATTCACCAGATCTGAAATGAAAAATAACCATTGTTGTGACTCGATAACACCACAATAAATTTAATCGAATTTTCAATTCCAAAAAAAAAAAGGGATAATCCTTTCAACAAACCAAACATCGGACTCCATGTCTGATTAATAACATCTAAACACACGGATCCCGACCTGCACCATAATTAACATGAAAACATTATTGTTTCACATTTGTGTACTCAAGGATAAGCATAAAGTGCTCGAACGGCTCACATTTCATCAACATTCGGATGATAAATCTTGTTGACAAATCCAATGGAAGGAGATTTATACGGATAAGCATCCGGAAGCTCAACCCTTACCTTCCAAACACCTTCTTGATACGGACCTGCCAAAAACCCGTAAAAAATCCAGACAAAAAATACAATAACATTTCTACCACACGTAACATCAGCAACGAACTTTATTAAAGCGCTTTGTTATGTGGATGATAATAACTACCTCATACTTCCATGGAAGCTAATACAAGAAGCTTTCCTAACATTCGCAATCACACGTCTGAAATCATACAATTTTGTTCATTTTGATAATTCTATGACGGATCGAAGTCAGTCATATCATACCATTAAAAACTTTTCCTGAATCTTATACAACGTTTCGAAGAACAAGTATGCAAATCAACCACTCATACTCCAAATTTATTCAAAAAAACATTAAAACGAATGTAAATTCAATAATCAATGCAGGATTCAACTTAAACAAAAAAAGCAAGTGGATTATCATATTAAACCTAAATTTCAGTATGATCATAGAAGTCAGAACAAGTCAAAAACAGCTCAACTTCCAAATCACAGATTCCGAACACAATCGAAACCAAAGAGCAATGCAAAAATGAGAATGAACGCATCCAAATTTAGCACAAACTCAGCTAAAATGCAAACAAATAATCACAGCAATGAAGCAAAAAAGGAATGAAGAGGCGATTTACTTTCTTTCGGTCCATGGAATTCAACATAAAACTCCTGCATGCCGTCATTGATCATGTCCACCTTATAATCAGTCATCATCCTAACCAAATCATCACCAAAAAAAACACAGAACAGACGAAACTCAAAAATCGAAAACGAAAATACCAAAATTCACAATTAGAACTCCACAAGTAACCTCAGGCAACAAAACCAAACACTGAACGAAAACTCAAACCCCAAAACACTGATGCAATTACAGTTTCATCAAATCCATCTCCCTGCGCTTGCTTGGGGAAGACATTGTTGCCTTTCCTTACTGTTTCCACTTCAAATTAATCAAATTTTAGGGATTCTAGTCTGCCGAAAAGTGCGGTAGCACAGGCGTAGGCGTCGGGTCTTCAAGGCGGTTCAGACATCAACGAGAAACCTGCAAAAGTAGGGATTTATGCTTTAATGGCGTTTCCACTATGTTCTTCCATGTATCAAATTTCTTCACTGGTTTTCCAATTTTTATTTGGGCCTTTAATACGGCCCAGTTTCATTTTGTTTTTTATTTGGGCTTTAAGGCCCAATATTATGGGCCGATAGTCAACCCAATATTTTATAGAGCGCTTTAACGATAGGGCCCAGTGAATTTAAATTTCTCTTAGACAAAAATTCAAAATTGCTAAATAAATTATTATTTTATTTTTTTTTCCGATTCTCTTGTGTCTATAGGGATAATTGGGAATGTTTATTTGTAAGATTATGATTTTTTTGTTTTAGTTATAAATTGAAATTATTGTTTGATTTGATATAAATATACTATATTTTAAATGTGAAAAATTAAATTTAAATATAATAAAATAATAAAAAAAGAAATATTTAATTTGATATTTTTCGAGAAAAAAAAAAATTGAAATACACTTAAAATCTCACAAGTAAATAAAGCCAATAAAGTAATTGTATTTGTGATAATAACAGAAATACTGATGATAGAATAAATTGGAACTGTATTTTTATTGTTCATTGAATTTTTAAATTACTAATTTATGTATTTTTGTAAATACTATGGGTTTGATTATTTAGTATTTTGATTTGAATTATTTCTTTATGCGATATAAATGTAGTATAAAAATAATATTTTATATTAAATATTATTTTTTTAAAAAATGATACAATAGTATATTATATATTTTGAAAATCATGTCTAAAAAATAATTGAAAGAACAAATAATATATGCTTTTTTTTAGAATAAATGACAATTAATTTTCTATTATATTTTTGTATTTAATTATCCATTGTACCAAACAATAAAATAATAATCGGTTTTCACATTAATTTTATTTCTATATAATTTCATTATTTACTATCATTCTTTATATTATCTTTTTTTTTTTTTTATGATATATATTATATAGTATATCATAAAAATAAACAGACTTTGGGTGTGTTTGTTTGGAGAATTTGAATTTTAATTTGAGATTTGAATAGTAATTTTTTTAATTTAAATAGTTGTATAATATTATATAAATATATATTGGTGTAATATTTTTAATGTATAATTAAATTTTAATGTAATATAAGTAAAAGATAAATATTTTAATTTAATATTTTAAAATTATTTTTTTATAAATAATAGAAGTTTTATTTATTTATTTATTTATTTATTTATTTTATAAACGAACACACCTTGATGTTTGTTTGTTAAGTTTCTTGTTTGAGGAATATATATATTTTAGGTGAAATATAAAAATTATATAAATAATATTTGATGTTTGAATATTATTTTTTTAAATAATGAAATATATATATAAAGAAAAGAACTATTGGAATAACAAAACCTTGTTTTCTTTAGTTTTATAAAGCTCTTAATTAATTAAATTTTAAATAATACGGCTGTTCTTAGGGTGTGTTTGTTTGAGGGTTTAGATTTTGAGTTGGAATTTGAATAGTAAAAATTTTGAATTTAAATAGTTTTATGATGTGATATAAATAGGTGTTGATGTGATGTTTTAAATGTAAAATTGATTTTTAGTATAATATAAAAAATGAAAAATAGGTGTTTGATTTGATGTTTTTGAGGGAAAATAATGGAATAAATAGTGTATATTAAATCCAATCCCCCGTACAAACACACCCTTAGAGTATTTATGATATAAAACCATCAACATTCTACTTATTTAGTAGGATTGGATTATTGATCGATCCAAAATGAAATTAAAATTATAAATTTAGATAAAAGAATTTTTAGAAATAATTTATTTAAATAAGTAATTAAAATTGGTCAAAACAATACTCCCTCTGTCTACATACAAAGTAAATATTTACTTTTGACACATTGTTTAAGAAATAATAGTATTTTAATTATAGTGGGTAGTTATAAATAATAAAATAACATTTTTGTCTTTGTTTTTTGGTGTAAAAATAAAGATGTGATTTAAAGTTATGGTGTGTTTGTTTGGGGGATTGGATTTTATTTTCACTATTCATCCCATTTTTTCTCCAAAAAAAAATCAAATCAAACACTTATTTTTTATATTATACTAAAAATTAATTTTACATTCAAAATATCATATCAACACCTATTTATATCACATCATACAACTATTCAAATTCAAAATTTTTACTATTTAAATTCCAACTCAAAATCAAACCCCCAAACAAACACACCCTAAGAGTATATGTGAAAAAAATGAATTATTTAATAAAATATTTACTTCGTAATTAAACATAAAAAAAAATATGTATACTTTTTAGTTGGACTGAGGGAGTGCTAATTAGCAAATTACATTAATTTTGTGGTGGTGTTTTTATATTAATGCGAATTTAGACGACAAATAATTATGAGACAGGCTGTCAATGGGTTGTAAAGAAAATTATGGTTGGATGGGGACATCGTCTTCTCTTCCTGCATCCCAACCAGGTGGTCACTGGTCTTCTGGTCCTGGGACCGCGTGTGGGATCATTACTTTAGATTTGGGTAGATATGCAAATCCTGTTGGGACCCACAAACTGCATGGAACTATTAATGTTTTTTTAATATTTTGGGTGTTGGTGTTTTTATAACATATGGATTTCAAATTCTTTGGGCATGGTTTTAATATTGGTATGCATTTTTTGCTAATTTTTATAATAAATAAAAAATGATATCTCTTCCATCTTAAAAAGATATATATATATATATCTGTTTTAAAATAAAATATTCGTAATAATTGTATTCCATCCGTCCAATGATTACTTCTTTTCCTTTTTTTTTTATTTTATTCCATAAAAAATGATTATTTTGTTTTATTTTTAAATTTATTAATTTTAAATATATTTAATAAATATAAATTAATTTTAATTCAAATTTTTTTAAAAAAATTTTTGTCCTGCTCACTAAGCATATATTTTTTTTTAAAAAAAAATTCTTCATTTTTCTTTATAAAATTATTTTACGATAATGATAAATATTTGTTTATTTATTTATTTATATTATATAAAATTTTGTTATCTAAAAAATTATATTTATATTGTATATATTTTATTGAAATATAATGCTAAAAATATTTAAAATATCTACAATAATACGGATAAATAAAAGAAAAAGTTAACAAAATAATATTATAATTTATTATTAATAACTTATTGATATATACAGTCTAAAATATTCAGTATCTAACTAAATAGGTCATCTAACCTGGGGGGAAGGGATATTATTTATGTAATATTATAAATATTTTTTACAATTTACTATGATTGTGTTCTTCCATAATTTCCCATAAATACATTTTGATAAAAAAAAATTAATATATTACACACTTATTATTTTATATTATTTGTAAATTTTTTTATATTTTATATAAAAGAAAAAAATACAAAAAGTACTTCAAACAATTTCACCAAAAATTTTGTTTGTTTAATGTTTTAATTTGAATAAATTTTTTTATGTGAGGTATAAAGCATTATATGGATAGTTTTGAAAATATTAGTATTTTATATTGAATGTTAACTTTTGGTAAAAACTAAAATATATTTAAATATAACAATTTCATCTATTTTTGTCTAAATATATATTTTTATTAAAATATCACATCAAAATTATTTAAATAAAAAATTAACATATCCAAATGCAATTAAAATTTCAAAAGTATACTTACCAAAAAAATTCATTGAGTAGCCAAATCAATTTAAATTGATTTTTTGTTAAAATAAAATTCACATTTTTATTAATTTTCTTACCAATTAATTAATCTGTATTCCCTCCGTCCCAGATATCGTGTCTGCTACACTGCAGATACACGGTATTTTAGGAGGAGTATAATTAATAGATAATTAAGAATATATTAGTGAAAATAATTATCATATAATATAAATAATTATAAATTAAGATTAAGATAACTAATTAGTTTAATTAAAATTAAAAAAAATAAAATTTAAAAATTTAAAATGAGATTAAAGTGTGTAATCATTTTCAAAAAAAGAAAGTGACATGGTACGTGGGACGGACAAAAACGGCAACGTGGACATGATATCTGAGCGGAGGGAGTAATAAACAGCTAAATACACTAAAAAAAAAAAAAATCCTTTAAATTTCTGCTTTAAGAAATAATTACGACGTTTTAGAATTCAATCCGATTTGATTTTGACATGCATGAAAATTGAAAACGCATATTGGATATTAATAGTAGTAAAATTATTTCCCCTCTCATCCGACCGTCGAATCACTACCTAATCAACGGTGTAGATTACCCCGAAAGAAACGACGTCGTAGAGTCGTGACAACAGCCGGGGAATTAGTAAGTAAAGAAATGCTGTCCAGCTGCCTGCAACAAAAGAAGGCGCGGACTCCAAACAATCTTCAAATAAACGATATAATATTAATAATGTGCGTGACCCGGTCAGCCCGTTACCCTGTGGGCGATGTCCGTACGGGTGGGGCCTCCTTGTCACCGCCAATTGGCAGTAGCAGGTCGCCCGTAAAGGGTGGTTATTATCTCATGTGCACTCACTTCATGCTTTTTCCCTCTTCAGAATTTTGCTGTGAATTCAGAGAGCAGTTTTTGATTTTATGTTTTTATTTTTCTCTCTCTTTCTCTCTCTAGACCTGCGCTCGAGATTCTGTTGTTCATAGCGGCATTTTCCGGAAGAGGTATGTGTGTTTGCATTTTGTGTTGTTTTTTTCCATTTTTTAAATTTATATATTATAACCAAAATTAAATTTATGTGTTGTTAATAGTCTGTGTTGGAGCATTTGGTTTGGTGGTGGTGATGGTTTGTGTTGTAATTGATTATATGTTTTTGGAGGATTTTGATTTGAGTTTTTTTGCTCGAATTTCAGTGTGTAAATTAAGGTTTCTGCAGATAATGAATTGGATCGTTTGGTTTTTAGTCTAATGTTGAGCATTTTTATTTATTTCTGCTGGAGCATTTGGTTTGTGGAGGTGATGGTTTGTGCTGTAATTGAGTGTGCGTTTTCGGAGGATTTTGATTTGAGTTCGTTTGCTCTCGAATTTCAGTGTGTATACGTTTTCTGCGGATAATGGATTGGATCGTTTGGTTTTTAGTCTAATGTTGAGCATTTTATTTGAATCGAAATTCTAATGTAATATGCTGCCTCTGTAAATCTCCATGGTTTGGATGAATGCAGGCATCTTCTGGAACTGGAAATTTTTGGATGTGTAATTTTATTTATTTATTTTTCTTTTGGTAAAAGAGAAGCTGCTTTGGATTGTGTGTAATTAATCTGATCTCAGCAGCAGTTACCGAACGTCTACCTTGTCTTGTCACTATGTGCGCATGTGAGAGAGAGTGGCTTTTAGAGAGAGAGAGAGAATAGTGTTGAGTTTTAAATTGCTATCTGATGCGTTTGTTGATTGGTTTACTCGATCATTACAATTTACAATTATATTTACTACTAGTAGTGTACGCATGTCAAACATCATTATATATTTGCGAGAGGTCTCTTCTGCGTCCTTTTGGCTTTAATCTGACTAATTTATCTTCTTCCAGATTTGCTTGTCGAGGGACGAATTTTGCGCTATTTTGTCAGCTATCGAGATGGTTAATCGTTCTTCGGCCTGAGCTGCCATGAATTCTAACTTCTAATTGAATAGTTTAAAGTCAACTTCGAAGAAATTTGCATCATTTCGAACAGTTTCACCTAAACATTGGGGGCAGAGGAGAGGCAGGCTCGGACGACATGTATCAGACATATCCCTGGAATTCTTAGCTGCTGTTGATTTTTGCTTGTAGTTTCATCTGCTCAACTTCAAGAGTGAGATGTTGGAGACAGAATCATGCCCTTCGCGAGTTCTGTCGCCTTTCCGCGAGGAAAGCGGAGACGAAGAGCTGTCTGTCCTCCCAAGGCATACGAAGGTTATTGTGACAGGAAATAATAGAACAAAGAGCGTTTTGGTGGGTCTGCAGGGCGTTGTTAAGAAGGCTGTTGGACTTGGTGGTTGGCATTGGCTGGTACGAGTTTTTACCCTTCTTTCAAAGCTCGATTTTTTATTTTTTTTTATATATTTTTCTGTTATTCCTGTGCAAGATCAAATTCATAGTCAATAAACAATGCTCAAATATTATTTTAATAACAATTCTGATTTTTAGATCAAGTAGAATAAATAGAGTTGTAATCTGATGTTTATGCTAAGCGTGATTTGATTCCGTTATTATCCATTTCAGTTGGATGTTTCTTAACATAGATGAGGATAGAGTATTTGATTTTTGATCTGTACAACGTTTTTTCCGAAGACTGAAGATCATTTGAATCGAGTTTTCTCTTTTAGTTTCTCAGAAATTTGTTCTTGAGGCATTACCTTCCACATTCAACTACTCTCCTCAATGCTTATAATAGAATAGATATATCTAGAGGAAGTGGTTAAATTTGTGAGTATATATGTGGAATTGTGAAAATTGCTATATATATATATATATATATTCGAAAGTGATACAAAAACAATAGAAATTCTTTAAATATGCTGCTTGCTAGTTGGTCCATTTGAACACCAGTTTATATCCCCATTAGCACGGTTTTATTAATGTCTTGAAGATACAACAGGTTTTGAAGAATGGGGCTGAGGTGAAGCTTCAAAGGAATGCTCTGAGTGTGTTAGGGCCTCCTACGGGCAATGAAGAAGATGACGAGTACGATTTTGATGATTTCAGCAGTGGTTCAGATGTCGGTGAACCCGACCATCACCGCTACTGTAAGTTATATTGCAATTTCTTAATAATACCTTCCATTGTTGTTCTCTAACTAATTATATATATATATATATGTATGAAATTCATCAGCCACTAGCTTTCACTTAAGCAAGATCAGCAAGCCTAGAGTTCGGTACACTAGACCATGGTTGCCTCCGGCATCCACCACTTCAATTAACCGCGGCAGTTGCAGAGAAGTTCAATCCAAGTTTCATGCGGCCCATTTGGTAAGTAAATATATATTTAGTTCCACGACAAGCAAAATGGAAAATGACAACAAGCGTTATTGCAAATCAAAATCGCCACATCATTAGATTTCGCATGGTGGCTTATTTAGATACTCCCTCCCCTTCGTCCATTAAAATTGCCAAGAAAAATGAGTATTTTATTAAAAAATGACCGGTAGTTGGAGGTATTTTTTAAAATCTAGTTAGAAATTTGTAATAAAATTAGCGATATTTATTGTAAATAACTGTTGAATATAGGATAAGGATTAAATGTTGATTTGTAGAATTTTAATACATGCTGTTTGAAGTATACACATATATATATATATATATATCTATGCTCGATGCTTTCTTTCTAACATTAGGTTGGTGTATTGATCTGATCAGAGGGTGAATTTAGCAAGGCTCGGTACAGGGTCGATGTGGAGATATTACCGAAGCTTCCGCCTCGTATGTATCTTCATTATTTCCCCTGATTAGTTTCGCTTTCGTTTTAAATTTGCTGACTTATGTCGGAACACGGCAGGCTCATGTTAGTCCTAACCCGTCAAAGGAACAGCTGATTAACGCAATCCAGCAGCATTTTTTGTCGCAGGTCAGCTCCCCTTCCCTTCCTTGACTAAACATTTGAATCATTCTTTGGATTTGATTAGTGGCTCGTCGTCTGTTTTTGGCATTCACAGCATGTGGACGAGGCGCAAGTGATTACGGAATTCATTCATGCTGCCAAGAGACTGCAGTCGGTCGAAACTAACTGAGAGAGGGAGAGAATTGACGATCGATTGATCATCGACGGGGAGTCCATGATTAATTGCACAGCCAGGTTTCTTCTTCCATCACTGCTTGTAACATGTGCGTTGGAATGTGTAAGCGTGTGTGTGTATATATATATATATATGTGAAATCTATGAATGTGTGGGTATTTATGCATAATACTCATGGACCCTAATCCACCTCTAATTGACTACTGCTCTGCTGAATAGATTTTTAACCTCATTATATATATGTATATATAAGTCGTAACTTAGCATAACCTAACCCTAGTGTGGTCATAGTCATAGTCATAGTCATAGTCATACACAACCTTCTTTCCTTCCCTCACCCGTTATAAACATTCCACGCATTGATTGGTGTTGGATATTTATTTATTTATTTTTCTAGGGAGCATGTGAAGGTGGGTTGAATAGAGGGTAGCCATGGCTGTCAGGCATTTGGTACTATTTGATATTTTGTTGGGATAGGGATAGGGAGGGATATGGCTTTACTTAATGTCAACCGCCAACCAGAAAATGAATCATGGAGTAGTATGTATATATAAATGTAGTTTTGTTTGAAATTTCAATAATAATGAACGATATTGATAGGGATAGGGATAGGGATAGGTGGATACGTGAAGATTGATTTATTTTTGAATTGGGGGGGGGGGGGGGGGGGCCAAATTTATCCTGGTGTGGTGTGTAGTGTAGGCTATATATAAATATATATGTATATTATTATGTGGCGACTCCTATCCTATTCCTATTGATACTAGTAGTAGTAGTGGGTGGTCGTCCTTAAAATTTAGGTTTGGGCAGATTTGAAAAATCTTGTTTGGGTCCCCACGTGAGTGAGTGAGTACTGATTAAAGCAAAGCAAAGCACCCGAACACAGTTAAGTTATAGGTGTCTGTCTACACTAAATGTAGGAGTAGGAGGGTAGGGTAGGGTAGGGTATATAGGCAGACTGGTGTGGTTCTCAAGATGGATGGATGGATGGATGGTCGATAAAATATCAAGTATGTGTGTGCCACAGAGATATTTAATATTTTGTTGACCTGACGTTAAATTGGGTTGTGCAATAAATATATATATATTTCATAACAAAATATTTATTTATTTTTATTTTTAAATAATTATACTATTTATTTAACATTACAAATATTCTTCAAATTTATAATATATTATATAAATATTATTACTTTTATATAATACAATACTAATAGGATTAATTTAATTTTATATTTTTAATTTAATTTTATTTTAATATAATTTTAATATTTTAAAAATTTTATATAAAAAATAAATTGATGTATAGAAATGGGACGGGAGAGTATAATATATATGAAACTTGATTTATTGGATGACTGCTACTACTACTGTATGATTATTACGATAATCGATGTTGTAAACCGTGACGTGACTACAGGTTGCAAAATTCACAGGCAGAAGCGCCATTCTTGGGGCGAAACATTTGTACTTCATTACTTTCCTCGTAAGAAAAGCTTCCCTGAAGATATTTATAAAAAAACATCATATCAAAGGTGTTTTTTATCCGTTAAGACGGATCAATTTTCAAACGTAGCGAGAACTCATTTAATGACTCTCTCTATGCCTCCTTGAGTCCTGGCTATCAATCAATAATTAGCATTTGCATTATGCATACATATAAATGTATTGCCTCCATCGCATAAATAAATTTCACTGCACAACTACTTCTAAACTTCCACTTGTTTACATAAATATTATTGTAATATAAAATCATGCCACCAAACTTAAAACAATCTCCACATATAAAGAAAATGAAAAACAAATTCATACATTAACTGTTTAGTTTAGAGAAACTACGAAAAGAATAATAGCATAAAAAACATAAGAATACAAGATCAAGACAAAACAGTAGCAAACAAGCAAGCAAATTCCTTTTCTACCCGGACTAAATTTAATAATATCAACAATTAAAAAAGAGCATGCATAATATAATGTAATATAATAGTTAAAAAAAAAAAAAGTATGGAATTGGAGGGGTAGGGGTGGTCTCTTTAATAGACTTCATATTCCAATCTCACCAGCAACCCAAATCAAATATACCTCAGGCACAACACAACACTTGTAGTAGAGGAAATGAAATTAATCAGCTCCTGAAGAGAGTCTCGATCGCCTCGAAGAAGAGCGGGGCGATTTCTGGGTTTGGAGTTTTTATTGCACACTTGAGGCCCGGAGCACCGATGGCTGCCGTGATCTCAATCAATATAGGGATTGCCTGAGGTATCTTAGCAGACAGATACAACACATCTTGATTCGAGTGTTTGCGCTTTGCAATAAAGAACACGTTCGATGAGCCTAGCCGCTCGATGGTTGCATCAATGCTGTTCAGCACGATTGCCGGGAACTCCTTGGAAACTTCGTTCGAGTCCGGTAATGATTTCCATGTCTGCATAGTCCAAAAAGAAACCCAAACAATTATCAAACTGGATGAGAGTACAAGGATGACTTGACTGATCAAGGAAATCATACATAAGCCTTGTTCTACACAATGTCCAAATAATAATACAATACATAGACACCACATATATATAATACCACACTTTTTTAAATTAAAAATTAAAAAAAAAAAAAACCACTCCCTCCGTCATGTAAAATCATGCCCATTTCACCGGGCTTGGAGTTTTAAGAAAAATGGGTAAAAAAGAAAAAAAAAATCTTTTATGGTAAAAGAAATAGAAAAAGTGATTTTTCTACTAAAAAAGAAAACTGAAAAAAATTTGAGTAATAACAGTCGAAAAAATTTTAGAATAAATTTGGATGACAAAAGAAATAAAATATGTTTTATTTAATATTTACCAACACACTTATGTAAAAAAAAACAACTAAAACCTAAAAAACTAAAAGTCTAACAAAAACATCATTCCCTATGATACTTTTAGGGTTTCCCATACCTCATAAGAAAAAAAACACCTAAAGCTATACTGAACAACTACACTCAAATATTTTCAACTTTTAAATAAAGAAAATAAGTTTAATTCGTCGTAAAACAACATACCTCAAGAAACGAGGACCGTTCCATTCTTCCATCGCCGGTGAACAGAACTTGCAGTGGAATTTTGTCGCTGAAATACCATACCGGCTGCTGGTTGTTCTTCACAGCAACCTGCAGGAGGGAACTCGGCGGACCCGGAGACATGTTCTGGAATAAAACCATAGGCAAAAGAGTGCTTGCGGATGCCCCGGGTTGCAATTGTGGTACCTGAATGGCGCAAGATATATATATATATATTATAGCTCAAAAACGATAAATGACAGATGACATACACTAAGAAACAGAAATCACAAAAAATTACCTGGAGAGGTCCGCCTGCAGCGAGGCCAAATGTGTTCTTGTTGAATTGAATCATAAACCCATCGAGCGGTACCTGCGAATTATTCTCGAACAACATGCTGTAGAATACCTGGCCATCTTTGCTTACGAGCTGCGCGCTGATTTGTAGGCCTTGACCCGTATGTGCAGGTAAGAGAATCGGCAAAGGAGGGCTGCACAATGCCGAGAAAAATGAATACTCTAAAACATACAATTTAAATCGAAGAGGATGGTAATTAGAGCTGGCAAAAACTGACACGACACGACAACCCGACACAATAATAAAAAGCGTAGGGTTAAGGACTGAGGCTCTCAACTCGAATCGACAATCCGATTATAATATATTAATATTAATTAATATATTTATTATATATGTAAAGTTATTATAATTTAATAATTAGCCTACGTATTAATTTAAGTTCAAATTTAAATAATTCAACTTAATTCATTGTACATGTTACATTAGAATTAATAAAAACTAACATAATACGACAAAAAACAATTGAATTTGAATAAAAAATATCGACTCAATTATGTATACGGGTCAATACGAATTTAACACGATAATAAAAAGATCAATACGACCCTGACACGATAATAAACAGATAGGGTTAGGGTTGAATTCTTTAACTCGTTTAAAGTATTCAACCCGACACGAATCGACCCATTGCCAGCTCTAACGATAATGAAAATGGAAAAATGATAGAATCTACCTTGCGGGGGTTGGAGGCTGATCAGTTGGTACAATGGCACTATTGTTGCCGTCCATGCCCATAAGATCGAGTAGATCGGGTACGGGTGCGGGAGCTGGAGCGGCGGCCGGTTGCCTGGCAGTGGCGGACTGTGGATTGCTCGTCGTGGCTGGGGAAGATGCACCCGGAGCGACGTGAGACGGTGACTCGGAGTACCCCGTTTCGCTTCCGTCGGGATATTCTTCTTCCTCGGTTCTTTGAATGGTTTTGACGCGAGTTACGAATGTGTCTGGGGGCTTGTGGTAGACGGAGGACAATGTGGCAATGTTGGCGAGAAGCTCGTCGAGGAGTGTAGGCTCGAGTTGATTAGAGTCGTCGCTTATGACAGGCTTTTCAGCCAAAACAACATCCTTTGCTGCCTGAAAGATCAGTCGGACAATATAAATAAAAATGTATAATCGTCTCTACATGCAAGGGTTACATAAATAGACACATATAATATAAGAATATGGTAGCTGTTGACTTATTATTCTATTTTTGGTATCGAACAATAGGTTCAGCTTCATTGTGAATGACTCTCATCATTATCTTCGTTCTCAAAGAGGTAGATCAACACTCATAGCTTAACCACAGTGCCATCCTATAGCAACAGCAGTTTCCTTAAGATTTTATTTTATTTTTTCTCTAGGTGGGGATTAGTATGACTACACTAGCATTTATTGGTAAATATGATATCGAGATATTATCATCAAATTGGTTGCTAGGGATGGCAATGGGTCGGGTCCAGCCGGACCCGATACGGAACCTGATTATACCCGGACCCAACCCGACAGACCCATTTTTTTTTTTTTTTAAATTCTTAAAATCTAATTTAAAATTGGACCCGAACCCAACATATATTAAAAATTATATACTTTATTCAAAAATATTATAATAAAACAAATAATAAATAAATAAAACTAAAAACATATTTTTAATATAATTTATATTATTAAAAAATATATATATATATAATGAATATATTAGTAATATATTAATAGGGTTTGGGTCCAGGTAAGGTCCACCCTTGGACCCGAGACCCGATACCCGAATAATTGGACCCGACTCCAAATAAATTGGGTCGGGTTCGGGTTGGGTCTCGGGTCTACCCAGACCCATTGCCATCCCTATATGGATGCACAGGAAGTGTGAGATTGAACATCATGAAGAAATAAAGCAATCAAGTGAAGTGCGGCAAACATCAAAACCACTGCATACCTCAGGATCAGTCGAGAGTAGTCGCCAATATATATATGCACGATCTCTAAGATCTGGGTTGTCAGTTTCAACAGTTGCATTGTTCAGAACGACCTATAGATAAGATTAAAATGCAAGTCATACTCTAAAAGTAAAAAAAAAAGTGACAATATATAATATTATACCAAAGGTTCTACATCATTTGTGTAATCTGAAATCATGCCGAAGATATCTGAAAGACTGAGCTTAACAAAAAGATAGTCATTTCAATTTAAGAACATACAACAGAAGAATCCATGCAGGCCGGAAATTACCTGGATCATCTGCTGTGGGCCTTCGGTTGGCTTCTTAAGGAAAAGTTTAACTGTTGCCGTAAGCAACTGTAATTGGACTTGAGGAGGTTCCTCAGGAAAAGTCTCCAAAAAGCTTTCCAAGAGCTCATCGGCATTATCAATTCTTTCAGCGTATTCACCAATTATCCAAATCATCGATGCCTACACATAAAATACTTACAATCAGAAAAAAGCTTTAAATGACCACCTCTTGAAAAAAAAAAAAGGTTCAGGGCATGGATTCATACCTTTGCTTCTGGCTCGTCCAAGGTGTCTAAACTCTCACAAAGTGTAGCAATTATGGATTCATAGCTGAAAGGATTAAATTAGATAACTCAGAAAGGAAGCAACTGAATCGGCACAATAAACTAGCAAAAAATATAAAAAAAAAGATCACTTACGTGTTTGGGTATCTCCTAAAAATGTCCTTAATCACAATGATTGCTTCTTGAACAACATAATTTACTTTGATCTTGATCAACTCAAGCAGAACGCTGATGCAACGCTCAGCTGCTCTCTCTAACTTAATGGCACAGCGCCCAATAGCACGGACAGCTTTTCGGACAAAATCAACATCCACTTCTGTAGCATATTCTTTGAACTCCAGAAGAACCTGAATGTATACTCAAGGAAACCATTATGATTGGACCCAACTTCAAATGGGGTGGGGGGGGGGGGGGGGAATTAAACCAACTTCGACTTACTTGGTCAATATTTCTATCAGAAGCAAGCTTTATCATGATTTCTAATTTCTCCATCTTCACATATATTGGATCATTGTATTTGCAGAAAAAAACCTACAGGGAAAAACAATACTTTTGAGTTAACCTGCATACAGACATCACCAGTTTTACAAAGAGCATGCGCATCTTAGACAACAAGACTATTTACCTTTATTTCATGGGCAAGAATAGTGGGACGCTTTTGCACTATAAGGTTTATGTTACGCAATGCAACATACTGAATCTCGGGTTCTGCAGAAAGTAAAGTCACAAGAGGAGGAGCCATTTTCTTGCAAAGGTTTCTGACAACATCAGTACTGGTGATCATTTCCATTTGCAAAAGAATCATCTGCAATTTGCAATATCAGAAGACCCTTTAGAATTAATAGTACTGGGACGAAAACCAACTTCCATGCTTTACCCTCTAATCGATGGTTAACAATACATATGAATAGATAATGAATGAGGATAAAACATTGGTATACCAAAATTCTGTAAGGTTATAATAAAAGACTAGCTTTTATTTTTCAGCAGGTGAAGAATGATAGTGTTGAACAAGGAAATGGAAGCACAGCAGACAGGAAGATTTAGTGGTAAAGTGCTAGAAAGAAATTACTAGTTTAGGGGAGAACAATAACCTTGACAGCTGAAAGAACAACAGCACAATTTGCATGTTGTAGCCGTGGAGTAACTCGCTCAACTATATTTTCTGCATCACGGGCATCAACTGCTTTATACTTGGACAGAGCATCCAAAATAAAAACTTGACCCCACCTGAAGTTAAAACAAGACAAATACACATTCATTAAGCAGAACAAAAGACATTTCATGAAACAATTGAGTGAAAACCCCATAGGTTCAGGAAGTAGAAACCAAGATTCATTTACAAAACCGGTATTTAAAAGAATATACTGTATCTACCAGTTAAATTAATCTCAATGACAATTTTGATTGTTCAGCCCTACTCCATGACCAATAACACAAGAAAACACTGATATGGCATGCTATTCTTGTATTTATATACTAATACAAGATAGGCTACAAATGAAGGCACATTATTAAATTTACATCAAGAGAGTGCAAGAAACACAAAAGCATGTGATTACTGCATAAAGAGATATAAACATGTGTATGAATTGAGGAGTATTGTGGGTGGGGGGAGTATGAGTCTTAAGTAAAATTTGAAAGCTATTCATAATCATACTCAGTGCATTCATTTAGAGCCGTAAGAAGCTTGGACAGTGTGTGGCTGGTAATCTCAAAGATGGGTCTGCTGCTGTTCTCTTGAATTTCTGCTAGCGCGGCAACAGCATTTGCAACAACCATTGGGTTGTTATCAGATATCAAATCCTTGAGGGCATCCAGGAAACCTCTATCCTCCACCAACTCAGCATTAATATCATAAAGTTTAGCAACGCATATAGCTGCAGTCTTCCGAACATATGGATCATCATCCTGATATGATGCAGAAGGAGAACGTGGCACTTTCTTAGCATACAGTTTAATAACAATGAGACAATATGGTTAGGGGAATGATAAAAATAAAAAATAAATTGTAGATATTAGATTTGATAGAGATACCTTCAGACACCGTTGCAATGGATCACATAAATACTCAGTAATTTTATCAACACGAATGCATCCCATTGTTCTCACAGCTAATGCACGGATCAAAGGGTTTGGGTCCTGGGAATCCTGGATGAACATGTTGATCACAAAATTTAGCAAGTAACTAGTTGCTTTTCAATTGCTTCAACTAAAGAGGCGACTTCTAGTCAATACACAGACGGGAGAAAAAGAAAGGCCAATTTTCTCACAGAAAACAGTCCATGTTGAACTTACACCAAATATTTATATCAGATAGAGTCATTAGAAACCAAATAGCCTAATACAAAATATAACAATTTGAAGTGCTTACAAAAATTTCACTGTGAGTTCCCCTTAACCACAATACCTCTTTTAAGTTATATAATCATTGAACACTCAAACTAACTCATTTCAATCCCCATTGCTCAAGTCAAGAATCTATGTTGACCACTGTTCTTAATCAAATCTGATGAAAGGACATAATATAAGAATTGATGACTAAACAAGGATATTGGAGCAATTGGAAAAGAGGAAAATTAATTACACAGATTTTCATTTCTAGGGTTCAGATTTCACTAAAGTTGTAAAAGCAACGCAATTAACACCAAATTTTATAACATTCTTTTCATCCTCTTTTATGAATGATCAGAATGAATCTAATAATATTAGTCCACCATCACTTGTATCTTAAATCGTATCGGGCAGCTTCTCACGAAAAATTCACTCACTGGACATTGCATTTTTAAGGAAAAGCAGTTCTGCTTGCAAGTGCTTCGAATTTTCCTAATTGTCTAACAACATATTGTGTATAACTTGTACAATGCCAGTATGCCACGACTGACAATACATTATAGAACACTATGATGACTAAAAAATAAGTAAATCATTTTGACATTACGCGCAAGATTTATTCTACTAGTAAGAATTTGACTTTGTTGACCTCTAGTCAAGTTATCATTTTAACTGAAGTAGCACAAAATGCTAATAAATATCAAAGTTTGACCCAAAAGAAGTGGAAATCAACTCAAGCGTTGTTATACAATCGGTCTTAAAATCAGAATTTCAAACTAAATTGCTCCTCCAAGTATTTACCTTCACGAATGTGTTTACAGCAAGAATTGCAAGATCAGGCTGGCTCTTGGCATAGTTGATGAGATACAGATATACAAGTTTCTTGAGCTCCAAATTTTCAGTTTGCATACAATTTACAACATCTGTAAAGAGTGAGGACACATCTTTCCCCACTGTCATTGCAGCAATTACTTTTTTAACTGCATCCTTTCTCTTATCCTGCATCCAGTACAGTTAAAATGACAAATTGGAGTCAAATTTCAGTCTAGAAAGTTATAAAACTAACAGGAGAAGTATTTTCTAATGGAGAAAACGGAAAGCATCAGTTCAGTAAAACTTCATCAAACCACAACACAGATTTCGAGATTACTTCACGAACGACTTGATTCCGATCACAAACTCGCTAAATCAAATGATACCACACACTCACTACACAGATCAAACACATATATGACAATTCTAAGCAACAGGAACCGTTAAATCAAACCAAAAATACCTAGATCCAACTTCGATTCACACTAAAACAACGAAGAAAGTTCCGATACCAGACAACTAACAAAGCCGTCAACAAGCAGATCAACCAGAAACTCGACCAAATCTCTCAATACGAAGTCCAAAAATAGAGAAATTAAGCAGATTGAAAATCAAATAATGGAAAGTTACCTTATACTGAGAATTGAGCTCTTCTTTGAGCTCGGGAATCTCTCCTTTCTTTGTAGTGGAGAAATACTTAGAGTCGTGGCCACTCATCTCTCCTCGCTGCGGATAGCTCCGGCGGTGCTCAGCCACCGGCGGTGGAGACGGGAAGAAACGAAGAGAGGAAAGATCAAAGCAGAGACACGGCGAGAACTGGCCAACAATGGGAGACTGGGAATTCGAGGGAGACTATATAAACAGGTGCTCTAAACCGGCTTAAGATGAACCCGGTCGAGATGCATCCGGTTTATCTTTTGGCGGAGTTGAAAAATGGAAAACATAAGATTTGTGTTTCGGATACTTCGATTCGAATTGTTTTACTACATTACATTAAAAAAATATACTATATATATTTGAATATAATATTTTAAATAACATATATTTCCTTCATCTCTTACTATTTAATTTTGCATTTCTCATCGTCTCAAAATAAAATATAATATTATTTTATTAATAATTATATTATCTAATTAAATTTAAAAAATATTTTTACAATTTATTACAATATAGGGTGTATTTGCTTTATGAGAATATTAAAAAAAAATTATATAAGTTAGAGAAAAAATATATAGAAAATATAAAAATAATAAATATGTGGAGTATATTAATATTTTTGAAAAAATATAACATAAAAAAATAGTGAAAGTATTTGAATTTTGTTTAAAATGAAATTTAATTTTTAAAATAATATACTCCCTCCGTCCATTTAAAAGAGTTACATTTACATTTGGCGTGGTGTTCAAGAAATAATAATATTTTAATTACAGTGAATAGTTAAAAGTAGTGTAATGACATTTTTGTCCTTACTTTTTTTGTGTAAAAGTAATAATATGATGTAAAGTAAAAGGTATTTGTGGAAAAAAATAGAGTATTTAATGAAATGTAAATTTTGTAATTGGACATCCCAAAATAGAAACATGTAAACTTTGTAAGCGAATGGAGTATTTGTTTGTCCAACTAATTTATCACCAATATATTTTATATTATATCAAAAATATATTATATTCTTCTGTAAAAAAATTAATATTTAATATAAAATATTTTTTATTTTTTATATTATCAACATAATTTTTATACTTAAAAACTAAAATACTTTAAATTAAAATACTAAATAAACAATTATTTTAAATAATAGTATATGTTGAGCTAATACATACTCACTATCTATATATATCTAGAAAATTGTTAACCAAAGGTGATAGATCCAAATTCTTTTAGGTGTCTTGTTTTGATAAACTTCACAAGATTTTTATTATTCATTAGTTTTTAGAAAATATATATATATATATATTAAATCAAATATTTATTTTTTATAATACTTATTTTATTTTTACATTAAAATTTATTACAATTTCATCTTCGCATCCGAAGGTATTGTGTCATAATTAATTTGGACAGAGAATATATATTTTTTTAGCAAAACAATAAATCAAATATATTTAAATTTAATTACAATTTTCATATATATATATATATTAATATTATCCATATATTTATTTTATTTTATATATTATAAAAGAGGCCCTGGAGGCCTAGAAAATTTTGGGTCTGATCCTGGGCTTGGTGGCCCATACTAAGGCCTATATTTAAATACTATGCGGTTAAATAACTATTACAAATTTTTATGTTATCGAAAAATTTGCTTATGCGTCAAATCCTTATAGATCTCGTCTTTCTATTTTCTTCCGTCCCACGTAACTTATCATTTCATTTTAAAAAAGTATGACTATCCACTTTAATCATATTTTGGATGTGTTTGTTTGAGGGATTGAATTAGATTTCCACTCTTCATTCCATTTTTTTCTCCAAAAACATCAAATCAAATATTTATTTTTCATTTTTTATATTATACTAAAAATCAATTTTACATTCAAAATATCACATCAACACTTATTTATATCACATCATACAACTATTCAAATTCAAAATTTTTACTATTCAAGTCCCAACCCAAAATCCAAACCCCCAAACAAACACACCCTTTAAGTATTAAATTTTATAATTTTTATAATTTTAATTGAATTATTTATTTATCTTAATCTTAATCTATAATTATTTTTACTAAATAATACTTCCTCCGTCCCAGATACCGTGTCTGCTACACTGTAAACACGGTATTTTAGGAGGGGAGTAATTAGTAGATAATTAAGAATGTATTAATGAAAATAATTATCCTATAATATAAATAATTATAAATTAAGATTAAGATAACTATTTAGTTTAATTAAAATTTAAAAATAAAATAAAATTTAAAAATTTAAAATGAGATTAAAGTGTGTAATCATTTTTCAAAAAAGGAAAGTGACATCGTATGTGGGACGGACAGAAACGGCAACATGGATATAGTATTTGGGACGGACAGAAACGGCAACATGGATATGGTATTTGGGACGGAGAGAGTAATTATTTCTACTAAAACACTTCTTAATTACCTATTAATTATATTTTACTTAAATTTTTGTATCTACGGTAATACACCCAAAATATATGAGATCGACGGATTATTAAAACTGAAACCAAACACACTCATAATCATGTAAAAGTGGTAATTTTGGATTGATCCAATTTTATTCTATGGCGGGACAGATCTGATCCAATGTTAAATCGGGCCTGAGAGTATAGGCCCGGGCACGACCCAGTTCAAATTCTCCCAGGCAAAACGGTCAGAATTCTTTTATTTTTAGATTTATTTTGCATAATTTGTTATTAAATTTTGATATTAATTTAAATAAAAATATAATTATGATAAACAATATTTGTATTGGTAATAAAATTTTAAAAATATTTAAATTAAATAAATATTTACACAAACCCCAGCATGGTTTGAATTTATTTTTTAGGGTATAGTTGGTATGAGATTTGAGTTTGTGTTTTGATTTTAAATAATTAAATTTTAAATTGAAGAATGATTTTATATGATACAAATAAATACTCCATCCGTCCACATAATTTGTCCCTATTTTCTATTTTCGTCCGTCCCACATAACTTGTCCTTTCTATTTTTGAAAATATAATTATCCACTTTAATCTCATTTTAAATTTTAAATTTTATAATTTTCTTAATTTTAATTAAACTATTTACTTATCTTAATCTTAATCTATAATTATTTTTACTAAATATATTTCTTAATTACTTACTAATTATACTTTACCTAAATTCTCGTGTCTGCAGTAATACGCCCATATTATACGGGACGGAGGGAGTATAATAAGGTATTTTTTCCGGTTAAATAGCAAAAAAATATTATGTGGTTTGTGAAATTTGTTGAAAAAAATATCTAGTCCTAAAATACCAAAAACACCATTAATATAAAAAAAATAATAAAAAAATATTGTAATTTATTATTAATAATTTACTAATCTACTCAACTTAAAATAATACCCGTATCTAACTAAAAAGATCATATGACCGAGACGGAAGGAGTACAATATAAACTCATATTCACAAATCGCAATTCCTCAAATCTAATAATAAAAATAAAATATTGAATTTGAATAGTTGTATATGATGTAAGTTTTGAATGTAAAATTATTTTTTTAGTATAATACTTCATCCGTCTCTAATCAAATGGACCATTTGGAATTTTGCAGTAGATTAAAAAATAATAGTATTTTATTACTCTGTAGAAGTGTGTAAGAGTTTTTTACATTCTTGTCATTTGAATTTACGTATAAAATAACTGTATGTGTAATAATATATTTTGTAATTTAAATAAAAATTAAGAGTATTTTGGTATTAGTATATGATTACTTTTTTTTAAAATTTAAAAAAAAATATTTTGAACTGTGACAAACAAAAATGGTAAAAATAGTATTTTGAATTTGAAAGAAAAAATATAAAAATAAAAAAATAAGTATTTAGATTTGATATATTGTAGATATTTTTAAAATAGATGTATTTTTTATATTATGTATAAAAAAATTATATAAATAATATTGATAAAAAGTGGCCTCCCCCCCCCCCCCAAAAAAAAAAAAAAAAACAAATTGTCAACAAATTATTCTCTTCCTCGAAAATCCACCATTATTATTGCAACTTTGCCTAACCCTAACCTAAGACCATTTGAAATTATTGGCCATAAGCACATCCTGTTTTTAATTAACCAAAGAAAATTATTTATTTCTATTTCATATTTTTTTAATTAGTATTTTTTTTTATTTATTTTTTTTTACTTAAGTGGTGTTTATCCTTTTTTTTTAAAGACAATTTATTGTAAATATTAATAAAACAATATACTAATATATATTATATATAATTTATTCATTATAAAAATAGAAATTATTATAAGAAATATTATTTCATGGAGAATATTTTTATTGATTTATATGGTAATAAGTATATATTAGACTTGTTTATTTTTTTTCATTTTTTTAGATACGATAAAATATAAAAAAATAATAATACTTTCTTTCGTCATGTTATATATAATATTTTTTCTTTTTTGCTTTACATAAAATATGATCTCTTTTCATGTTTAATAAAAATTTATTTATTTAAAATGCACTTAATATATATAAATTAATTTAATTATTCTAACCTCTTACTATAACAAATTAAAAACTTTTTTTTTTTTTAATTTCTATCTCTCTCCCTTTTATCTCTTTGTATACTTTAATTTTGGTAAAAGAAATTGCCTAGATAATATAAAATTAATAAATAAGTAAAATATGTGTCTTTGGTTAGCGGTTGAGTTTTTTAGTTGAAAGTTGGATTGAAAGTGATTTATTTAATTAATATTTGATTAATGATGTAATATATATGAAAAAAAAAATAAAATGTATATTTAATTATTTTTAATGACTGGGTTTTAATAAAATATATAAATATGAATATCATTTTGTAGAGAATAAAATTTTATATAATACAAATAAAAATAAATAAATGTAAATATTTATTTATAGTTAAAATAAATTAATTTTATAAATAAATAGGGAGTTTGTTTATAGAAGAAATAGATAGAAATAGAAAATTTTAAATAAATTTTAAATGGATCCTATATAATATATTCCCTCTGTCCCAGATACCATGTCCACGTTGCCGTTTCTGTCCGTCCCACGTACCATGTCACTTTTCTTTTTTGGAAAATGATTGCACACTTTAATCTTATTTTAAATTTTTAAATTTTATTTTTTTAAAATTTTAATTAAAGTAATTAGTTATCTTAATCTTAATTTATAATTATTTATATTATAAAATAATTATTTTCACTAATACATTCTTAATTATCTACTAATTACACTCCTCCTAAAATACCGTGTCTATAGTGTAGCAGACACGGTATCTGGGACGAACGGAGGAAGTAATATTTTAGAAAAAAAGTTGGAAGTATAGAGCCAACCGACGGGACAGTAACCAACACGGACCATTTTTTTTTTTTTGAACAAAAGAATGTGTATTTTATTTTGCAAAAAGAACACACTTATTTTTTATTAATGTTTAAAAAATAGATCACATAGTAGGAGTAATAAAACACTTAGATACTTGTAAGATATTTTATTTTGGGTTTTGATTTTGAATAGTTAAATTTTGAATTGAAACAGTTATTAGATGTGATATAAATATATATTGATGCGATATAAATATGTATTGATGTGATATTTTGAATGTAAAAAATAAATTTTAATATGATATAACATATAAAAAATAAATACTTGATTTGATTTTTTTTTTGGAAAAAAAGAATTGAGAATAGTAAAATCAGGTAAAAAAACTTACAAGTAAACACACATTTAAAGTTTGTTCTTTTAACATTTCAAATTAAAATCAACACTATTCATCGTGTATTTTTCTTGTATAATTACAAATAAAAATATATTATTTTTTCTTATAAAATATCACATCAGAATACTATTTAAAAAAAAAAAAATACAAATCAACATTCTATTTCAAATCAATTTCAAATCGCAACCAAACAAACTCTTGCAAGCAAACAAACCCTCAGTAAAATCTATCTATTTTTAAAATATATTTTCCATAAAAACATATCTAAAGAGTATATTTTTATAAAATATTTAAAACATAATAAAAAATTACTCATTCCGTCTCACATTTTATGTACAATTGACTGTAGATACAAAAATTTAGTTAAAATATAATTAGTAAATAATTTAAAAATAATTAGTAACAATAATTATTATATAGTGTAAGTAATTATAAATCAAGATTTAGCTTACAAATTAATTTAATTATAATTAAAATTTTATTAATTATTTAAAATATAATTAAAATGTATAATTATTTTTATTTTTTATTTTTTTAGAAAAATAGGATATACAAAAATAAAAATAATTTACAAATTATGTGAGACATGTGAAATATTTTAATCAAACAACATCACATTTATTCTAAAAATACTTTACAACTAACAATAACAATCAGCGGCAATTAACCTGATAATTGAGAGTCATCTACATGTTAATATTAGATTGAATCCTAAATATTTTCTCCATCCCAAAAGTATAGTCTTATTGTGTTAGACACAAAATTTAAGAAATATTGATATTATATTGGTTGTTGGTAAAAAGTAACGATAAATGAATTTTTTTGCCGTTGTTAGTATATTAGTGTAAAAAATAATGATAATTGTATAATAATAATGGAAAAGTAGGGATAATTTTATGGTGATATAATTATTTATGAAAATGAGACTATTATTTTGGGACGAACAAAAATAGTAAATAATACTATTGTATTATAACAGATGAAGTATGTAATGCTAAGTACGAACAGAGAGGGAATAAAGTGAACTAAGAGTTTGTACTATTTAAATATTATTGTTATGATTTTTTAGTAATTAATATTGTACTATTGTGATACAATGATTGTGCTCTTGCAATATAATTATTGTATTATTCATATTATTTTCATGAATTTATTTCATCCGTTCTTTCTGTTCGTTGTTTGTAACCGGACATGTATGTATGCATATAAATTAGTATTAGTATATTATAAGGGTGTGTTTGTTTGGGAATTTGGATTTTGAGTTGGGATTTGAATAGTAAAAATTTTAAATTTGAATAGTTGTATGATGTGATATAAATAGGTGTTGATGTGATATTTTGAATGTAAAATTAATTTTTAGTATAATATAAAAAATAAAAAATAGATATTTAATTTATTTTTTTGGAAAAAAAATAGGATAAATAGCGGGATTAAAATCCAATCGCCCGAACATACACACCCTAAATGGATAAATGGATATATCTCTAGGATGCAAGGAATAAACGGATGGATGCTTACGTATGCACAGCAATGCAATATTATGTTTATAGGCTAATGTTGTATGAATTGATATAGTGTTATTGTAATATAATAGTTATATATTTTAGAAATTCCAGTATTAGTATTTTTCGTACGTACGCATATGCAGAGACAGAACCAAACCAGGATGAGAGGGGGGACTAATTTTTCAAATTTCGAAACAATTATCATCTATTTGTTATCCAATAATTTTATCAATGAAATTATTATATTTCGAAAATCTTGTAAAATATCAATATGCTGTGACAACTGCATATTACCAGATGAATTTTGTATTATATGAAATTGATAAATAGTAAAAATATTTATTAAAAAAAATAGCTTTTAAAAATATCATCTCCTATATATTTGGTTGAGAATTTTTTGAAATTCTTTTTTTTAATTATTGTTTATTACTCTTTTGTTCATATCTATTTTTATAGCATCAAACGAGTATTATGATATAAATTTTTTTATTATTCAAAATTTAAATTTTCACATAAATACTCTATTAATTTTTAGCAATTTTTTTTTAATTTTTTTATTGTTTTTTATATTATATATTATAAAATAAAAATTAAAAATTAAAAATTAATTGATTATAAAGTATTAATTTTATTTTTTTTATAACGTGAAAATCCGCAGCCGTTACTCGACGAGTGCGCTCTGGATAAATCTTCTACTGAATATAGTACAGACGAACCATATGTGACAGATGGACCTGAAGGCATCGGGGTTTGAACCCATGTGGCAGGTGAAACTGAAGGTCGGAGTTTAAGAATGTAGTTTTAAAAAAAAATTAAATTTTTTTTAGTTTATTATTAAAAAATCAAATATGATTTTATTAAAAACACTGATATCAAATATTGAGAGCATCAATACAGTCATATTATTCATTCGTCCCACATAAATTGTTTATTTTATTTTTAAAAATATAATTATATACTTTAATTACTTTTTAAAATTCATAATTTATAATTTTTTAATTTTAATTAAATTATTTAGTCATTTTAATTTTAATGTATAATTTTTTTTACTAATATATTTCTTAATTACTTACTAAAATCGTGTAATATTTATAGTTAACGTGTGTTCTATTAGCTAAAAATATCAACAAATTTTTTCAAAAGAAAAATAATATCACATTCTCATTATTTTTATATTATTTGCATAATTATTTTTATTTCGCGTTAAAAATCCAACGGTCGATGAAAATCATACTAAAACACAATCTAACAGTAACATCAATTTTTAAGTTAAATTAGTAACTAAAAACTGAAATTAACTAAATAAAAAACTCCCCATGTTTGATATTTCCCTAACTCAATATTACATAAAAATATCAGACTTATTCATCAATATGCACTAATATTTACAACCACCCAAAAATACCAAATAAAAAATAAAAATAAAAATAAAAGATCAGCCGTGAAAAACTTACAAACCGCCGGCGGCGATCAGCGAGTAGTCGCCGTAGAGATCGGAAATCCCCGACGCCGCCCACAGGCGCTCATAGAAAGCCTCCTGCATATCCTCCGGCACAAACTGCGCGCGGCAGAGCGGGCACGTCTTCTGATCGTGATCGATCCAACGGTCCAGGCACTTCCTGTGGAACACGTGCCTGCAATTTGCAAGCCACCGGATCTCGTCGTCTCCGCCGCCGTCGAATTCGTACAAGCAAACCGCACAATTCTCCGGCGCCTCCACTCGCTCCGCCAAATCGCGAAGCCTCACCACCGGGAGTAGCTCGCGGATGAGCACCGCCGACAGCGACCGCGGCGGCTCCGACCGGCCGGATTCGGTCGGCAACTGGTACGACGCCGCCGCTCCAGGCTCCCGAAATCCCCAAAATTCAACCAGCGACGCCATAGAACAAGCAATTTTACGAAGAAATCCTAAAACTGTCAGAAAAATCACTACCGTTTTTGGAAGCAATAGGTCGGAATATCCAACCGGAAACCCCATTCCGATCGAATTTTCCGAGCAGGAATACGAATCCGAGCTTCTAATACTTCAATTCCAGAGAAATCTTCAGCCGAGCGCTGCAAATTAGGGTTTTACTGAAAGTACGAAGAAGAGGAATAATGGCGGAGGGGGAACAACGTCGAGCTTTATATTTAAGCCGGTGAAGGGAGTTATGCGAAATGACGAAAATGGGTCTGAACAAATTGCAAATGGCGGATGAGTCAGCAGTCACTTTTGGTGCAGGTGGTCTTATCGTATTCTGCACCAATTGCGCACGTGCGGCGACCCGCACGTGCGACTCGGGAATTAAATTAATAGAGTTAATCTATGGGGGGCTATGTGCATAGGATTATTTAATTTATGTACTGAATTGATAATTATATAAAAGTTAAAAAGAAAAAGAAAATTGTGTGAGAGGGACCAAAAGGGAATTGAGGGCATGGAGAAATAGTAATAATTGTCCTTAAAGGCAAAGCATCCGAGTAGGGACTATTGTTCACTTTTTTATTTTATTTTATTTTTAAATTTTTAAATTTGTATGTGAATGTTTTCTTTTAAATATATATATTTTTTAAAAACTATAATATATCACAACTATATATATATATATAAATATAATAGTTCATTTTACAATACATCGTATTCGAATCATTATTTTTTTATATTCTGAAAATATATTCATTTTAACTCTCTAAACTCTTGTTTATTTTTTATTCATTGTTACTCAATACACTATTATATTATTTTTGTCCACTCTATTCAAAAATATATTCAATCCGTCCCATAACAAAGTATTTATTTTTTTCATTTTAGTCCGTCTCATAACAAAATATTTATTTTCTTTTTTTAGTAACTGTATTATCTACCTAATATTATAAATATCCTTACAATTTACAATATATTATACAAATGTCATTACATTTATATCACATATACTAATAAAATTATTTTAGTAATTTCTACTTTATTTTTACTATATCTTAATATAATACTAATATTTTTAAAATTACGTGCAATAAGCAAATGAATATACTTATGAGACGGAGGAAGTATTTTTATTATAGTAAAAGTAATCTATATATAAATATTACATACCTCTAATATTTATAAAAATATTTGTTTTATTGTACTTATAAGAGCAAAAATATTAAAATCACCTTATATAGTTCCACTAATCACTAAAATTTATACATTATTTTTTAGGGATTATTTCTTTTTTTTTTCATAAAAATATTACTCCATCCGTCCCATAAGTAGATATTCATTTGTTTTTTGTACGTAGTTTTAAAAATATTAATATTATATTGGGATATAATAAAAATAAAGTATAAATGACTAGAATAACTTTATTAGTATGTGTGATATAAAAGTAATGACATTTGTGTAATATATTGTAAGTTGTAAGGGTATTTATAATGTTAGGTAGATAGTATAATTACTAAAAAAGGAAATGGATACTTTTTTATACGACGGACTAAAATGAAAAAGTGGATACTTTGTTATGGGACTGCGGGAGTATATCACTTTGATAAAAATTCCCAAAACAAAAAATATATAGATAAATATAAAATTTTATTCACAACTTCCAAGGTAGAACTTGGGTTTGCACCATAACAATTTTGATTTAAAATAATAAACGAAGAAACTCAAAATCAAACAAACATATGTTTGGTCCTATTTTAAATGTTTTAAACTTTCTCTACCGGTCTATGCAAATGCAGTGTTTGTTTGGGGCATTGGATTGAATTTACACTATTCTATTTAATTTTTTTCTAAAAAAACATCAAATCAAACACTTATTTTTTATTTTTTATATTATACTAAAAATCAATTTTACATTCAAAACATCACATCAACGCATATTTATATCACATCATACAACTATTCAAATTAAAAAATTTTATTATTCAAATCCCAACTTAAAATCTAAATGCCCGAACAAACAAACAGTATACTCATAGAATTTGTTCAATAATAAAAATAATTTATTGTTGTTGTATTTTGATTATTATTATTATTGTGCAAACTTTTTATTATTGTTATTATTGTTGTATTTTGATTTTTCAATGAAGTAATTATTTAATAAAAATATATGATCGTTTATACTAATTAACTTAAAATATATACAATATATAGCAATATTTTACAAAATATTTTCTCAATCTCACGTATAATATCATACTTTTTATTTATATCTGTCTCACATTTTAAGTTACTTTTTTAGAAAATAATTACACATTTTAATCGCATTTTGAATTTTAAAAATTATAATTTTTTAAAATTGTAAATAGGTTCTTATTCTTTAATCTATAATTAATTGTATTATATTGTAGTTTTATTAATATATTCTCAATTATTTATTAATTATGCCAATTTTTGAATTTTTTTGTTTAGTGACGTATCCAAGGACCTATAGATTAAATACTTTTTTACTTAAAGTTTAATAAAATATATTATTTTTTTACAAAATATTAAATAAAAATACTGTTTAAACCTCGGATTAATAACTCATTTCAAATTAATTTTAAATTACAATCAAATAAATCCTAAACTCTGTGCACTTAGTACTATTCATTTTTTTTTAAAAAATATTATATTAAACAATATATTATTTTTCTCACAAATCATCGTATACAATATTAAACTTTTACTATTTTTAAAATTCAAAAAATTTAGATTAAAAATCTCAAAATTTTTTTATTTAAACGGAGAGTTAGACCTGTTTGGTATTGATAATATATAAATTTATATATTATCTTAAATTATTAATATATTTTTTTAATTAAATAGAGTATATATACTATATATTTGTGTATGTGCATTTTGAAGTTTTTTATAACATTAATAAAAAAAAAAACATGTCGAAAAAAATTATTAGATGAAAACATAATGAATTTATTCTTTCGACAATGTTTTTTAAAAAAAAAAACAATTCTCAATATATATTATATATTTTTTATTATTTCATAAAATAATAATATTTAATATAAATTAGTTTTATTTTTATATTATTTACATATTTTTTATATTTTAAATAAAAAAAATATATATCTCAAATCAAAATATTAAACAAACAAAAAAAAAAATTATCTTCTCTTATGATCTATCATGATTTAAATACTATAGAAACACGAAATACAAATATAAAATACAAACGCTAAATATTCTCTTATAATATACTCCTACCGTCTCATATGTATATATTCATTTGCTTTTTGTACAGAGTTTTAGAAATATTAGTATTATATTGAGATAAAGTATAAATAAAGGTAAAAAGACTAAATTAACCCTATTAGTATGTATGATATAAAGGTAATAACATTTGTATAATATATTGTAAATTGGAAGGGTATTTGTAATGTTAGGTAGATAGTACAATTACTAAAAAAAAATGAATACTTTACTATGAGACGGACCAAAATAAAAAAATTGGTAAATTGTTAAGGGACAGAGAAAGTATATATATACATGTGTGTATGCTTAAATGTAATTAATTAATTTTTTTTGGATTGAAAAATAATTTTGATGAGACATGAAAGATAATGATGATAGTGATTAGTGCTTAATTAATAAAGAGAGGGAGGGGTCATTAGCCACGTGGGATGTCTGCTCTTCTTTCTATTTTGCTACCTAACATTAATATTTTTATACATACAATTCTCACCAAAATAAAAATAAAAATAAAATAAATAAATAAATTAATTAAATTTTAATGGAATAGTCTTGCAATGTTTGAAAATTACAAAGTATCATTTTGAAAATTAAAAAGTATACCATATTGAAATTTCCAAATTATGGGTTGCTGTGTTTGTTTTGTATTTTGGTATCAATAAATTTTTTTGATACAAAATATAGAAAATTGTGTAAATAATATAAAAATAACGAAAGTGTATAATATTTATTGATATATATATATTTTTTATGAGTGAATAAGATAATGTATGTATATATTTTAATGATATTAATGGAGAATCATATTACTAAAAAAAATATATTAAGTAAACAAACCTATATATATAGTTTTGTATGAGCTTGTTATGAAATGAATTTACATTTTATTTGTCTTTTTATGAAAATTATTCATTAACAATCAATTATAATATTTTCATAATTTATGATGTTATTTAATACTACCTCCATCCCAAACAAGGTGCAACATTTGCTTTTGGCACGGGTTTTTAGGTGGGTAGTATTAAGTAGAATAATTTAAAAATTAGGTGATGTGATGAAGAGATAAATATATATTTTATTATTTTATTTGGTTGATGTGAGGGAATAAAATGTGGGGTAGAGATTATGTATAATTAATTATTTTCTATTTTGGAAATGTTGCATGGTATTTGGGACATACCAAAAAGGAAATGTTGCAGGGTGTTTGAGACGGAGGGAGTACAATTTTTTTTGGGCAGCTGTGTGTTTGTTTGGGGGATTGGATTTAATTTCCACTATTCATCCCTTTTTTTTTTCCCCCAAAACATCAAATCAAACACCTATTTTTTATTTTTTATATTATACTAAAAATCAATTTTATATTCAAAATATTACATCAACATCTATTTATATCACATCATACAACTATTCAAATTCAAAATTTTTACTATTCAAATCCTAATTCAAAATCCAAACCCCAAAACAAACACACCCATACCTATAAAAACAAGTAATTAATTAATTGAAATATAATTTATCATAAAATTTGTTTTATGTTTTGATTTGAAATGATATTTTTTAAGTGAAATATAGAAAATTGTGTAAATAATATATTATTTTTTTTAAAAAATCATGCTGAAAATTTTTGTGTAAAAAAATACACTCTTATATACATATATATATATATATATACACAGATTTAATGAGCTGAGTGCAAATAAATTTCAATTCATATTTTTAGTGAACAAATACAAATTGAATTTGAACCCTTCATAAGTTAAAGTAAAATTTAAAGTCTAAGTTCATTGTTATGTTTAAATATACATGTTTTTAAGTTTTAGTATTTTTAATCAATAGAAACATAAAAAACTTACTTCATATACTCCCTCCGTCTTATATCTATATATCAATTTGTTTTTTGCACGAAGTTTTAGATTTATTAGCATTATATTGGAATAAAGTAAAAATAAAAATGAAAAGACTAAATTAACCCTATTAATATTGTATGATATAAATGTAATGACATTTGTGTAATATATTGTAAATTGAAAGGGTATTTGTAATGTTAGGTAGATAGTACAATTACTAAAAAAAAATTGAATACTTTGTTATGAGACGGACAAAAAAAAAATTGATAAATTGTCAAGGCCGGAGATAGTATTATTTTTTACTACTAAAACATCATATCATATATATATATATACACATATACTTTTACTATTTTTAAGAAATTTAAAATTCTAAAACTTCTATCTAAATGATTTTTTTATATTATTTTAATTTTTTACCATTTAATTTTTACATTTGTAATTATAAAATATTACTATATCAAAATATTATTAAACTAAAAAATCATTAAATCATTTCATCATTTCATTCAAAGTTCAATTCTATCATTTTTTTATTTTTAGAGAAGAAAGCTATATTTTCTTATAAAAACAAACTAAAAACAAAATAAAATCAAACGACCAAAAACACCAACGGTGTGTCTGTTTTGTGTTTTGATTTGAGAGAAAAAATTTGATATAAAATATAGAAAATTATATAGGTAATATAAAAATAATAAATATATATAATATATTAATTTTTTGAAAAATATGTTGGAAAATCTTGTAAAAGAAACAAGCTTCAAAACATTTCTCCAAAATTCAAAATGCACCTGTGATGTCTAATTATACACAAAAATTTAGGAAGAATATAATTAGTAAATAATTAAAAATATATTAGTGAAAATAATTATTGTATAATAAAAATAATTTTAGATTAAATTAAAATAACTAATTAATTTAATTAAAATTAAAAATTTAAAAATTTAAACTATATTAAAGTGTATAGTTCTTTAAAAAAAAAGTGCCAATAAATGTGACATACAAAAAAAAACAGAAAAGAAAAAAATGCACATGAGAAGTTGAGACTGATAGAACATTTAACTTTTTGTTTTGTATAAAGTTTAATAAAAATATATATTTTTATAAAATATTATATCGAAATATTAGTATTTAAACAAATGCTAAAATTACGATTTCATTTCAAATGGATTTTAAACCACAGCTAAACAAATTTACTTTTATACTCCAACCCAACCGGCAACCGGCAACCAAAAGCATCCTAGGTTTCGGTTTCGGTTTCGGTTTGATACAGAATCGAACCGCCGGCTTTCCGGTTCGACCGGAGCGGCCGAGTTGCACAGCTCGGCCGTTTCGTTTCTAGGGTTTTCCTCTTTTCGAAAATTTCTGCGCCCAAAACCTTAATCTGAACTCAATCGAATTTAACCAATCTTCCCCAAAATTGCTCTTTTCTCCATTTGGAACGATCGATACTTCGAATTTGGGGATGTCTTCGAAGAGTCCAGAAGGATTTGCAGGTGGAATTCGGAACAATAGAATCACCTGGGAAGGATGTAGTGTCTTACTCGACATCAATGATGGCGATCGAGTGCTTTTTGCTCGGCTCACCGCTGGCTCGTACGCTGCTACCCTACTGACATTCGTTTTACTGGCATTAAATTTGAGTTTACTCACCGAAATGCGTGGTTTTGCAGGAAAATCAAGTTAGGGAACAGTAATTGCTCTCTACAGCCTTTGATTGGATGCCCTTTTGGATCTTCTTTCGAAGTAGAAGTTGGCAAAGATGGACCGTTTCTTAGCAGAGTTAACCCATCTACAGAAGGTATATATATATATATATATGTATATACATTGGCAATCTATAGTTTTAAATTTTTCTAAGTGCCTATTGTAAATTCTATATCGAATCAATACTTTGCAGTGTACACTTGTGGTTTAGTTTCCTGTTTCTTTGAATTCTATTAGGAGTGTTTTATTTTGAAGATCATATTATTTGCATCCATATATTTGCCTGACATAATCTGAACATTTGTGATGTGTTTTTGCTGTTTAACTACTTCCCAGCTATTCGACAGACAGATTAATTTCGCCTTAGGTGTCAAATATGGAACATTTTTATCCACTGGTTTAATTTGACTGTGTTTGTGTGACTTTCAATTAAGTGTTTTAGCTGTATATCGATTTTTAGTAGCTATTCAATAGCTGATTGTTGCAGATGAATTTTCTCACCAGGTAATAATCCGGGGGAGAAAGGGGATGGGCTAATTGTGGAGGAGTGTAGAGATAATCGTGCCATAGTTGATAATAACACAGCTCAGAATCTCACTAGTGAGGACATAGATGATATGCGGAGGTGAAGCTTTTCCCATAAACCCCGGGGTGTTTTTTCTGCATTTGTTTTAATTTCAAGTTCCATGCATAGATGGCCTTGGATGGATTACTTGATTACTGGAATCTCAAATAAATCTTTTTGGTTTGATGTTTTATATTCCTTTTACAGGAAGGGAGCAACTGGTGATGAAATAGTCGAGGCCCTTATTGCAAATAGTGCAACATTTGACAAGAAAACAGCATTCTCACAGGTGCATACTGTTTGGACATATGAATAATCTCTTCCGATTCAGATTGTAATAGCTCATTGTTTGCAGGAAAAATATCGAGTTAAAAAGCAAAAAAAATATGCACCCAGGTTACTTATGCGGCGCCCATATACCCGAAGGTTTCCTTCACAACCCTTGAACCTTTTTGGTTTTATAATTCATGTTTCCAAAATATGTTATTTGTTACATGTGTGACCGTGTCCATTGGTTTCATTAATAGGATTCTTTATGAAAATGGGAAATGAATTTTCAGTTATCCTCTTGGATACTTCCATTGATCAATTCAATGCCATCTTTATTGTTGTGATATGTAGTTCTGAAGATTTATAAACCATTTTTTTATTCTTTTCCAACTTCATCATGACTTAGCAGAAAAGAAAACATGCAAACTATTCTCGAGAGTATAAGTTGTTAGTCTTATGTTGTTGCATCTATGTGCGAAATTTGGAACCTAAACGGATTCTTCCAACTCATATGGAACTCACTGAAAATCCGATTGTCACAAAACTGTCCCCCCCCCCCCCCCCCCCCCATATACTGTTATTTTCAATCTCAAATTTAGTTATTTGTTGATTCCGTATAATATATTTCTTGTTTCTTTCAGCATTTGTGAAGCATATTTCAAAAAACATGCTGAGAAGATCGGGTAAATTTCTGAACTCTTTTTTTCTAAGAGTCATTGCAACAACTTTGCAGATATTCTCTTCTATATTCAACTTTATATATCTGCTCGTGTTCTCTTTTGCTGGGTAAATAGAATTGCTTAATGGTTAATCACACACAAAGTAATAAGTTCAATAATGACCAGAAATACTCTTAGACTTTTCATTCTCTCCTGTGAAATTAGCATTGCTTAATTTATCTTTTAGACAATAGATCTTAATAATACCGGATGGCGCTGTTAATTCCTGGGAAAAAAACCGAATTCTTTGTTTATGTTGCTTAAAAATTAATGATATCTGATATGTGCGTCCAACTACTTCATAAAAAGCGGAGATTGCTTAGAATTTTCTTTACCTCACCTGGTTCTAGACATCCTTGGAAATGTCGATATGATATCCTCTACAATTGGCAGGTTTTTACGTGTAGACACGCTGTCTCTTCTGCTTTCTTTGGCTAATGTGACAGCACACTCAGATGTATTAGTTGTGGATATGCTTGATGGTATTATTTCTGGTGCTGTGGCTGAGCGATTGGGAGGTATTGGATTTCTATCAATAATATAGTCTTGAATGTTGAAATTTTGGTCAGAGTGCTTTTATTTGTATAAACATACAATGATTGTTAAATCTCTACACCCAAGGAAAAGTTATAGATAAACTTAACGTGTTCTTTTTCCAGGAACTGGTTATGTATGTAATACTTACTGTGGGACAGCTCCGTACCCTATTAGTATTGTTCGAATGTACAATTTCAGCGATGAAACTTGCAAAAGGTGCATCTTGTTATTATTGGAGATATTTTTTTTAGTTCATAGCCTAACTATAAGTTCTTGTACAATTTTATCTTTTGGGCTTTGTCGGTCCAGGATTGTCTATGCTTCGCTCACTGAATTACAGCCTTCATGCTCCCAAACTTCAACAGCCACTGACGAGATCAAAGAACAAGAAAATGTGCTTCTGCTGATTTTTCAACAGCTTTTTTTCGTTTCTCTTTGCTATTTTAAGCTCTGAATAGCAAGTTTTATTTCTGCAGATCCTGCCCTCTTCTTCCGCTATGGACATGGAAACCATGGAAGAATGCTGCAATGAAAACACAGAACCTGTAAACAATGTATCTGCTTCTCCAAAATCTGGTAAAAGTATCAAGGCTGGTGACAAGGCACCGGCGGAAGCTATTAAATCCTGGAAGGAAAATGGCTTTTCAAGGTAACTTCTGTTTTTCGACTTTCAATATTTTCCTAAAAATTCTAAATAGTATGTTATAATGAATTAGTACTTTCACTTATGTGCTTCTGTGATTTATATATTTTTTAGCTTGATTGTTGCTGCGCCTGACGTTGATGTTTGGGGCATTGTGAAAGAACTCGTACCACTTTTGGCATACTCTGCCCCATTTGTCGTTTATCACCAGTATCTGCAGGTAATTACGTAATAGGCAAAGATATATATATATATATCTATATATGTCTATTGCTGTGATTACCCCTGAGCAAACGTTTTATTTATGATTATATTGCACGGTGCTGGATTAAAATACAGAAAATGGGGGAGAGAAAATCGAAAATAATTAATTTTTTTGAAGGTGCGCGGAATCTGTATGCATATCAATTGTAAAATGGTTTCCTTTTGTTCCTTTCAGCCTCTAGCTTCGTGTATGCACAATCTACAGATCGAGAAAATGGCCATTGGCTTGCAACTTTCGGAACCATGGCTACGAGAATATCAGGTCTGCCATGATCTTTCTTCTCTCGAACTAATTTCATAATGTCTCACTACAGTAATCTTATGTCAGGATCCGTAGATATCTTAGATATTTGGTCTATTGTTTAGATTATGTTTCCATTATCTTGTATTAGTTTGTTACGCATATTTATAGGCTTTTGATTTCACTATTGATAATAAGTAACTCTAAAATTCTATAAAACGTAATAGGATTGACATACAATGTATACAATATTATGCCCGGGTTATATATATATGCTCGCTCTAGTGTCGAGAAATGTAGAGTGTGTTTGTTTGTGGGTTTTAATGTTTGGGTTTGGAATTTTAAATAATAAAAAATTGAATTTGAATAGTTGTTTGATGTGATATAAATAGAGTTTGATGTGATGTTTTGAATGTAAAATAAATTTGTAGTATAATATAAAAAGAAAAAATAATTGTTTGATGTGATATTTTTGAAGAAAAAAAGAATCTAAGTAGTAAAAAAATCTATGGTAAAATTCACAAAAAAACACAACCGTAGATTTTCCTAATCCCATGACACCATTTCTGTAGGCTTTGTCCTCGCGAACATTTTACTATTTTCATCACGTGATTGCTTTTATTTTGACAATTTTGAAATTCACAAAATTCAACAGCTATATATTACATCACCAAGCTCAATATTTTTCGTCATTGTATTTAAAGCATTCACTATATGTTGCAGGTTCTTCCGTCAAGAACTCATCCGCATATGCAGATGAGCTCGTCCGGAGGTTATTTATTAAGCGGCATTAGGATAAGTGGCGAAAGTAGTGAATCTTAAACTTAAACCAATTGGATTTCCTGATAGTCTTTAACAAGGTATCGATTAGCTTGAGCTTAATCATTTATAGATCTTTATAACAGAGTATTGATGGAGGAGACCTATTTTAGCATTCATACTGTTTGATTGATTGTGTATTGTTTATACTTATAGATTTGGATCCAATTTCGAACGGTTTAATAATTACATTTTACAAGTACTTCACCATATTTTATGTTTAACACACTAACTGGTCGTGCGGATCAGCCCACAATCTACATTTTGATGGATTTTGGCGGGACGAGCCCGGCGGCGACATGTTAAATTTTACGCATTTTGGCTGTTCTATATATATATATTATTGAAATATGGTTAAATCTTAGGTTGTGTTTGGTACAATGGAATTGCAGAGAAATGAAAGCTTAGAATGCAATTGTAGAGAAATGAATTTGAGTAGAGAATGAAAATTAATTTTTTGGTAAAATAAAAAATTAAGTTGAGAAATATAAAAAAATTCCAACTATATGAATTAATCAAATAAGAATAAATAATTAACTGGATAACAAGAAAAATAGTAAGATTCTTAACCAATGAAAATTTATGAAAAATATTTTTGATGATTTTTTTTTTAAAAAAATTATAAATTATATACGATACTCCCTCCGTCCCAAACAAACACTTTGCAATAATTCATTTTTGGTATGTCTCAAACACCCTACAATATTTATAAAATAGAAAATAATTAATTATATTTAATCTCTCGACACTTTATCCTCTGTCATCCAAATAAAAAAATAAAATATATATTTCTCTCCATCATATCACCAAGCAAATGTTGCACCTTATTTGGAACGATGGAGTATTTTTTAAAATTATATTTTAGTACAATTTCTTAAAATATCGTAAAAATTAAATATTTTAACAATAAATTAAATTTGATTTGTAAAATTAAAATAATATAATTTTTTAAAAAGTATAAAAATCAAATAGTACAAAAATAATAAATTTTTTTTTTTTAAAAAATATATACTGCAACATCATTTTTCTTCATTTATCTACATACGAGAGAGAAATGAAAACAGATAAAATAAAAATATTTTTTTGTAAATGAGACCATTTTTATTTCTCTGACTTTATTTCTTTGTACCTAACACTCTTCTTTGATCCATTCATATAGCTATATATATATATATATTTTTTATATTTCTCAATTGAATTCTCTGTTTTACTAAACAAAAATTCTCTACTTAATTCCATTTATCTCATATAGTATAAATTTTATTATGTTTCATAGAGTTTAATCTTATTAAAAGATAAAACAAAATATTAATTTAAAATTAAATATTTAAAATATCTTAACAATTTGTATAAGCTATTATCCTATATCTGTTAATTTTAATCGATATTCTATCCATTGATGCTAAAAAATTTGGATCAAATTCCAAGCATTTTTAAAACGAAAAGAACATTTAAAACAATAAAAAAAAATACACTATTTTTTCTTTATTTTTATATATTTAGTGTTTCTGTATTATGATGTGTCAAAGTCAAATAAATAGGCCAAGAAATTGTGGTATTATTTATAGTTATATATTAAGGAAATTCAAAACAAACGGTTGGATGAAGTAAATGCATTATTATTAATAATAATAATCATAATATCCTATGCATGCAATTTATTTTTTCAAAATAAAAAATTTGACTTGTATGAAAGTGTATAATTATTCTAATTTATTGGTCTTCTTCAATGATTTTGACTAGTGCAACCTAAATTGTACTCCCTCCGTCCCAATATAATAGTCTTGTTTACCATTTTTGTCCGTCCCAAAATAATAGTCTCATTTTCATAAATAACCATATCACCGTAAAATTATTCATACTTATTTCATTATTATTACACTGCTTTTTATCCTTACTTTTTATCCACTATCAATGTAATATCAATATTTCTTAAATCTCGTGTGCAACACAATAAGACTATACTTTTGGAACGGAGGGAGTATAAAAAATCATATTCCACTTCAATTAAAGTTTAGAAAATATATTGAATAATATTTACAATATTAAATGTGTCTTAAATACTAACTTATATTTAAAAATGCTTCACAAGAAATTAATACATATTGAAAAATATGATTTATTTATTTTCGGCCAAGTTGCATGCATGTTAGGGTATTGACTACAATTCTTTTATTATACTAACATTTTTTATTCCTTATATTTATTTATATGAAATTGTCTTATATATATATATTAGGATAAATTATATTACACTCTCTTGTGTTTTTTTAGTAAAAAAATGCATAAATATCTTGTATTTTATTCATTACGCAACATTTTTTTACGTTGAATTAAAGTTTGCACAAAACACTTTCTTTCGTCCAAAACTGTTGTTGGGGTGTAAATACGAATATAATTATAAAAATTTTATACAAATAAAAGACATAAAATATCTTAAATAATCTTTTATTTGAAATAAATAAATAAAATACAAAATATTTTTATGCATTTTTACTGCAACACAAGGCCATGTCATTACAAAAATCCTTTGTCATTATCTTGATTTGGTATAAAAAGGTTTTTACTCAATTTTTTACTATTCATAAAAAATTTCTTCAAAAAAAATATTAATTCAAATACATATTTTTTATATTATTAATGTTATATTAAAAATATTATATCACATCAGATAATTATAAAAAAAAATGTATTAACAATAAATGTATTTTGTTAAAAGGAAGTTTAAAGGGGCTTTTTTTTTTTTTTTTTTTTTAAGATTTAATCTAAATTAACTTAAATTTTTTTAAGCGGCGAGAACAATATTGTCGAACATTATTAACATTTTGTTGAATCATATATATATATATATATAAACCAATTGAAGAATATATAAAATATGTTGAATCATATAAAATATGATGACAATATATTGGACTTTTGGACCATGTTATAAATACCTTAAACGTTGATGTAGTAAAGAACAAAAAATTATTGCATAAATATGTTGAACTACTTAAGAAAAATTGAATATATTGAATGAAAAAAAAATATGTTCGAACCACATATAAAACATATACTTTAGCATAGGATAATTAGAATCATTTAGTCGCAACCAACATTATTTTTGAATTGCAATTTTTCTAATATAATAATAAAGAACACAAAAGACTTTTTTAAAAAATAAAAAAGTAAAAATAAACTTCAAATACTTATTATATATATATATATATATAAAGTCAAACATTCAACTTACACTACAAAAAAAATAGTATATTTGTAACGGAATTCCGTCACTAAAGATCACGTAGCTAACGTAATTCCATCATTAATTCCGTCTCTAATATCATTAGTAATGGAAAAAGTGAATTTAATGACGAAAAAATCTCGTTACAAAAATGATATTTTCTTGTAGTGTTAAAATAATACTCCCTCCGTTCCATAACAAAATATCAATTTTTCTATTTTAGTCCGTCCCATAATAAAGTATCAATTTCATTTTTTTAGTAATTGTACTATATACCTAACATTACAAATACCCTTACAACTTACAATATATTACACAATGCTATTACATTTATATCACACATACTAGTAAGGTTATTTTAGTCATTTCTACTTAATCCTACTATATCATAATATAATATTAATATTTCTAAAATTACGTGCAAAAAACAAATGAATATTTACTATGGGACGGAGGGAATATGATTTATATTGTTTATATAATTTCTCGTATCATACACAGAAAATCAATCTATCTAAACAAAACTGTGTGAACGGAGCCTTGTTTGTTCACAAATTTCTTTTCAAAATGATTCCCAACATATATATTTTATCCTATTATAAAAGTCAAAATTCAAATAAAATATTACTTTTTATATTATTTGACATAATTCTCGGTACTTCACGGTAAAAAAATCGTCAAATCAAAACACTAAAGGTTTGTTTTTTAGTATTTTTTTTTCATTTTTTTTATGTGAGGTATAAAAAATTATATCGGTAACATAAAAAATAATATTTTGTGACGTTGTTATGAGAAGATAAAATATATATATTAAAAATTGTGTGGGCAAACAATCTCTAATAAAAATACTCCAAAATAATACAAATTAATAAACACACCTAATATGTATTATACTCCATTCGTCCCATATAATATGAATGTATTACTGTAGATACAAGAATCTAGGTAAAGTATAATTAGTAAGTAATTAAGAAATATATTAGTAAATAATTATTATTTAGTAAAAATAATTATAGATTAAGATTAAAATAACTAAATAGTTTAATTAATATTAAAAAAATTTAAAATTTAAATTTTAAAATTTAAAATATAATTAAAGTGTATAATTAATTTTCCAAAAAAGGAAATGACAAATTATGTGGGACGGACGAAAATAGAAAATAGGGACAAATTATGTGGGACGGACGGGGAGTATTAATTTGTGATGTCGTTGTGGAGTCAAATTAAAGAGAATTAATTTATAAAAGTAAAAAAAAAAAAGTTGATGGAGACGAATCGACAGCCAAATTAATCACTAATCACTTTTGCATGTGAAGTTTATTTAATAATTAGGGCTTTTTGGAAAATTGATAATTAAAATTGGAGACTTTTAATTAGGAAAAAAAATAAAAGGAAAATGTAAATTAGCAGCTGGTCCATATTATTACAACCACAATAATAACAACAACAACAACAATAATAATACTAATAATAATAATAATAATATGTTTTCTACGCCAGCAAAATTTAGCTCATTTGGATTCGGCATGAAAATTAAGAAAAATGAAGATTTTATTGAAAACGTAAAAAAAAATAAAATGTAGTTAGAGTATTTTTGAAAATTTAGTTGGTAATTAAATAGAATAAAGTGACAACGTAATAAAATTAGTGATATTTGTGGTAAATAAGTGTTGAATGAAGATGTATTAATTAAACACTCCCTTCGTCCCATATATAGAGAAACGTTTGCTTTTTGCACATAGATTTTTTAATATTAGTATTATATTGGGTTGTAGTGAAAAAGACGAAAATACCCTTATTAGTATTGTGTAATATAAAAGTGGTTGCATTTGTGTAATATACTGTAAGTTGGAAGAATATTTATTATAATAGGTAGATAGTACAATTACTAAATTAAGAAATAGTACTCTTGTTTTCGGACGGATGCAAATGAAAAATAGAACCCCAACTACATATAATAATAATAATAATAAATATGACAACATGCCAGTGCGCACTTTCGAGTAGCGGCTGTGGATTCCCACTTTATCCAAAAAATATGAACTTTCGGACAGCGGCTGCGAATTTCCACGTCATTCAAAAAATATGACAACATATAGTAATACTTTATACAACATGTGTTATTTATTATATATTCATATGCTATCTATAATATTTTATATAATATTTTTTTATGTAGTAACCGGGATAATTAAGCTATTAGATTTTCTTCTAATATTCTAATATTGGATACAAAAATTTAGCTATTAATAAATTAACATTATAAATAATGATTAGATCTAATCAACACTTAACTATTTTTCTCCAAAAAAAAAAAAATTATAATTTTTCTATTTTACATAATTTGTCATTTTTCTTTAAAATTATGATTATACATTTTAATCATATTTTAAAATTTATAATCTGTAATTTTTTTTTTAAATTTTAATTAAACTATCTACTAATTTTAATTTATAATTATTTTTATTAAATTATAATTATATTTATTAATACAAGTTATAATTACTTATTAATTATTTAATACAAAAAACTCTATGTCCCAGTTAAAATAGACAAATTAACTGAGATTGATATAGCATTATTACTACTTTGTCGTCTAGTATATTTAGATATTTAAATATTCAGTTTTAAATTGAGTAGATCTATGTTTAGATTTGAGCTTATCTATAAATTAGATTACTTAGATTTGATTCTATAGAATTTATTTTGTATTGTCTACATATAGATCCTTTATTTTGAAGATCAATTTTATTATTTTTCCCCAAATTTTGTAAGAAGTATTATTACTACTTTGTCGTCTAGTATATGTATACACAAATTCAAAAATACCATTCACACGCGCGCATAGATTGATAGATAGAGAGATGGTTGTATGTAATAACTCATTAAATTAAATGAATTATAGTCTTGGAAGGTTGTAGTAAGTCATTCAATATGTGGGACTTTTGAAGAAATTAAATGATATTTATGAATATAATATATATATATATATAAATATTACATCATGTCGATATAATAATATGAAATTTAGTTGGTGTGGTGGAACCCCAACACTTTGCTTCTTACACAAATAAAAAAAAGAAAAAATAAAAATGGAGGGGATAATAATATTTTATTGTAAAGAGCGCAAACAATACACAGGTTGGTTTGTTTGATTCTTTCCCTTTTTTTTTTTTTTTTTTTAAATTCAAATCAAATTATTATTCATTCCATAAATTTTTCAGTGTAAATATACTTTTCATAAAATATTATATCAAAATATTATTTAAACAAAAAAGAAATTAAAATTAAAATTTTATTTCAGATCAATTTTCAACCACAGCCCAAACAAAGTTTTGTATGCATGTGTTTCTTCTCAAAATGTTTTTACTATTAATTCAATTAATTTTTCGTTCAAAAACATCAAAATTAAACTTTTAATTTTTTATATTATACTTCCTCCGTCTCAAACACCGTGCAACATTTGTGTTTGACACAGAAATTTTGGTAGGGAGTATTAAGTATGACAATTTGAGATAATTTGGATATTAAGTGATGTGATTGGAGAGAAAAATAATTATTTATTTTTTTTATTTGAGTGATGTGACGAGATAAAGTGAAGTGTATATTAATATATGTATAAAAATATTATTAATTATTTCTAAATTTAAAAATATTGCAGTGAATTTGAGATAAACAAAAAAGAAATATTGCAAGACGAAAGGAGTACTTAATATTAATTTTATATTTAAAAAATCACTTTCAATCATAAAAACTTTCTTATAATATATATATATATAAAAGAATCATTCAAATTTAAAATTTTATTATTAAAAAATTCAAATCCTGAAACATACACACTTTTAAGGAAAGAACTAGGGCACCCCACATCCACCACCCCCTATATATATATATATATATATATCTTTTTTATATCTATATAACTCCCAATCTCAATCATAATTGTAATCTACACTAATATTTTATTTTCTAACCTTTCTTCCACAACATAGGATTTCTTTCTTTCAAGAATTAGATCTTACACACACAAACATAATGTCTTGTATGGTTAATCCTCAAAATCATCAAGAAAGTTGTGTCCAAGAGATCAAACCAATACTCACAACTCATTTGCAAAACCCTAATGAAACTTTAGGGTTTTCTTCTCCAAACCATGATCCTACATCCTCCAATTTTTTCGACATCTCCGATCCATCTTATTACACCGTTTTCCCTCAACGGCTAACTCAAAGCCGCCACCTGTCACTCTCTCTCCACTCTTCTTGTCGTTTGGACAATGCTGCGCTAATGATCGGATCAGACAATCGAAATGATCAAGCAATGCAATTATTTGGACAGTTTCATGAGGTAAGATATTCGAGGTTTTTAGGCCCTGCAAAGGAGCTCCTGCTAGAGTTTTGCAACCTTGGAATCGATCAAATTTTTGGTAAGATAATCGAACCGAAGAAGATTTCCGGGGTTTTCGATGATTCGATACAAAGACAGTCTCTTTGTGGCCTTAGCCTTCTTGAATTGCATCAAAGAAAAGCTAAGTTGGTCTTAATGTTAGAAGAGGTATTTACAATCTCTAATTTGTTATTTTTTTTAAATATTGTATATAATATTTATTTTACATACATACAAAATATTTTATCAATAACTATTTTACTTCAACAACACATATAAGAAACGTAAACACAAATACACACACAAAAAAATTAAATAGCAAATTAATTAGTTTCATATGCTTTTTTTTTTTTTTTTTAATCCGAAGTAAATTCCCTAATTTACATATTTATGATAATCCTTACTTGAGTTATGTGATCGAAATTATAGGATGTGTTTATTTGTGTTTTTGAGTTAAAATTTTGAAGTAATTAAATAGTTGTAACTGTATTTGTTTGTCGGATTTGAATTGGATTTTTATTATTCATACAAATATTATATCAAGAATGATCAAATTGAATATTTAATTTAAAATTAATTTTACATTCAAAACATCACACAAATACATATTTATATTATATCAAATATTTATTTTAACTTTTTACTATAATAACCCAAATAATAATAATAATAATAATAATAATAATAATAATAAAAACATAGTCTAAGTGTTTGAAATACAATGCTATAATTTGAATAAATATTGTGTGTGATATATATTTTGAAAACAAGGCCAATCAAAATTAGAACTCCAATTATGTGTATTTTTACCATATTATTTTTTTACTCGACACAATCCTAATTTATATAATATATATATATATATTTATTCTATATTGAAACGATCCCATATATCTCACGCAAAATAATACATTAAATTTTTAGTGTATATAATTATAACTTCAAAGTTATTAAGAATTAGTATATAATAAATTTAATTTTTTCTGCTTGAATTCTTATATAAAAAGGTAAATATATATGTATATTAGTATATTTATATTAATTAATGTATACTACTCTAACTCTTTTAATAACCACAATTATGTGTATCAATTTTGAAACTTTTTATTACACTTCCAAGAAGAATTTTTTAATAAACTTATTATTATTATTATTATTATTTTTTATTTATATTTTATAATTTCTTCTTCTTATTATTTTTTTTTTTGTAATTGTGGGACAGAGCAAATTAATGTAATACCTTTCGGGTATTCAATAAATTAAAAGTTGTCGAAAATAGACACATGGATTAATTCTGAACTAATTCAGTAGCCACGGGGTTTCTTCAATTTAATGCCCACATGGTGACAATTTTTAGACATCACAATTTTTTATTTTTATTTTTTAAAATTTTTAATTTAGTCATATATTATAATTTTCCCCCATATATTTTCTTAACTATATTTTGACCTTATGTATATATATATATATATATATATAATCATTGAGTGACCAAAAAAAAAGTTATCATTAATCAATAAGATACATGATTCAAAATAATAATAATAATAATATTAATAAATAAAACAAAATAGTAGAAAAAAAATATTTATTTATCGTCAAGTAATTTTCTTTCCGTAACACTGAAACTATTGCAAAATAGTTTCCAGGGCCGAAATTATGCCTTATCAGTATATTACAAAACGATTTTAAATTTTATAATTCAACACCATAACGATCACCTCAATAATAATACATAACTATAAGATTGATAATTGACAGGTTAACACAAGGTACAACCGCTATTGCAACGAAACGAATGCCATGGTACAATCATTCGAAGCGGTCGCCGGGAGCGGCGCGGCGGCGCCGTATTGCTCGATGGCTTCGAGGGCAATGTCGAGACACTTAAGGTGTGTTAAAGATGCAATCTTGGCTCAAATTAAGGCAACAAATAAGACAATTAAGGATCATAAGGACAATAATAATATTCATGTCCAAGGGACAACCAAAGGAGAGACACCAAGATTAAGGATTTTGGATCAAACAATGAGACAAAAAAGGGCTAATTTCCACCACGTGAACCTCATGGAAAGCGACACATGGCGGCGGCCGCAGCGGCGCGGCCTGCCGGAGACGGCCGTCTCCGTTCTTAGGGCGTGGCTTTTCGAACATTTCCTCAACCCGTAATGTTATTCTATCTATCTCTTCATTTTTATTTTTTTGGATATATAATTATATATCGCCGTGCATTTCATTTGCATGTTTGCTGGGTGGACATAACACTAAAAAAAATAGTATATTTGTAACGAAATTCTGTCCCTAAAGTTCACGTAATTCAGTCTCTAATAACGTTAGTAACGAAAAAAGTGAATTTAGGGACGAAAAAATCTGGTAACAAAAATGATATTTTCTTGTAGTGTCAGGTCGAATAATTTATGTTACACTATAGAAAAAATACTACTTCCGTCCCATAAAAAGAGTAACACTTACTTTTTGCACGTAGATTTTTTAATATTAGTATTATTATAGCGAAAAAGACAAAAATGCCTGTATTAGATTGTGTGATATAAAAGTAATGACACTTCTGTAATATATATAAGAAGTTGTAAGAGTTATGTTATGCATGTAGTACAATTACTAAATTAGAAAATTGTATCTGTTTTTTTGAAAAGGACAAAAATAGAAAATGATATCCTTGTTATAGGACGGAGGGAATAATATATTTATAACATAAATTAGGGACAAGTGACGTTAGCTATGCGAATTTCATGGATAGAATTTAATAAATTTTATCTCTAATTATATCCTTAATATCATTAATAACGAAAAAAATTAATTCAAAGATAAAAAATTTTATTACAAAATTGCTATTTTCTTATAATTTTAGATAATCTGAGTCGAGTATCTGAAATTTTAGGATATATAACACTTTTTGGATACCCGAAGTTGTTTACTTTTTGTTTATTTATTTATTTTAAAAAAATATATGCAATTACTATACTTTATACTCCCTCCGTCCCAAATACAGTGTCTGCTACACTGTAGACAGAGTATTTTAGGAATGGTGTAATTAGTAGATAATTAAGAATGTATTAGTGAAAATAATTATCCTATAATATAAATAATTATAAATTAAGATTGAGATAACTAATTAGTTTAATTAAAATTAAAAAAATAAAATTAAAAAATTTAAAATGAGATTAAAGTGTGTAATCATTTTCCAAAAAAGAAAAGTGACATGGTATGTGGGACGGACAGAAACGGCAACGTGGACATGGTATCTGGAATGGAGGAGTACTATATTAATACATTTTTTGTATACTATAATCATCTTATTTATTTATTTTAATGTTATAATATATATATTAAGAATATAATACTATTAAATAGTAAATAATATATTAAAAATTAAAGTATAAATACCCAGTTCCCGATTTGGTATAAAACTTATATCCTATAGCCATGGCAATTTTTAATCGAGTATTCAACTTTTGAAAATTTAGGGTTTGTTTCGTTGTTAAAAACATCAGCTTTTTACTATTTGTATTTTGTATTTTTTTTAAAAAAAATATATTTGTTCTCTCACAAAATATTCAATCATAATCGAATTTTTTTACACTCTCTTAAAAAGAAACATAAATACCTTTCTTAAAAACCACAAATCCGATTAATGAATCCAATTGGTGAGGTCGATTGTATTATGATTTTATACATTGCAATTTTTTATTTTATTTTATTTTATTTATATATATATATATAGATATTCAAATGGTTGACCATAGCTAGAAAATTGGATATTTTGGATTTGTTTGTTTAGTACAGTATTTTAGTTCGATATATATATATATATAATATGAAAATGATATTGAATAAAAAAGAAAATATATAATAATAATTCGACCTTTGAATTTTTATTTTTATTCTGTCTTTTGAAATTAAGACAAAAAAAAGTGATTGTTTGCTAGGTTAAAATAAAAACACAACCAAGAAAATATATAAAACAAATAGTTATAACCGATTATAGATACATAATTAAAATTTCAATGTTTATCGATTATCACTCACACACATATATATATTAATACTTTATACGATATGTGTTGTCAGTTATATTTTTATATCATGTCGAAGCCCTTATGTCACTATACATCTTATTTTATACTTCATCTGTCCATTTTCTAATATCCAATTTGATATTTACACGCATTTTTAGGCGATTAGGATTATTGTTATAAAATGACAAATTTGCCCTTAATCTTGTGTATATAAAATGAAAGAGTAAATAAAATAAGGGTAAAAAAGTAAATTTTGTGTATAAAAATAGAAAGAGATTGAACATTCCAAATAAGAAAGTAGGAGTTAGTTTGTGGACGGAGGGAGTACTTTTTATATATATATATATCCTCAATTTTATGATTTATAAATTAATTAGGGCTAATCAATATATTACATTATTACTTATTAATTAATTGCATGTAGGTATCCAAGTGATGTGGATAAGACCATTTTAGCCCGCCAAACTGGCCTCTCCAGAAGCCAGGCAAGCCAACTATCAATCTTTATTTACCAAATTATTAATTAATTACTTAATTAAACATTTAAACTTTTTTTTTTTTAAAAAAAATTAATATATTTATTTATTTATTTTTTATTGATAAATGGTTTTTCTTATTGTGGTGAAGGTCTCCAACTGGTTCATCAATGCCAGAGTGAGGCTATGGAAGCCTATGGTCGAACAAATGTACTTAGAGGATCTCAAAGAAAATAATAATAATAATAATAATAAAGCATTTACAGACGATGACGATCACAAGCCGTCGATTGAAGATCCGACGGCCAGGATCGAATCAAACCATATATTCAACAATGAAGGGAAGAAAGTAGGGAACAAAATTTACGACGGTTTCGGTGCGGTTCTTGATCCGTACGGTTCCGTGCAGTTCGACTTTTACCCCTACAGTAAGGCCCATCGTCCCGCCCCCGCCGCCGCCGCCGCCGCGGCGGGTCGCCAGAATGTGTCTCTGACTTTAGGGTTGCGCGGCGGCGGAGGATTTGCTCCGGGGGCGGAGGGCAGTCTGTTCTCCGGCGGAGATCGCATGGAGGATTGCGAAACGACGCCGTATTCGTTGTTGGATGGTGAAAGCCAGAATTTGGTGCAGTATAGGGGTTTCATGGGGGCAAATTTCCTTAATGATTTTGTTGGATATAAATAAATAATTATATTTATATGTGTGTGGGATCCAAATATAATTTTTTAAGTTATGAAAATTTTTATTACTTTTTGTAATTTATTTGAGGTGAATTGCAAATTAGTCTTGTAATTAATTTTAAATTTAGTGATGATTAGGGTACTGATTAACCATAATTAATAATAATAATAATAATAGTCTAGGATGGCCTGTGATGTAAGAATTGGACTTGTGGTGCATCCCTTTGATATTTTTTAAAAATCATATGAGATGTGACAAAAGGCTGGTGTATTCTTTAAAGTTTGAATTTTTAATTATTTGAATTTAATTTTAAATAATAATGTAATATATTTGTTTGTTAAAAAAATATTGAATTTGTTTGGTTGTAGTTTGAAATTAATTTGAAATATAGTGTTCATTTGAAATTTTTGTTTAAACAGTATTTTGATATGATATTTTATTAAAAAAATAATAATATATCTTTACTAAAAAATTATACAAAATAAATAATATTAAAATTCTATAGAGGAATATTTCTTTAGCCACAACGCTAAGGTAAGACAACTATGGCATAAAAAGAATACCTAATCCATATCCCAAGCAAACTAAATCACCCTTTTACCTTTCTTACATTGCCAAACTTCTTTTACATGTTTCTTTAATGTTTAGATTTGGATTTTTAAATTGAAATACCAAATAAATAAGTACTGATATAATATTTTAAATGAATTCTTTCGTGATAATATATTAAAGGACAAATAAGTGATTAATTTAATAAATTCGAGTGAAAAAAATTGATTAATAGTGTGAGATCATATTCAAACCTTAACTAAACAAACTCCTTTCATATATATATATATATGTATATACATCTGCAAATTAATTTAAATTCTTGCTTCACGTCGTCCTCCGTCAATGGCTGCTGCAATGGGGTTTGCAAGTTCCATATTCCGGCCGAGTTCGTTTTCCGGCAGGCCGATAAAGCACTCTACTCACCGTTTTCCGGCGACCCGGTCGCCCCAACTTCAACCGGCACGAATCAAGAACAAAGTTTGTGCAATGTGGATGAAAAAATCCATCGAAAGAAATGTTCATCGCGCGTGTATTTTTTTTTCGAAGAACTTGATCTCGGATACGGGTTCATTCTCGCCGGGCCAAAAAATTATTTTGCTCTACTCGGCTATAAATGATAGGGACTTGAAAAATCTCGATGGATTGATCGCGGAAGATTGCTCGTTCGAGGACTACACTTTTATGACGCCATTCCAAGGGCGAAAGGTATTGATAATCATAATTTCTTGAATTACTAGGTTGTGATGAAGTTGAATTTATGAGACTAGTCGATTTTTTGTTTTGTGCGTGTATTGTGTAGGAGGTGTTGCGCTTCTTACGACAACTTGTTTCGTGTATGGGGCAAAATATGAGGTTTAATATCGAGCATATATGTGAAGGGAATGACTACACGGCTACGGTCGATTGGCATATAGGTATCGTTGTTATGAATTTGTATATTCGTAAAGTTGAAATTTAATTGCGATTTTGAATTGAAATTGCAAAAATTTTGACTTGGAATATTTGATTTCAAATACTTTAGATAGGGTGAATCGACACGTAATTACTAATTTATGTGCAATGTTCAAATTTAATTGACGATTTTGAAATGAAATGAACTTTTTACTTGAAATATTCGATTTCAAATACTTTAGACAAGGTCAATTGTCACGAAAGTATAGTTAAGAATTAATATGTGTAGACTTGTCAATTGGATCCGTCTGGACCAGAGACCGATCCGATACATCTTTCTCGGATCCGGAACCTTCTATGGATACCGGATCTATATCCGAACCCAAATCCGTTTTATATGATTCCGGATTTGATATTTCTAGTTCCAATATGAAATCGGTCTAGATCCGAACGTTTATATATAATATATTTATATATTTGTATATAGGGGTAAACTATTTTTTTAGTCCTGTAACTGGATCCCTTATCATTTTAGTCCCGTAAGTGGAGCTTATCGCAAACTAGTCTCATAAGTGAAAAATTTTCGTTGTTTTAGTCCTCCGGCGCCGGAGATGCCCGCGTGGCTCGCCGGAGGTGACGTTCCGCCAGGTGTCGCTGACCTGGCGGACACGTGGATTTTTTTTAATTTTTTTTAATTTTTTTAAAACTTATTCTTAATTTATTTTTAATTTTATTTGTATTTTTTTAATTTTTTTATTTGGCCCAATTAAAAAAATTAAAAAAATTAAAAAAATGAAAAAAAAAATAAATCCACGTGTCCGCCAGGTGTCGCTGACCTGGCGGGACACCTGGCGGACACGTCACCTCCGGCGAGCCACGCGGGCGTCTCCGGCGCTGGAGGACTAAAACAACGAAAATTCTTCACTTATGGGACTAGTTTGCGACAGACTCCACTTACATGACTAAAATAATAAAGGAGTCAAATTACATACTAAAATAGTTTACTCTTGAATATAGTATTAGATAGCTTAAATTCTTTTTGAAATTATGACATTATTATTAATTACATAATTTTTATATTTAAATTGAAAAAAAAATATGTTGCTTAAATTTAATTGTTGATTTTTAGTTCCGATAGATCCGATTCCAGATTTGAAAACCAAAATGAGAGATCGGATAGGGGTTTGGAACATCAGGATCCGAGCTAGATCTGACATGTTGACAGAGCTATAAATGCGCAAAGTTGAATTTTAACCGACGATTTTGAATTGAAATTGATATTTCGACTTGAAATATTTGAATTCAAATACTCTAGACGAGTTTTGAGATCGGCAATCTATGTAATGAAGATTGCAAAATAACAATATCTTAGTTATAATTCTCGAGAGCGCACGACTACAATGCTCGTTGTTTTCCTTGTACGATGTTGCAGATTGGAATGAAATGCAAGTTCCTTTCACCCGAGGATGCACTTGCTACTCATTCTCGATCTATGGCGATGAACTACTAATCAAGTAAGCGAAAACTAAGGGTGTGTTTGATTTGTATTCAATCAGTAGGAAATCATAAAAATGGTATAGTAAAACAATTAAAAAAAATTAAAATAGAACAGAGTTCAGAAAAATTTTCGAAAAGCATTCATCTTCTATTACACCCCGTGAAAAATAACATGCTCGATCAATCGATACACTTGCAGAAAAGCTCGAGTCCTCGTTGAGTCACCTATCAAACTTGGAGCGGTAGCGCTAGTACGACTCTCCTCTTATCCATATTTTAAGTTTTTTTTTTTTTTTTCATCGAAAATTTTATCGACTGATATTACAATTATAACAAAAAACCTCTAAAAGTACCTCATTTTTTTTTTTTCCGTGATATTTAGACTTCATTCAAGATCGTAAGTTCGTTGTTCGATGCATTTCCCGCAGCTACGGAGTGTACGTCGATCACTCACCGTACTCTTTATTTTTGCGTAGATTATTCTTCTTCGAAATGTTATTTGACATAATATCGTTGTTGGCTTACGCCGTTTTAGGGTTCTTGAAGAGTCCACACATCGTGTTCCATGTCGCGGCGAAGGTGTACGGCGTCGTCGTAAAGCCGATTATATGCCCATTTTTAGAATGGTATGTTAAGGTATTGAATGTTGCAGCTTCCCTCCTCGCCTTCACTCTCAAATTGCTACTCTACCTAGCAAAGATTTTTCACATGTTGTGAATATAAAAAATAAAGAGGACTGTTCTTGACTTTTGATAGATCTCAGGAGAAACAATGAACGAAGTTTCTATTCCTTGAATATTATTTTACCTTATGTATAAAATAGATACAAATAATAAAATAATGATTTATTATTATTTTTTTGTTGCTTCTTGGGTAATATAAGTACATATTTTTTTGGAATTTGATTTTATTTATTTGTTTTAATTTTTTATTTGAATAATTATTTGAATATAATTATTAATGAGATAAAATAAATAGTATTTTACAGGGAATAGTTGCATAATAAAAAAAATCGTATGTATATTCCTCTATTCTTCTAATGCTAATTTTCAATTGTGATTCTTAAAAAAATAATATTTTCTCTGTTTCAAACATCATGAAATATTTGAGTTCGGTATAAGAATTTAAGTGGATGGTATTAAGTAAGGTAATTTGAAATAATTTAAAAATTAGGTGATATGATTGAAGAGAGAATTACATATTTATTATTATTATTTTTATTTTGAGTGATGTGGTGAGATAAAAATAAAGTGTATATTTATATATAAATATAATTAATTATTTTTAAATTCGAAAATATTGCACTGAGTTTGAGACAAATAAAAAAATGAAATGTTATAAGGTATTTAAGACGGAGGGAGTAATAAACAATACAAAATATTTTTTTTATAAAAGTCAAAAAATAAATAAATTTAAATACTCATTAATAAAAGTTAAAAAAAAAATCATATATTCAACTTAAAATAATATATTATATATTTTTGATATAATTTTTCATACCACACATAAAAAATTAATCCATCTAAAAGCGTTAGGTGAATGAGCGGATATGTAGACATATTCTACGTGTTTGTATATATTCCCTCCATCTCATTCCAAAAGGGACTTGAGGATATAAGAGATTATGACATTTTTCCCGTTGACCTTATGTATAAATTGTATGTATAATGATATATTTGTAATATAGATTAAAATTAAAAAGTATTATAATATTAATGTATGATTATTTTTACTAAAATAGAAAAAAATAATTTTAAGTGTGACAGACCGAAAAAAAAAAAAAAGAAAAAGAAATACTTTGAACTAGGACGGATATAATTATCTCTATTTAAAACAAACCCACAATTTATATTTAAAGTTCCATAAAATTATTTTAGTCAACTTCCTAAGATTAAGACTGTCCATTTAATATTGCCTTAAGATAAGTTTGTTAATAAATTAGCCTTAAGATAAGTTTGTTAATAAATTAGTCAAACAATAAAATATACTATCACATTCTCTTACTTCCTACATTAAGATATATTTGTTACATGATAAAAAGATAAAAATATATATTTTTTTAATATTTTATAATATAAATATAATTAAATTTACGTAATATTTTATAAATGGTAAAAGTATTTATTATATTAAAAATATAGTATAATTACTAAATTAAAAATACATTTTAAATTTTAAAACAGATAAAAATAAAAAATTATTATACTTTCTAAATGAAAATATTATTTTTTAAAAGGTAAATTATATAAAACTCCCCTTGTATTTTATTAAAAATGAACAAAAACACCGTATCTTTTATTTATTTCGTGAAACCTTCTTGTGTTGATGGAAAGTTTGCATAAAATACCGTTCATATCCAAAATTGACATTTGGTTCAAAATATAGACCTAAATTACGTAAGTTTTATACAAATAAACAACGTAAAATATCTTAAATAATTTTTTTAAAAATAAAATTAATAAATAAATAATTTATTAATTCTTCATTTTATAGTTTGTAGAGACAAATTGTTGTTTGATTTTTATAAAAATTATAAAAATAAATGATTGATCAATTATTTAGTTATTAATTTTATTAAAAAAATTATTTAAGATATTTTACATTTTTTATTTGAATAAAACATACGTAATTTAGGTCTTTATTTTGAACCAAACATCAGTTTTGGATAAAAAAACATACGTAATTTAGGTCTTTATTTTGAACCAAACATCAATTTTGGATAAGAAGAGTGTTTCATGCACACTTTCCATTAACACAAAAAAATTTTACGCAATAAATAAAACATATAATATTTTATGCATTTTTAATAAAACACAAAGATTGTGTTATATAATTTACACTTTTTTTTTTTAAATAACAACACATAACACAATCCTAAATTTTCATAAACCGGACTCGGTAGTCAAGACGGTGACTTAATAACAATTTTGATATACAGCTGTTATCTACTTATATTTGACCAATTTACATGAATTACTTGGGATATACTAATTTATTTGTTCCGTTAAAATAAATAATTAAAAAAAAAATTAAATTAATAAAAATAAATATTTAATTTAATATTCTATTGAATTAGTAAAAATTTAATATATATACACATAAATAAATATATGTGATATACTAATTTATTTGTTCCGTTTAAATAAATAATTAAAAAAATTAAATTAATAAAAATAAATATTTAATTTAATATTCTATTGAATTAGTAAAAATTTTAATATATATACACGTAAATAAATATAAAATTTCTTCCAACCAAAAACACTAAGCAAAAATAATAAAATATTTCATCCCTTCACTTACAATGTATCCATTTACTTTTGGCACAGTGTTTAAGAAATAATAGTATTTTAATTACAGTGGTAGTTAAAAGTAGTGTAATAACATTTTTGCCCTTATTTTTTGGTGTAAAAGTAATGATGTGACGTAAAGTAAAAATATTTGTGAAAAACAATAGAGTATTTAATGAAATATTTACTTTGTAATTGGACGTCCCAAAATAATTCTATATATATACTTTCCAACTGAACCGATGAAATATTATTTTTATTTTTTATTTCAAATAAAATATATTACTATTAAAATAGTAAGATTTAATAAAAATATATTATTTTTGTCCGTTATTATAAATTATATTTATCTTTTTACATACTTAACATTAAAAATATCTTCATATTTATATATAATTTTATACAAACATTTTTCTCTTAGTATTATAAAATACTAATAGAAATACAAACATTTACTTTTGGCAATTTTGGTATGATGATCTTTAAATATTAATTTTGATATCAAAACGTTTGCAAAAATATTATCTAATAATATTAATAAAAAGATATTTGTACAAAAAATTATATAAATATAAAGATATTTTTAATGTTAAGTACAGTGACTACGTAAATAAAAAAAGAGTATTTTTTTAATTTATTTTATATTGTAATATTAAACGAAAAAAAAGTAAATGACTATTTTTTATTAAATATTACTGAAAATAATTTTAAAAAAAAATTAAAATCAATATAGTACGAAACAACCAAACAAAATTTTAGATTAAACTACTCTTCAAGTCAAAATAAAATAAAAAAACTCATACTTAAATCAAAATCAAACAAGTGTTATGAATTCGATAAATTACAACAATAAATATTTGGTGATCAGATATTTACACACACAAAAAAAAAGAAAAAAGAACAGAGATCAGCAGAGCAGCTGTTCAAAAATGGAGGAACTAATAAACTACAGTCTTCCTGTAGAAGAAGAGGAAGCAGAAATTACCGACCTGTATTCCACAATACGCCACAATCCGAATCTCCTTCACGCCATTGACAACCACCACTTCGCCGACACGCCGCTGCACACGGCGGCCGGCGGAGGGCGGACGCTGCTGGCGCTGGAAATCCAGCGCCTGATGCCTTCGTTCGCGAGGAAGCTGAACCCCGACGGCTTCGCTCCGCTGCACCTCGCACTCCTCGGCGGCCACTCCGACACCGTCGCCGCCATGGCGAAGGTCGATCCGCCGCTCGTCGGCGTTCGGGGGAGGGGAGGAGTTACGGCTCTGCACATGGCGGCGGAGAGAGGCGAGGTTGATTTACTGGCGGAATTGCTGATGATTTGGCCTAATTCGGTGGAGGAATTGACGATTCGCGGGGAGAGCGCGGTCCATGCGGCGGTGAGGCGGCGGCGGACGGCGGCGGTTAGGGTTTTGGTAGGGTGGTTGGAGAGAATGGGGAAAATGAACGAAGTATTGGGATGGAGGGATTGGGAGGGGAATACCGTACTGCACCTCGCTGTGTTAGCTAACGAACCGCAGGTATATTATTTTATTGAAAAAATTGCAAAAAATATTTCGCTTTTATATCTCATTATTTTTGTCCTATATTTATGTTACTGGTAAAATATATCTCTTTACAGAAGTGGTTATTTCTACCATTTGGCCGTGCCTGACCGATTGCGCGAAGAACGATATCATTTTTATTTATTGCAATTTTCTCTATTTTATTTTTGCTCAGTCTTAATTCAAAATACTACTCCGTCTCATAAGAATGATATCATTTTTAATTTTGTCCATCCCAAAAAACGATATTATTTTCTAATTTATTAATTGTACTACATACCTAACATAATTAATACAGTTACAATTTCCAATATATTATACAAATGTCATTACTTTTTATCGCACAATCTAATAAGGACATTTTTGTCTTTTCCACTATAAACCAATATAATACTCATATTCAAAATTCTACGTGCAAAAAACAAATCTTACTCTTTTGCGGGACGGAAGTAGTATTTTTTTTTATTATTTTTGTTTATTTTAATTGAAAGTATCTTTTTTAAAATAATCATACACTAATATAAAAATATCTTTAATTTTATTTAAATTAAAAATATATTATTACACATATAATTACTTTATATATAAAATCAAATGAGAAGAATATCAAAAACTCTTACGCATTTCCTTTAAGTAATACTCTGTATCCCACTTAATTTGTGCATTATTTCTATTTCCGTTTGTTTTACATAATTTATCTTTTTTTTAATACAATCATACATTTTAATCACATTCTAAAATTTATAATTTATAATTTTTTTTTTAATTTTAATCAAACTATTTAGTAATCTTAATATTAATTTAAAATTATTTTTATTAATCATAATTATTTTTACTAATACACTTGTTAACTACTTACTAATTACACCATACCTAAAACTTCGTGTCTAATATAAATGAAAAAAATTAGCAAGGATGAAGAGAGTAAAATACTATTATTTTTTAAGCTATTTCAAAATTCCAAAAAATCCATTTGATTTGAGCCGAATAGAGTAGTATTTGCTTGAAATTTTACTTTATTTACTTATTTTTATTATACAATTTAAATTGTTACTGTATATATCACAAAAATTATAGTATTACAAATTATTATTCAGATATTTTGATTTTATTTTAAAGTATATATTTCCAAACTCCAAAATTGATATCGATTGAAACTGTCAAATATATAAAGATCTTACATATTTTAACAAAATATTACTTTCTCCCGTTTCACTATAATGTATTCTTTTGGGGTTTTAAAATAAATTTAAAAATAATAATATTTTATTAGTCAGTATAAATATTTGTAAAACATTCTAATATTATATCTTTTTAAATTTTATGTATGAAGTAATTTTATATATAATTGTATTTTTGTAATTTAAGTAAGAATTAAATTTATATTTATTTTGATATTAGTAAATGGTTATTTTTACTAAAATAAGAAATATACATTTTTGAGTGAAACAGACAAAAATGATAAAATAAAGTACTTTGAATTGAGATGAAATGAACAATATTTATAAAATTAAGTTATATTTACATATACATTTGAATATTATTCATCAAATATATATATTATTAGAAAAAGTCACTTCAACTCACAAAATATCATATCAAATACAATTTTTTTAATATTTTCAAAATTTTCTAAAATTTCTATACGAAGAAAATTTAAAACCTTGCAAAATTTAACATTAAATCAATTTTTTTCCAAACTTATGCAGATTCTAAAGTTACTAGTTAAGAAAACATCTATCAATGATAAAAATTCGAAGGGCTTGACGCCGCTCGACATAGCAACAACGGAGAATTCACCGCAGGTAGATGATCGAATTTTGCGAATCCTTCGCCGGAAAAAGGCCAAAAACGGCTCAACCATTCGGAAAAATTCCAAAAATTCATCTATTGCCGATTTCTTGTGCTCAAGTATAACGATTACCGAATGGTTAATCAAACTCAACTCATATCTCGACTTAGGGATGTCGAGCCAAACAAGAAATTCAATCCTCGTAGTGGCCGTGCTCATTGCAACCGCAACTTTCCAAGCAGCGCTTAGCCCTCCCGGAGGATTCAACAATCAAAACTCGTCGACCAATGCCACGGCTACAATAAATAATGGTACAGATGAAAATGGAAAAGTGGCGATGCGCAGTGATATTTTTCAGGTATTCGCGTCGCTGAATTCAATACCGTTTGCTGCCTCGTTGGGAACGATATATTTGCTATTACCGTGTTCTCTCAATAGTATTATGCTCCATTTGTCGCTATCGTTCTTGCTGACGAGCTATATAGTGGCAATAAGGGCGACGTCGCCGTCGTCTGGCATTGATGCCGCATCAATTTATACATCGGTGGCGAATTTTGTTTTTTTAACCATGACATGTGTAAGATATGCTCAAATTAGGCATGGCGCAATCTATTCTAGAAGGCTTATAGGTAACCATAACTTTTACAACATTGACGAAGCTCGAGCTATGGTTTTTCACAACAGGTACTTAAGAATACTTTCGTTCGATAATTAATTAAAAGCGAATTATTATTATTATTATTTTTTGATGTGTCGAGGATTTTTTTCATTAATGTTGAATAGTATTAGAATAAAAGTCATGCAAGTTTTTTTGAAGAAAAATGGAGTTTTTTTAACTTTTGCTTTTACTAAATAAAAAAATAAGTTTTTGATCTGATAATACTTATGTAAAAATGGGTATATGTTCATTAAGTAAAAATGAAGTATTCGATCCAAATTAGATTTTTTCTTTTTTTTTTTTTAACAAAGTATTTTAATTTTTTATATTTTCAGGTATTCGATGCGTACCCACTCCTAATTCCACCGGCTATTCTTGTATAGAGGCATATGCCAACGTATGTAAATCTATAGTGTGTTCACTTGGCGTTTTAGCTAGTTGATTTTTTATTTTTATTTTATCTTAGATATAGCAAGACATGCTAGAAAATGATATTTTGAATTGAATATTTGATTTTATTTATTTTTTGGGAAATATGTTATATGGGTGATATATGTATGTATTGTATTATTTGGTAATATTAATCGAAAATTATGTTGAAAATTTGGTGTCGAGTGAACAAACCCAAATCTTACGATGGCATTGGCTAGCCAAATTTTGAATGATTTACTTGGAGTGCGTTTGACAATTAGCTGATAGCTTTTAACTGATTCAATTAGTTGTTAGCTGTTAGGTGATTCAATTAGCTGGTTTGACAAGCTGATTCAATTAGGGTTTGTATTAAAGTATTTGGTAATACAAATGTTTGACATTAACTGTTTATACATAAAGTGACTATTAAATACATTGATATGCTATTTTTTAAAATATTTAATTTTGTTATTTTGGTTTGAAATTTATGAGAATTTTTGTTATTAATTATTGAAAATTATAAAATATTTATTTTTATTTTTATTATTTAGATCTGAGAAAATTACTTTTACTAACAAATAATAATTTTTTATTGAAATTATGTAAAATATAAAATAATAAATCTTTCGTATATATATATTTATTATGTTAATTATTGTTTTAATATATAAAAATAAATTAATAACTTTTGTTTTTTTTTATTTGATTTAGTTTTTAAAATTTATATATTTTACAAATAAAATAATTTATATGTAATAATTAATAATAGTAATTATTTTAAGTTTACAAAAATAAATATATAATTTAATAAATTAAATATATTAAAAATAATTAATAAATACTGCTATAAAAATATATTAAAAATAATTAATAAATACTGTTATAAAAATATATTTATATATATAAAATAAATAATTAAATTTTAAGGGTAGATAAGGAATAACCAAAATTAAAATGAAAAAGCTGTTTCAAAGAACTTTTCAGAAATTAGCTTTTTGGGTCCAAAAAGCCTTTTAAAAAAGCTAATTTACCAAACACCTAAATTAGTTTTTTATTAGTCAAATGATTAAAAGCTATTCAATAAGCTAAAAGCTCTTAAAAAAAAAAATGTTTCTCAAACACTCTTTTTGCTAGTGTTTTAGTCATCACATATTTGTTTTTGGTGAGATTTGGATTTAATTTTGAGGGTTGAGAATGATAAAATTTTTAATTCAAATAGTGTTCACTATTAGAATAAAAAAGAAGTTAATAATCGATGAAAATTTATTGCAGATAGATTTAAATTTTGTGATAATTAATAGTTACGGATTTCAATATAGTGACAATATTATATTCCTAATTTTTGCTATGATAGCATCATGTCTAATATTTATAGAAAAAATGGCACGTGTTCTTTCGAGATTGGGATGTGTTAGTTTGAAATTTTGTTTCAATTTTTTTACTATGCAACAAACATCTGCACTTTTTATGAAAACCTTATTGTTTATTTTCAACAAAATTTTATATTTAAATTATTATTAAAAAAACTACTAATAAACTATGTGTTTGTTTCGGTTTAGCTTGAATAGATTTGATTTTAATTTTTTCCGAAAAATATATAATTTAAATAGTAAAATGTGGAATTTTGTGTAAAACAAAAAAGAAAACACATACTATTCCTTTTAGATTTTTTTTTTTTAAATTTTTTTCGGTGAATTGTTTTGTTAGGGAGGATCTTTTGCCATTGGTATTCGATTCTTGTAATTAGATGTAGAGTTTTTGATAGCCTATAATTGAAGTTATTCTTGATTGTACAAAACACAAAGATAAGTGTAAAACACAAAATATAAAACATAACCATAATGAAGAAAACACAACCAAACAAATCCCAATAACACAAACATTAGACCATTCCAACATGCACACAAATACTTTATTAAGTCCATGCAAAGCCCCTTTACACATTTCCATAATCAAATAAAATAAAATCACTCACATTATCCATCTTCTCTCCAAAAATACATACATACATATATATATATATATAAAATAAAAATAAAAGTCAACCCCCACCCCCAAAAAAAATTATAAAAAATATAATTAATTACAAAATAAACACTCATCCCACCATAATGTTAATTAAACTTAGTCATGTACCACAAATTACTCTTCTCCCTATAATATATATATATATGTCTTTTTTTTTTCTTTTTTTTTTTGATTAAATAATTAATTATCATATGGAGGAAGGGAAAGAAGACAAAATAGTCCCCATATGAGAAGAAGAAGTTGTAATAATCTCATCATCTCCCCCAATTTGCCCTCCATCATTTTGGTCCCAAAAGAAATAATTAGGGCAAGGCAAATCCACCCACTCATTCATCCCATTCGCCGCCACCGCCGCTGCCGCCGCCGCCATTTCCGGCGCCATTAAGCTCTCGAAGTTCTCGATGATCGGCGTCAGGCAGCAGCCGGAATTCATCGTGGCGGCGGCGGCGCCGCATCCCGCGAATTGGATCATCTCCGGCGACGGGTGAACGACGACGGCGCCGGCTTGATTATCGCCGTGCGGGTTCATGTTCTGCCATGTTTCGGCCGGATTAGGGTTTTCTTGGAGGATATTAATGTGGCCGGCACCGGCGCTGGGGGCCGACGACGGGTCGCCGCCGGCGCCGATGTCGAAGATGAAAGGGTTAGGGTTTGGGAGGAGAGGGAAGATTGTGGATTGATGGAGTTGAGAGTTGTCTTGATTGTTGTTGTTGTTGCTGCTCATGAAATTAGGGTTTTGGGTTAATTGGGGAATTATTTGGTCCGATTTCGGCGGCGGCGCGATCGTGTTCGAGGATGACGTCGAGGGCGGCGCCACCTTTGATCGGATCTTTTTCTTGATCCACGAGTTCCAGTAGTTCTTGATCTCGTTGTCGGTTCGCCCTGGAAGATGACTCGCTATGTGGGCCCATCTGAAATGACGACAATTTACTTTTAGTTATATTTGATATTATCTCATATTTTACATAAGACGGCAGCTACAATGCTGAATTTTAATTTCAGCACTGAACAATACCCAATAAGTTCACAAAAAGTATACAATATTACTATCGACCACATATCATTTATATTAATATAATACAAACACAACACATAAATTAATAACACATTAATAGGCTCAAATAGCACATGCAACAGTTGATTTTAGCACATGACATACTCTTATACAATATACGTTGTAATTATGAACAAACATTACATGTTTTTATTACAAATAGCATATGCTATGTGTAATAAAGACATGTGTTGTTTTAATATTTTACAAGTACTGTTTTAAAAAATTAGCACCGCGTAACCTTCCCTTTGAATTAATAACACATTAATAGGCTCCGATAACACATACAACAGTAACGCACATGACATACTCTTATACAATACACGCTGTAATTATGAACAAATATTACATATTTTTTTTATTACAAATAGCATATGCTATGTGTAATAAAGACATGTGATGTTTTAATATTTTACAAGTACTATTTTGAAAAATCAGCACGGCGTAACCTTCCCTTTGCATAATTTTATAATGACATATTGTTAATAATGAAATCGAGAACATGTTTATAGGTGTGATGCAAAAACTTGTATATAATTATTTTACAGCCAAATAATATCGATATAATTTAAAGAAATACAATTAACAAAATTTAGAAAATATTTTAACAGCTCTTAATGAAGCAATTATTTGTATGTGAAGCAACTTCGATATTTCATCTAATTTTGCCTAATTTAGAAAACAAAAATGGATAGAAGTGTGTATTTGAAGGAATTGTTTACAAATTTCATAATTTACTTTACTATAATGTCTAAACAAATTGTGACATTGCCTTCTTAACGTCTTTAGAAATGCCAATGACAACTACTATATATATACATATAATATATATATATATATGTATATATATAGTATGTGTGTGTGTGTGAAAAAACTACATAAACTTTGTAAGAAAAGTTACACTAAGTATTGTACACTTCTTACATAGTACAAGAATGTCGAAAATTTTGTCGAAAAAAAATGTTGGTTGGAGTAAGTTTAACTATCGATACGTTGATTGCTTTAATTATTTGAATGCTCGAGTTTGGCATATAATTGTTGAATGTGATATTTTAGTGCGCAATAAAGTTATTAGTAAAACGTATGAATGAGCATTGTGATAAGTTTGCAATGTAATGAATACCTATTCCCAACCGCCCCGTGAAGGTTGATGATTAGTTTCTCCTCTTCTGGTGTAAATCTCCCCCGCCGAATATCCGGTCTCAAATAGTTTATCCACCTCAATCGACAACTCTTGCCGCACCTTTGAAGACCTAATCAAAACCCCCGTCATCAATAAAAAAATTAAATTAAATTATAATACCTCGGCAACCATATTAAAAAAAAAAAAAAGGGTGCGCACTCAACAATTTATTATGTCAATACTAAGAAAAAAAATGGTTGTATGCACGCCCACACATATATATGCTAAATTCCGACAATTGATTATACAATGCTAGTAAAATAGATAATTAAAATAGTCGTATGTGGGCGCGCACGTGTGTGTGTATATATATATATGCTAATTTCTGATAATTAATTATTCCAAATATGAATAAAATAAATATGCGCACACACGTGTGTAATATATATGTCAATTATAACAATTGATTGTACAAATATTGATGAAAAAAATATATTTTTTGTTCGTGCACACACACATATGTTAAATTCAACAATTGATTACGCCAAATACTAAAAAAATAGTCGTCGTGTGCGCACACACATATGTTACATTTTATCTGTCATCAAAATGTATGCTTATTTAATTTGATCAAACACACGTACTTTAATAAAATTAAATAAAAAATAAAAATATTTTTTTTAAGATAAAGAAAAAATAAATAAAATAGTAGTATTTTTTTACTTAAAATAATAAAAATAAATTTAGATGACAAAAATTAAATAAATAAATTCAAATGACAGAGGAGTCCAATAAGAAATTGTGTGCGCGGATAATATATATATATATATATAGCGAACCTGCTTTTTCCGGGACTTCGCTCCAGCAGCCGTAGCCGTGAGTGGTGATGTATCGGACGAGCTTTTCGTCTTCTTCGGGCGACCACAGCCCTCTCTTTACCTTCTGCTGGTTGCAGCAAGAGTGGTGCCCCATTTCTTCTTTTCTCTTTACTTACTTTTTAACTTAAAACAAACATTAATAAATAAATTAAACTTCTTCGATCTTCTCTTCGGAAACTATTAAAGATCGATTAATTAAAAAATAAATAAAAAATAGTAAGCAAATTAATAGTAATAAAAAGTTTGGGGCGTGGGGAAGTGAGTGTGTATATATATATATATATATGTATGTATGTAGGAATTAGGGTTTAGTGAGTGATCCGAGAAGAGAAGAGAAGAAAAGGGACCCTCCAAGAATTGTTCCCATCTAACACTGAAAAGACACTCCATCGAACTCCCCCTCGTATTATTACATCCTTAATTTGCTTCTCTGTCCTTTTTTGTTTAATAATAATAATAATATAATAATAATAATAATAATAATAATAATGTGCTCCTTCCGTCCCAAAAGTATAATCTTAATATGTTTGACACAAAATTTAAGAAATATTGATATTATATTAGTAGTTGATAAAAAGTAAGGATAAATGACTTTTTTTTTTTTTTTTTGTCATTGTGAGTATATTAGTGTAAAAAGTAGTGACAATTGTGTAATAATAATAAAAAAATAGAGATAGTTTTACAGTGATATGATTATTTATGGAAATGAGATTATTGTTTTGGGATGGACAAAAATGATAAACAAGATTATTGTATTGGGACGGAGGGAGTATTATTATTTATTATTTTTTATATAATTTGGGTCATTTAAGTATAATCTATAAAGAAATATAGTATTATTTTCGTACGGTTCTAAGGGTCTTATTTATTTTTTTGTGTGTTGATATTTGAATATTAATTATTATATCAAAACGTAGTACAAATTAAGAAAAAATGACAAAAATATTTCTATTAGTGTCTTATGATACGATTATAATGACATTTGTACAAAAAATTATACAAATATAAATATATTTTTAATGTTAAGTACAATGAAATAAAAGGTAAATGTAACCCTTAGAGGCGGACGAATGAAGTATTATATTGCCTCCGTTTGAACTATAGTCCTATTTGTGTTGGATATGAAATTTGAAGAATAATGATATTATATTGATAGTTGGTCAAAAATATGAGTAAAATTTTTTTTTTGTCCCAGATGAAGTGTATTAGTGTAAAAAGTAGTGACATTTGTGTAATAATAATGAAAATATAAGGATAATTTTATGGTGATACGAGTATTTATAAAAAAGTGATTATTATTTTAGGACAGACGAAAATGATAAATATGACTATTGTATTGAAACAAAAGAAATATATAGTTTGTAGTAGTCCCTGAAAATGTCATTTGGTATTATAATATTCTCATGTGTACTGATATAACAACTATGTATGACAATTTATAATATTTGATCTAGATTTAATTATATATATGTATATTTATTTTAGAATTATAATTTACATTAATCTTTCAAATTATAAATTGTTACTATATTAGCTCCGCTAGTGACATGTCAGCATACATAGTACTTCCTCCGTCTTATTTACTATGTCCATATTGCCGTTTCCGTCCGTCTCATATTTCATGTCGTTTTTTTTAGAAAATGATTACAAATCTTAATCTCATTTTAAATTTTTTAATTTATTTATTTTTTAAATTTTAATTAAACTAATGAGTTGTTCTAATATTAATGTATAATTATTTATATTATAGAATAATTATTTTCACTAATACATTCTTAATTATCTATTAATTATACTTATTATAAATTTTCGTGTCTACTGTAATACCGACGTCCGGGGAGTAATATATTTAGTATGAAGTGATACTTTCAACGACTACTACGTATTAGATATAAGACTTTCTATTATAAGTATTTAATTTAATGGATTCAAATAATAAAGGATGTTACATACCAAATAAAAAATTACATATATTATTATTATTATTATTATTATTATTAGTTGTAGGGAATGGAAGGTAGCTACATAGTACGTAGATTTGTATTACGTAATTAAGGATGGCTGCGCTGCCGGTTGGTTCGTAGACTCCATCGCCATTTGTACGTGTGTCTGCCTTCTTATTAATTATTAATTATTATTATTATTATTATTATTATTATTATTATTATTATTATTATTATTATTATTAAATAAATAAATAAAAATAGTTTGTTGACATTAATGATGTCTCAATGACACAAACTGTGCCTCACTCTACGGGCCGTAAGTTTCAAGTGATCAAATTGTTTAATTTGCTTCCTAAGTTCTATTATTATTATTATTATTATTATTATTATTATTAAAATATGAAACTAAAATTTTCTATTTCAATCATAAGAATTTGTACCTATTTATAAGGGCAAACTATTTTTTTAGTCTCGTAACTGGACCCCCTTATCATTTTAATTTCGTAAGTGGAGCTGTCGCAAATTAGTCCCATAAGTGAAAAATTTTCGTTGTTTTTAGTCCTCCAGCGCCGGAGATGCCCGCGTAGCTCGCCGGAGGTGACGTGTTCGCCAGGTGTCGCTGACTTGGCGGACACGTGGATTTTTTATTTTATTTTTTCATTTTTTAAATTTTTTTGAAAACTTATTTATAATTTATTTTAAATTTTATTTGTATATTTTTTTATTTATTTTATTTGGTCCAATTAAAAAAAATAAAAAATATTAAAAAAAAATGAAAAAAAAATTAATAAATCCACGTGTCCGTCAAGTGTCGGTGACCTGGCGGGACACCTGGCGGACACGTTACCTCCGGCGAGCCACGCGGACTTCTCCGGCGCCAGAGGATTAAAACAGCAAAAATTTTTCACTTATGAGACTAGTTTGCGACATGCTCCACTTACAAGACTAAAATGATAAAGGGGTCCTGTTACGAGACTGAAAAAACAATTTATCCAATTTATAATAATATATAAATTGTCTAAATAAGACAAAGTATCTACGGAATTTTTAAATAAAAAAACTATCATAAATATAATATATTACTTCTAAATATATTTTAACAATTATTATTATTATTATCATTATATATAAGTTTGATTTTTAAAAGACAAATTTCGTATGTCTCTTTATAATCAAGTATTGTTTTTAATTTTAATTCATTGGTTACAATTCATTCAATCTTGTGTTATTTACAAGTGACACTTAAGTAATTCACTACAAAAAAATGATCATTATATATATATATTTTTAATGTATTCACTTTTTTTTTTACATATATATTAAGTATGAAAAATTGTATCATTAGTATCAAAAATAATAATTTATATTGAATTATTAATTTTTTTTTAGTAAATAGAGTGTATAAATTATATATATTGGGCAAGCTAGTTTTGTATATATTGTATTTTTATTTAATATTTATTGAAAATTGTGTAACAAGAAATGTTGGGTGAAACATGATTTGTTTACTTTTTTTAAAAAAAATAGTAAGTTAAATATGATGTTTTGTAAAGAAAAAAAAAATGTACTTTTTATAAGAAATGTTGAATTAAATTTAATATTAAAGAAATTAAAATATATATTGATATATTCAAAGTAAAGAAAATTGCAATTGGTGAAGTTTTTTAGAAAACCAAAAAAGAAAAAAATAAAAATAAAAATGATGGTAAACCCTATATATATAGACAAAGCTTGAATGACATGTATTTGCCTACTTTGTGTAAATTTTTATATATGTTCCATGAAATGTAATATTGAATACTTATAAATTATTCATTTTCCCTGGCTTTTTAATCTGAAAATTATTATCGATATATATATATATATGTATATATTGAAACCTAATTTAGGATATAAATTTTCTAACTACGCCTGTAAATTATTGGAAATTTTGAATATATATATATTTTATCATATAGGCAGTTCATAATTTTATTTATTTATTTCTATTTTTATTTTATATTAAAAAAAATTCTGTAGATTTACAAAGTGATAATTATTGATCTTCCCTTTTCTTTTATTTTTTTTTTTCCTAATAAAAGCTTGAAACACAATATTTTACTACGTTAAAAACAAAGTGATGATAAATACGTTAACGATCTCTATATTAACACGAACAAATTTTTGTAATTTTTGTCAAACTTTCGATACAAGAATTAAGAGAAGGTGTTTTGTCTTGTAATCGAAATATATAAAACCCTTTCCTTAATTTGGACAACCCGAAGCTTATTTGCGTTGGCAAAATAAATGACTAAGTGACTAAATAATTTCATCGAATTCGAAGAGTAAATTTGGAATTTTGGGTAACTTGAGGTACAAGGATTTCCAAGAATGGATTTTTAATTTGGCCCTTAAATTAATTTAAATTATTTACTTAATTTGGAGAAAGCAAGAGTTTACATGGAGCCTAATGACTAAGGGACTTAGGGTTTCATATAAATAGAAATAATTGATTGAGTTAGTGAATGACCTAATTTATGCAAAAAAAAAAAAAAATTGCAACTAATATTAATTTGAAACTGTGTAATGAAATTGACCACACACTGTAAATGATAAACCTTGTCTGATTTATTTTATTTTATTTTTTAGTTTGGGATTTTTATTTTATTTTTTGATGTTGTTTTGCTTGAAAAGGGAGAAACTATTTCATAGTTATGAATTATAATTTCTTTGAGCTAAATTAATTATATATGTGGTCCATTTTGGTAATTAAAACTACTCTCTCTCTCTCTCTCTCTATATATATATATATATATATAATTTATTTTATTTTTTGAGTTTCTCCCTTTTCAAAATTTTAAATTCTTGAAAGATTTGAATAACAGTTTATATGTAACATTTTATAAAATAAATAATGTATTCCTATAGAAAATCGTAATTAAAAATAGCATAGTAAGAAAAAAATTGATATCGAATTCCACAGAGCAAGATAATCACTACAAAAAAATAGTATATTTGTAACGGAATTCCGTTCCTAAAGTGTACGTAGCTAACATAATTTCATCCCTAATTCCGTCTCTAATGTCATTAGTAACGAAAAAAGTAGATTTAGGGATGAAAAAACCTCGTTACAAAAATAATATTTTCTTGTAGTGAATAGTGAGTTAGATTCTTATGTGTTATTACAATAAATTAATTAAAAATGGCTCGACTCCGAATATTATGAGTGTGCAACAAAATCAAAATATGATGTTTAAAAAATAATTATAGGGAAAAAAATCATTTTCAATTTCAATATAACTAAAATTCGT